CTCCCTACCCCTTCCTCCCTACCCCTAGCCCCTCCTTCTACCCCTACCCCCTTCTTCCCTACCCCTACTCCTTTCTCCCTACCCCTTCCCCTTCCTCCCTACCCCTAGCCCTTCTTCCCCGACCCCTACATCCCTACTCCTTGCCCTTCCTCCCTATCCCTTGCTCCCTATCCCTTGCCCTTCCTCCCTACCCCGTTCCTAACCCCTCACAGTCCTCCATGGCTGGGCTTCGCTCTGTTTCTCATTGGATCATTGCTGACAAAAACAGCTATTCAGTGTTTATGATTTGTATGGTGCAGGTGTCAAAAACAGCTGCTTTCTTTGTCTTCATGCTAAATCAGATGTTCTTTTACGCTCATGAGTATTTAATGTTATATGTTCATGTGCCAGTGATAGCTTTCCTAACATCAGTATACTCAAAATAGACGAGAACATGTTTACTGGATTTGCTCATTGTTTGCAACAGCCATTGTCGTTGATCAATGTTGATATGCCTAACACAGCCTTGTTACAGATATCCTGGTCTATATATATATATATATATATATATATATATATATATATATATATATATATATATATATATATATATATGTGTGTGTGTGTGTGTGTATATCACGAAAATAAACACGTGATTAAGAATGTGACAATGTCAGACCACGGAGGAAAATGAAACAGGAATTTCCTTAAGTACTTTCGCATATTAAATACATCTTCAGAAGGAATGACAAAAACAAGGAATCTTCATTCCTTCTGAAGATGTATTTAATATACGAAAGTACTTAAGGAAATTCCTGTTTCATTTTCTCCGTGGTCTGACATTGTCATATATATATGTATATATATGTATATATATATATGTATATATATATATGTATATATATATATGTAATATATATATGTATATATATATGTATATATATATATATATATATATATATATATATATATATATATATATATATATATATATATATTTATTTATTATTCATATACATGAATACACCGTAATACATTCTGAACTATACTTACATGTTTGTAAGGTATGTATACAAGATGTTCCCCCACGTGGTGTACACGGGCACGGTGTCCCCACGTGGTGTACACGGGCACGGTGTCCCCCACGTGGTGTACACGGGCACGGTGTCCCCCACGTGGTGTACACGGGCACGGTGTCCCCCACGTGGTGTACACGGGCACGGTGTCCCCCACGTGGTATACACGGTCACGGTGTCCCCCACGTGGTGTACACGGGCACGGTGTCCCCCACGTGGTGTACACGGGCACGGTGTCCCCACGTGGTGTACACGGGCACGGTGTCCCCCACGTGGTGTACACGGGCACGGTGTCCCCACGTGGTGTACACGGGCACGGTGTCCCCCACGTGGTGTACACGGTCACGGTGTCCCCACGTGGTGTACACGGGCACGGTGTCCCCCACGTGGTGTACACGGGCACGGTGTCCCCCACGTGGTGTACACGGGCACGGTGTCCCCCACGTGGTGTACACGGGCACGGTGTCCCCCACGTGGTGTACACGGTCACGGTGTCCCCCACGTGGTGTACACGGGCACGGTGTCCCCCACGTGGTATACACGGTCACGGTGTCCCCCACGTGGTGTACACGGGCACGGTGTCCCCCACGTGGTGTACACGGGCACGGTGTCCCCCACGTGGTGTACACGGGCACGGTGTCCCCACGTGGTATACACGGTCACGGTGTCCCCCACGTGGTGTACACGGGCACGGTGTCCCCCACGTGGTGTACACGGGCACGGTGTCCCCCAAGTGAACACCTTGATTGATAAAGATTAATCCACCCAAGAGGTGGCACGGGCATGAATAGCCCGTAAATGAACACCTTATGAATTCCTCAGTTATATATTGTTAAGCTGAGGGACGAGGGAAGAGAAGGATTTTCTCACCTCTCTCACTCCGCCTGGCTGGATCCTTCGACGTGTCTCCTACATGTCTTATCTCCCCGTCTCTCGCTGTCTTCCCTTTTATTGATGTCAGTATTCTCCCTTATCTCTCAGGGCGCCGCAGGAGGACGGTCCTGCTCATGGGTTAGGTCCTTGGGGTGGGCGGAGGCAGAGGGGATTCTAGGGGGGGGGGGGGGGGGTTGAAGGGGTCTGTTATGTCCACGAGGGCCGGGTTCGAGGAGCTGGAGTCCGGACCAGGCATCAAGTGGACTGATAAGAAAACAATTATGACTGTGCCATTTCATATCTTATTTATATGATAATTTCTTCTTTTTTTAGTTTACTTTTTAAGACATGTAAACAGAGGGTTTACATGTCCTCTGCCTGAAGTAGTTGATGGGTTGATGGTATGGCTGTCTGGTGGAGCGTGAGCTTCCAAGCTTCATCAGCGCATCTTACGAGAGATTCGAAGACACGTCAGCACATCTTACGTCTTACGAGATTGGAAGCCTCATCAGCGTATCTTTCTAAAGCTTCGAAGCCTTTCCAGCGTATCTTAACTGGACTTCGAAGCCTCAACAGCCCTTCCAACTTTAGCTTCGAAGCCTCGCCAGCGTATCTTAACTGGACTTCGAAGCCTCGCCAGCGTATCTTAACTGGACTTCGAAGCCTCAACAGCCCTTCCAGCTTTCGCTTCGAAGCCTCGCCAGCGTATCTTAACTAGACTTCGAAGCCCAAAAAAGCGCTTCCAGCTTTAGCTTCGAAGCCTCGCCAGCGTATCTTAACTGGACTTCGAAGCCTCAACAGCGCTTCCAGCTTTAGCTTCGAAGCCTCGCCAGCGTATCTTACCTGAGCCTTGAAGCTTCAACAGAATATCTGAGGCCCCCTGAGCGCCCAAGTCACCAGCCATGGACTTTTATTCGTCTTCATTTCCGGGGTTATATATTTGTTCTCCCCCCATCACTCATCTTTAATTAGGTCGGTATTTTTCTCAAGAGTTCGGGGTGGGTTGAGGGGACGAAATGAAGATGGAAGGGATGGAAGGGGAGCAGGGAAACCGAGGGAAGAGAAAGTGAGAACAGGTGAGAGGATGAAGGGAACGAAGGGGAGGAGAGAGCAAGTGAGAGGGGTTCAGGGAACGAGGGAAAAGCCGTGGAAAATTAATATTTATCTCTCATAAATAGCCCCTGTCGTTTGGTAGTATATTTGTTGAGGCTGGCCCTTGTAGCGAAAGTAATTATTTTGTCAATATAATGTTAAAACTAACCCACAAAATCCGATATTTGGCGTGGTAACTTACCAAGAATTTATCACCTAAGTTACCCAACTTCATTAGTGGGCCTCTGTTGGATTTTAATTAAATATTTCAGGACATTGTTTATGAGCAACCAACCCACACACACACACACACACACACAAACACACACAGGGCTGGGGCTGAGTGGCCGAGAGAACAGCGCTCTAGACTCGTGGACCTAGGGACCGGGGTTCGATCCCCGCACCCGGCGGAGGCAGGTGGGCAGAGTTTCCTTAACCCTAATGTCCTTGTTACCTAGCAGTAAATAGGTACCTGGGAGTTAGACAGCTGCCACGGGCTGCTTTCTGGGGGTGTAGGTGTGTGTGGAGGAAAAAAAAAAGTAGTAGTAACAGTTGATTGATTGACAGTTGAGAGGCGGGCCAAAAGAGCAGAGCTCAACCCCCGCAAGCACAATTAGGTGAATACAACTAGGTGAATACACACACTACAGTGGGCTTGCGGCTGAGTGGACAGCGCTCGAGGGTCCAAGTCGTAAGCGTCTGGGTTCGATTCTCGGCCGAGACAGAAACAAATGGGCAGAGTTTTTTCACCCTTATGCCCCTGTTCAGCTAGCAATAAACAGGTACCCGAGAGTTAGACAGTTGCTACGGGCTGCTTCCCGGGGATGCGTGTGTGTGTATGTGCGTGTGTTAGAGAGAAATATATGTAGTAGCCATAATACAGGAAAAATAAATTGGAAAGAAAGGCGGGGTCCAAGAGCTAATAGCTCGATTCTGCAGGCACAACTAGTAAATACACACCAGCGAAACCAATCTGCTGTATTTAAATCATGAGGATGGGGGGGGAGGGGGGACTTGTAAAGATAGTTAATGATAGGGCATGATGCCCCAAGTGTTGTGGAGGGCCGCGGGGTGGTGGTGGGCATGCTTGGTGACGTGTAGCAACAGTACCCTACACTGTGATACATGTTAGTATATCACTGTCTACTACTAGTATAAACACTGCTGTTATTAGTATTACTACATCTCCTACCACAACTGTTGCTCTTACTACAACTGACGTCTACTGATATTACTAGTGGTAATATTCATGCTGCCTCTACTGCTTCTACAACTACAACTACTGTTGCTGCTGTTGCTGCTGCTGCTGGTGCAGCTTAAGCATGCGATACGTCTGCAAGTGGAGGATTATAGACACCGGAGCACCACGGAGTGTCGGCACCGGAAGAGAAGCGTCGGCACGGTCACCCATCCAAGTACAAACCACACTCAGCTATTTCCTTAATATATATACTTGTAAAGTTCCTATGACGTAAATACATATAATGTGCGCCTCTCTCCTCTCCCCCCCCCTCACCTCCCCACCCCAGGTTCACCCCCCCTGGTCTACTCCCACAGGTACGATCGCCACAGAGAGTCGAGTTTATCTACAGGAGGCGACGCGGCCCTCGAGTCCCTGGCGCGGCTGGCTCTCCACCTCACCCTGGACCTGCAGGCAGGCTTCGACTACTACGAGCACGCCTTCTCCTCGTGCGTACACCCTACCACCCATCATGTTCAGGCGCGCACTCCTCTGTGCGCGCTTCACTATTTGTATAGGCTTATTTTTTTAACAGGCGCACCGCTCCTGTGCCAGGTAAGTTACGGGCTCACCATAGCCCGTGCTACTTGTCCCGCTCCTGTGCCAGGTATGTGACGGGCTCACCATAGCCCGTTCTACTTGTCCCGCTCCTGTGCCAGGTAAGTGACGGGCTCACCATAGCCCGTGCTACTTGTCCCGCTCCTGTGCCAGGTAAGTTACGGGCTCACCATAGCCCGTGCTACTTGGAAGTTGTTCCGAGTAGCTGAATCTATAACAACAACAACAACATTTTAACAGGGTTGAATTTCAGCTCATGGGTCCCGCCTTTTCAGCCACTGATCGCCTAATGACTCCCGACCAGTATGTCTTAATTATCTATCCAGTCTTGTTTCAGTCAATGCCATTTTTCAGCTACACACTTACGTTAAAGGAGTATATTTGTATATCTCCAAGACTCATCAGAGTTTCTTCATCGTAGAAGATTTAACAACATATATCAAGCACTTTAACTGTGTTACGAGGTTGTTAGACTCGCATGTGTTGAGTCCATGCGAGGTTGCCAAATCGTACCAGCCAACCGAAGCCGTAAACAAACATGGCATGTAACTAGACATCTGTTTATCAAAATCTCCGCAGCTTGTATTAGATAATTCATGTACCGTCCTCCACAATAATACATTATCACAATGCAACACTGTTTAGAGATACCACCACAATGGCCTGGGTGACGCCGGCTATATTTACTGAGAAATTACTTATAATTGTCTCTTTATATCAAGTGTTTACAGCGATCATCGATCATTAAGCAACAACCAGTGAATGATCAACGAACTCTCGTCATTAAATGATAGAAAACAGTAATCGTTCAACACTGCATGTTTTTCAGGGGTAAGATTATCTGTCTTGTGACGGTAGTTGACGGAGAATTGGAGCAATTCCTATTATCAGGGACGGGAAGCTTGTACTTAAGCTTATCGAGGTTCACCTCGGCCAGGGGTGGGAACCTTCCGAAAACCAAATGTTACTGAGCGAGATTTCATAAAGCCACGCACTGTATCTTACGCTGTATAAACTCATGTTACAAATATACTTACAGATAAAGTTTCATTCATTTAAATTGCTTTCACAGGCCTCAGGTTCCGTTCCCCCCCCCCCTTCCACGACTGCGCTAGGCCAATTACTGATCTTCCCCATGATGCAAGGGTTACCTAACGGTACCTACAAGGGTTACCTGACTCTCAGATACCTATTTTAGTGCTAGGTGATCAGAGACATTAGGTAAAAGGAAGCATGCCCAACCGTTTTTGTCCCGCCTGGGGATTGAGCCACGGTCAATTGTGAGCCGAGGACGTAGCCCTCTGTGCTACGGGACACTGTTAGTTCGTGTTCCGAAGGCGATTATTTGCAGTGAACAAATCCTGTTCACTACGCAGTGAACGCATCATGTTCAGCACAGGACCGGACATATACTACACTTAGCTGACGTCACAGAATTACCCAAGATAAGGTTCACTACAGTAACAACGCCATCAACATGCACTTGAAAATATAAATAATCGACTTATAAATTATAAATTATCACACGACTTAATACCCGCCAAACACACACCGAAACTACGACGTTGGTACAACGTTCGAACAAGTTTTAACACCTCCTAACCAGTTATAACAACCAATATAGCAAGTTGTAACAACGTTCGAACAAGTTTTAACACCTCCTAACCAGTTATAACAACCAATATAGCAAGTTGTAACAACGTTCGAACAAGTTTTAACACCTCCTAACTAGTTATAACAACCAATATAGCAAGTTGTAACAACGTTCTAATACGTCATAAAGACGTTAAGCCAAGATGTAATAACTTTATTACAAGTTGTAACAAGCAGAAAATAGAGACAGTTTCGGTTTGTGTTTCCAGGGATATAATGGTCCAGGACGGACCGATAGGTCACCGCCCTGTGCCAGGTAAGTCCACTACGGGCTCACCATAGCCCGTGCTACTTGGAACTTGTTTCGAGTAGCTGAATCTATAACAACAACAACCAAAAGGTCGTTGCTTGAGTTGTGGTTTGGTCATTATTTAATCAGCCACGTTATTGTGACCCATCGTCCATATAAACAAGCATTCCGACTACGATATATTGACAATTATTCTTGGTCGGTGTGAGGCACAGGTAGTCTCCTCATCACTGATGACTCCTCATCGGTGATGAGGAGTCTGGCTGTGAAGACACGGATATCCTACGTTAATTCTAAGGGCTGTTGGCTCATTGTGCGAACCTCACATACTCTGTTGCACTGTGTAAGGCATTGTTTATCTTGTGTGTAATTAATGTGTCCTGTGGCTGCACTCAGTGCTGGGTGCCCTTACAAGCAGCATCACCTACCACAACCCATCACATGTGGTCCCTACCACTCTGTGGTAGTGACAGTGGTAGCTGTGGTGGTGGTGAAGATGATGACGGATAAAAAACCTGTGGAGATGAATGTTTTAATTAGTAGTAATAGGATTTGTGTTGGTGGTGGTGACAGAAGTGAAGACAGTGATTCAGGTTGTGATGTTGACGGGTGTGGTGACAGTAATGGACAGGGAAGCAGAGAGAGAGAGAGAGAGAGAGAGAGAGAGAGGAGAGAGAGAGAGAGAGAGAGAGAGAGAGAGAGAGTAGAGAGAGAGAGAGAGAGAGAGAGAGAGAGAGAGAGAGAGAGTAGAGAGAGAGAGAGAGAGAGAGAGAAAGAGAGGAGAGAGAGAGAGAGAGGAGAGGAGAGAGAGAGAGAGAGAGAGAGAGAGAGAGAGAGGAGAGAGAGAGAGAGAGAGAGAGAGAGAGAGAGAGAGAGAGAGAGAGAGAGAGAGAGAGAGAGAGAGAGAGAGAGAGAGAGAGAGCGAGAGCAAAGATAAGCAAACCACAGAGACCACATAAAGACACACAGTAGTATAAGCTAGTGTGTGACGAGCGAAGCATCAACCCCCATATGGTAGCATGAAAGCAGCACAAGAGCCAAGGTGAAAACATACTTTTTAATTCCCATCCATTCCCTACCTATCCACGTCACCTCACCACATGCCAATCCCCATATCTTCCCCATTCCTCACATATCCCTCCCCCCCCCCTTCCCCCCTTTTCCCCCCCCACTTTCCCCCCCCCCCACTTCCCCCCCCCTGGGTGTAAGAGTTACGTAGACCCCTCCCCCTGGATGTTACCCCAAAATAACCTTCCCCACCCCCCACCCCTTGTTATATTGTTGATCCCCAACCCCACAACTGTCCCACTGAAGACTCCTGATCTTACTGGTTTCAGAACGGCCTTGAAGATAAGCTACGTGTCACTCAACTACAGAATCTTTGAGAAACTGGTGCGTATCTCCTCTCCATCTTGTCTCACCTCACTTGTCACTGCTGCGTTATACCTTTATGTTTTCTTTTTAGGGAGCATAGTTTGCATTTACGATTTTTTTACATTTTTTTTTTTCTTTTTTTTTGCCGTGCATTGACATTAGTTTACACGGCATTGTCTTCGATGGTGTACACTGTGTTGTCTTCATTAGTTTATATTGTGTTGTTTTCATTAGTTTATATTGTGTTGTTTTCATTAGTTTATATTGTATTATTGTCATTAGTTATACTTTATTGTATTCATTAGTTTACACGGTATTGTCTTCACTAGTTTACACGGTATTGTCTTCACTAGTTTACACTGTATTGTCTTCTTTAGTTTACACTGTATTGCCTTCAATAGTTTACACTGTATTGTCTTCACTAGTTTACACTGTATTGTCTTCACTAGTTTACACTGTATTGTCTTCACTAGTTTACACTGTATTGCCTTCTTTAGTTTACACTGTATTGCCTTCAATAGTTTACACTGTATTGTCTTCACTAGTTTACACTGTATTGTCTTCTTTAGTTTACACTGTATTGCCTTCAATAGTTTACACCGTATTGTCTTCACTAGTTTACACTGTATTGTCTTCACTAGTTTACACTGTATTGTCTTCACTAGTTTACACTGTATTGTCTTCACTAGTTTACACTGTCTTCACTAGTTTACGTTATGCTGCCTTCTAAAATTAAAACAGCACTTTCAATTTGGAGTCATAAACAAGCATTATAATTCTTGTCTTCCAATTTATCTAATTATTCTATTTACAATATTCCTTTACCATTGAGTTGCTCAAGGAGACGAGAGCTCCAATTTTCTCGTCGCCTCAGAATATCAAGAATTCTCTGACATGTTATTAAGATATTTCATTCGCGAATGTCGCAGTATAATTTCTCTCTCTAAAATAAAATAAAACATTTAGTTAAAATGTAAAATAATAATAATAATTGTTATTATTAATGAGAAGTATTTTGTAGCAGGACGGACCGAACTGCGGGCTCGCCATAGTCCGTGCTGCTTGGAACTTTGTTCCAGGTAGCAGGTCTTTAACAACAACAACAGCAGGACGGGTATTGAGGCAGTGTCCTGGGTGCCCACCGGACGCTGGTTCAATGCCCCCCTCTGGGTCCCATGATTTTCTTATAGATATATCATGCTATTGTGATTTCCTTGTGAGTAATAATGATGATAATAAAACTAATACTAATAATTAATAATAATAATAATAATAATACACAGAGGAATCACACTAACGTGACTGCATCAATGAGAAAATCGGTAGGAACAGTGATCAGGGTTCGAACCCTCTTCACGGCTCCTACCGATTTCCTCAATAATAATAATAATAATAATAATAATAATCCCAGAGCACCTGACTAGTTGCTCCGTATATATATATATATATATATATATATATATATATATATATATATATATATATATATATATATATATATATATATGTCGTACCTAGCAGCCAGAACGCAATTTATGGCCTACTATGCAAGGCCCGATTTGCCTAATAAGCCAAGTTTTCATGAATTAATTGTTTTTCGACTACCTAACCTACCTAACCTAAACTAACCTAACTTTTTTGGCTACCTAACCTAACCTAACCTATAAAGATAGGTTAGGTAGGGTTGGTTAGGTTCGGTCATATATCTACGTTAATTTTTACTCCAATAAAAAAAAATTGACCTCATTCATAATGAAATAGGTAGCTTTAATCATTTCATAAGAAAAAAATTAGAGAAAATATATTATTTCAGGAAAACTTGGCTTATTAGGCAAATCGGGCCTTGCATAGTAGGCTGACAAGTGCGTTCTGGCTACTAGGTACGACATATATATATATATATATATATATATATATATATATATATATATATATATATATATATATATATATATATATATATATATATATATGCTTCACGTGTACTAATTAAATTTCAATATTGTAGAGCAGATATTTATATACCAAAAGAGGGTTCACGATCTGGCATGTTGCCCTGTTGCTTCAACACAACAAGTGCCAATTAAACTCAAATATTTTTTCAATATGTTGTTCGCTAATTGGAAAAAAATTAAGATTGAGTGTTCGTTAATTTGGAATAATGACAGCTAGACTTACGTTAATGGGGACTAGTGGCAGCGAAGTGTTCGCTAATCTGAAATAATGACATCAAAACCTCTCCTAATGCAATTCGAACGAGGCGTTCAGCAAAGCGAAAGAATGCCATTGTAATTCCGTTGTTGCTAAGCAATGGTTTTTAAATCTTCCATTAAGTGACCTAATGGTAACGAGATGCTTCTAATCTGAGGTAGCTGCATTATGACGTTCGCTAATGTAATTGTTTTCGTTAATGTATAAAGTCAAACTCATTACACTGTTCGTTAAGAGAAGCAAGTGATTACGATGCCTTCCGTTAGATGATGCTTCAGTATAAAGTGATATATAATGCAATATTAATATTGCGTTAGCATGTATACACATGGCATGACATGTTATGACATGTTTCCTATGGCATCATCAGTATTTGTTTAATTCTACGTCAGTCAGGGATTACCAAATGCTGGCTCAGGGGCTCACTAGTGCAATACCAGTCAGGGGCTCGCTAATGCAATACCAGTCAGGGGCTTACTAGTGCAATACCAGTCAGGGGCTCGCTAATGCAATACCAGTCAGGGGCTCACTAGTGCAATACCAGTCAGGGGCTCGCTAATGCAATACCAGTCAGGGGCTCGCTAATGCAATACCAGTCAGGGGCTCACTAGTGCAATACCAGTCAGGGGCTCACTAGTGCAATACCAGTCAGGGGCTCACTAGTGCAATACCAGTCAGGGGCTCACTAGTGCAATACCAGTCAGGGGCTCACTAGTGCAATACCAGTCAGGGGCTCACTAGTGCAATACCAGTCAGGGGCTCACTAGTGCAATACCAGTCAGGGGCTCACTAGTGCAATACCAGTCAGGGGCTCACTAGTGCAATACCAGTCAGGGGCTCACTAGTGCAATACCAGTCAGGGGCTCACTAGTGCAATACCAGTCAGGGGCTCACTAGTGCAATACCAGTCAGGGGCTCACTAGTGCAATACCAGTCAGGGGCTCACTAGTGCAATACCAGTCAGGGGCTCACTAGTGCAATACCAGTCAGGGGCTCGCTAGTGCAATACCAGTCAGGGGCTCACTAGTGCAATACCAGTCAGGGGCTCACTAGTGCAATACCAGTCAGGGGCTCACTAGTGCAATACCAGTCAGGGGCTCACTAGTGCAATACCAGTCAGGGGCTCACTAGTGCAATACCAGTCAGGGGCTCACTAGTGCAATACCAGTCAGGGGCTCGCTAGTGCAATACCAGTCAGGGGCTCACTAGTGCAATACCAGTCAGGGGCTCACTAGTGCAATACCAGTCAGGGGCTCGCTAGTGCAATACCAGTCAGGGGCTCACTAGTGCAATACCAGTCAGGGGCTCGCTAGTGCAATACCAGTCAGGGGCTCACTAGTGCAATACCAGTCAGGGGCTCGCTAGTGCAATACCAGTCAGGGGCTCGCTAGTGCAATACCAGTCAGGGGCTCGCTAGTGCAATACCAGTCAGGGGCTCACTAGTGCAATACCAGTCAGGGGCTCGCTAGTGCAATACCAGTCAGGGGCTCACTAGTGCAATACCAGTCAGGGGCTCGCTAATGCAACGTAGAACCCTGCAATGTAAGTTGCAGTTACGTTGCAGAGATCGTTAATACAACATCATGACATAATGACCGGCGGGGAGCCGGTCGGCCAAGCGGACAGCACGCTGGGTTTGTGATCCAGTGGTCCTGGGTTCGATCCCAGGCGCCGGCGAGAAACAATGGGCAGAGTTTCTTTCACCCTATGCCCCTGTTACCTAGCAGTAAAATAGGTACCTGGGTGTTAGCCAGCTGTCACGGGCTGCTTCCTGGGGGTGGAGGCCTGGTCGAGGACCGGGCCGCGGGGACACTAAAAAGCCCCGAAATCATCTCAAGATAACCTCAAGATATCATTGCAGGGTTCGCTAATATATTATTACAGGGTTCGCTAATACATTATTGCAGGGTTCGTTAATGCAACATCATTGTAAGGTTCGCTAATACATTATTGCAGGGTTCGTTAATGCAACATCATTGTAAGGTTCGCTAATGCAACATCATTGCAGGGTTCGCTAATATATTATTACAGGGTTCGCTAAAGCGACATTATTGCAGGGTTCGTTAATGCAACATCATGGCAGGGTTCGCTAATACATTATTGCAGGGTTCGTTAATGCAACATCATGGCAGGGTTCGCTAATACATTATTGCAGGGTTCGTTAATGCAACATCATTGTAAGGTTCGTTAATGCAACATAATTGTAAGGTTCGTTAATGCAACATCATTGTAAGGTTCGTTAATGCAACATCATTGTAAGGTTCGCTAATGCAACATCATTGTAAGGTTCGCTAATGCAACATCATTGTAAGGTTCGTTAATGCAACATCATTGTAAGGTTCGCTAATGCAACATCATTGTAAGGTTCGCTAATGCAACATCATTGTAAGGTTCGTTAATGCAACATCATTGTAAGGTTCGCTAATGCAACATCATTGTAAGGTTCGCTAATGCAACATCATTGTAAGGTTCGCTAATGCAACATCATTGTAAGGTTCGCTAATGCAACATCATTGTAAGGTTCGCTAATGCAACATCATTGTAAGGTTCGCTAATACATATTTTTTTCGTTTTCCAGTTATCTGAAGATACCTTAAAAGTGCTGACTGCAATACAGGTAAGTCTCCAGCTGCTCAATCCACCCTTTGGTGTCTAGTTATTTATCCCTGACAACTAATTACTTCTGACAACTAGTTATTTACTTCTGGGAGCTAATTATTTACACCTGGTAACACCTGAGGAGGCCGCGGGGACGCTAAGCCCCGAAATCATCGCAAGGTAACAACTGGCAACTAATTACTTATAATTGGCAACTTATTACTTACAATTGGTAACTTATTTACACCTAGCTACTAATTATTTACACTAGCAGTCACTATATACACCTGCAACGTATTATTTACACCTGGCTGGGCGCAGTGGACGATGGGCACGTCACCAACCCATCCACCAAAAACGACAGTACTTATAGCAACTATTTACTCAAACGTACAAATATGGACAGCTTGACCCTCCAAAAATCACTGTTTTTTTTATTGCGTAATTAGCCCAAATGGAATTCTACAAATAAAATACTCAATAATTTAACCTAACCTTACCTCTCTAAGCAATTCTAGGGGTCAAATACCCTATTTTAGGGCTAAAATGTGTGTATTAGACCTAAAATATAATGTAAAGCACATTACGTGTGTTATACTAGGCCTAAGAATGTTTATGTTTAAGGTTCGCTTTCGAGTTATGTTTCCGTGCTTTTTGCAAAATTAATAGTATATAAAGTGAATATTGTTGGCACTCAGAGCATAGTTAGGTGTTAGGGAATCGAACTGGGCCCCAGAAAGTGCCAAGCAAACGCTCTAACAACTGCTCCAAGGAGCCTATAAGAAGGATGACGGTGGTAGGCATTTATCTTTAAGATCCGGGAAGGCCTGAAAGGGTAGGTACTCTTAGGGCGAGAGTTCGCCTCCCTGACTCGCCAGGTGGTTGAAATATACGCAAGTGGCAACTTTTGCATGCGCATGGTCATATGCTCTGATCACTGAACCTCAGCTCCTCCACAACTTGAACGTGGGGACGTTTTTAGTCATAGGTTGTCACTTTAGCTGCTTCCCGGCAAGGTGTAGGTTGACTGGACTACAAGGTGTAGGTTGACTGGGCTACGAGGTGTAGGTTGACTGGACTACAAGGTGTAGGTTGACTGGGCTACAAGGTGTAGGTTGACTGGGCTACAAGGTGTAGGTTGACTGGACTACAAGGTGTAGGTTGACTGGGCTACAAGGTGTAGGTTGACTGGGCTATAAGGTGTAGGTTGACTGGACTACGAGGTGTAGGTTGACTGGGCTACAAGGTGTAGGTTGACTGGGCTATAAGGTGTAGGTTGACTGGACTACGAGGTGTAGGTTGACTGGGCTACAAGGTGTAGGTTGCTGGGCTACGAGGTGTAGGTTGCTGGGCTACGAGGTGTAGGTTGCTGGGCTACGAGGTGTAGGTTGCTGGGCTACGAGGTGTAGGTTGCTGGGCTACGAGGTGTAGGTTGACTGGGCTACAAGGTGTAGGTTGACTGGACTACGAGGTGTAGGTTGACTGGGCTATAAGGTGTAGGTTGCTGGGCTACGAGGTGTAGGTTGCTGGGCTACGAGGTGTAGGTTGCTGGGCTACGAGGTGTAGGTTGCTGGGCTACGAGGTGTAGGTTGCTGGGCTACGAGGTGTAGGTTGACTGGGCTACAAGGTGTAGGTTGACTGGACTACGAGGTGTAGGTTGACTGGGCTATAAGGTGTAGGTTGCTGGGCTACGAGGTGTAGGTTGCTGGGCTACGAGGTGTAGGTTGCTGGGCTACGAGGTGTAGGTTGCTGGGCTACGAGGGGTAGGTTGCTGGGCTACGAGGTGTAGGTTGCTGGGCTACGAGGTGTAGGTTGCTGGGCTACGAGGGGTAGGATGCTGGGCTACGAGGTGTAGGTTGCTGGGCTACGAGGGGTAGGATGCTGGGCTACGAGGTGTAGGTTGCTGGGCTACGAGGTGTAGGTTGCTGGGCTACGAGGTGTAGGTTGCTGGGCTACGAGGGGTAGGATGCTGGGCTACGAGGTGTAAGTTACTGGGCTACGAGGTGTAGATTAACTGGGCTACAAGGTGTAGGTTGCTGGGCTACGAGGTGTAGGTTGCTGGGCTACAAGGTGTAGGTTGCTGGGCTACAAGGTGTAGGTTGCTGGGCTACGAGGTGTAGGTTGCCTGGGCTACGAGGTGTAGGTTGCTGGGCTACGAGGTGTAGGTTGCTGAGCTACAAGGAATAGGTTGCTGGGCTACGAGGTGTAGGTTGCTGAGCTACGAGGTGTAGGTTGCTGGGCTACAAGGAATAGGTTGCTGGGCTACGAGGTGTAGGTTGCTGGGCTACGAGGTGTAGGTTGCTGAGCTACGAGGTGTAGGTTGCTGGCCTACGAGGTGTAGGTTGCTGGGCTACGAGGTGTAGGTTGCTGGGCTACGAGGTGTAGGTTGCTGGGCTACGAGGTGTAGGTTGCTGGGTTACGAGGTGTAGGTTGCTGGGCTACGAGGTGTAGGTTGCTGGGCTACGAGGTGTAGGTTGCTGGGCTACGAGGTGTAGGTTGCCTGGGCTACGAGGTGTAGGTTGCCTGGGCTACGAGGTGTAGCTTCCAATCTAACTATTATGGGTGCCCGTGGTCCATACATACATGTATAAATGTAGACACGTAATTCTATAATAGAGTAGATTATAATTACCTGGATAATGTAGGTTGGTATAAATGATGTTCATGTATGCCATCCCCACAATTATGACCTTACAGTCTATTGACCAGGTGTTGGAGGACATTCTATCACGAATTGCTCTCTTAATCAGACCTTCCTCGAGGATTCTCATGATTCCAGCACAAAGGAGAGCCCTTACCTGACCCCCTGGTGACCCGCAGGTGGACGAGGATATAGAGAACGAGGTGTGGCAGATGTGTGGGTTGCTGCGAGACCTGGAGCTCAGCAAAGAGACGCCACACTACTACCCTCACTGCTCCACCAGCCCCTTCCTCCTCTACCTCGCTCTCGCAGAGTTCTCCAGGTGTGTGTGTAGGAGCCTGGCTCCTCTGGCTTATTCCTCGTGACTCTTGTCAATTCACCGTGACCTTGTCCATCCTCCGTGCCTTTGGCATCATACTATCACCACTCCTGCCCATTTCATCCATCTTATGTTCTTCTTGCACAATGTTCTCATTTTTTATTTTGTTTCCGCCCATCAACAAATGATTTATCTATCCTGACTATTAGTGTCACCTTGGTCCATGCCACCAAGCGAGTCGCCTCGCCGTCTACTGGCTCAATATTACCTTGCAGGTTCCAGGAGCAGGTGGCGGCGTCAGATCGTCGTGCCCTGGTGTTGGGGACGGTGTGGCGACACTTCCTGCCTTCCGTCAGCCGGTGGGTCGACGTCACCGCCTACCGCGTCCTCTGTCGCATACGCACCGCTATTCTCACCGACCGTGTCGCCAACACCGGAGAACCCGTCCAGGTGACGTCTATTGCTTGGTCCCTTTCATTGCTATAGGTCCTTGTAGACAGGTGGGGTCTACTGGTCCCCTTCACAACTATGGGGCCTTGTAGACAGGTGGGGTCTACTGGTCCCCTTCACAACTATGGGGCCTTGTAGACAGGTGGGGTCTACTGGTCCCCTTCACAACTATGGGGCCTTGTAGACAGGTGGGGTCTACTGGTCCCCTTCACAACTATGGGGCCTTGTAGACAGGTGGGGTCTACTGGTCCCCTTCACAACTATGGGGCCTTGTAGACAGGTGGGGTCTACTGGTCCCCTTCACAACTATGGGGCCTTGTAGACAGGTGGGGTCTACTGGTCCCCTTCACAACTATGGTCCTTGTAGACAGGTGGGGTCTACTGGTCCCCTTCACAACTATGGGGCCTTGTAGACAGGTGGGGTCTACTGGTCCCCTTCACAACTATGTTCCTTGTAGACAGGTGGGGTCTACTGGTCCCCTTCACAACTATGGTCCTTGTAGACAGGTGGGGTTTACTGATCTCCTTCACAACTATGGGTCCTTGTAGACAGGTGGGGTCTACTGGTCTCCTTCACAACTATGGGTCCTTGTAGACAGGTGGGGTCTACTGGTCCCCTTCACAACTATGGGTCCTTGTAGACAGGTGGGGTCTACTGGTCCCCTTCACAACTATGTTCCTTGTAGACAGGTGGGGTCTACTGGTCCCCTTCACAACTATGGTCCTTGTAGACAGGTGGGGTCTACTGATCTCCTTCACAACTATGGGTCCTTGTAGACAGGTGGGGTCTACTGGTCCCCTTCACAACTATGGTCCTTGTAGACAGGTGGGGTCTACTGGTCCCCTTCACAACTATGGGGCCTTGTAGACAGGTAGGGTCTACTGGTCTCCTTCACAACTATGGGTCCTTGTAGACAGGTGGGGTCTACTGGTCCCCTTCACAACTATGGTCCTTGTAGACAGGTGGGGTCTACTGGTCCCCTTCACAACTATGGTCCTTGTAGACAGGTGGGGTCTACTGGTCCCCTTCACAACTATGTTCCTTGTAGACAGGTGGGGTCTACTGGTCCCCTTCACAACTATGGGGCCTTGTACCTAGGTGGGGTCGTCTTGTAACTCCATTTTGCTGTACCTTCAATGGTTTTTCCAACTTCATTTTGCTCTATTAGTTTTCTCACATTTAGTTTGTTAGACTAATTAGCATGATGCAAAACAAATTACAAAAATATAAATAGCATTATATATCTTACATATTATACATATTACATTTTAATTATTTATATTATATATATATATATATATATATATATATATATATATATATATATATATATATATATATATATATATATATATATATATATATATATGATAAACCTGATTGGTACACAGGCCTCACTTTAAATATCACAGTATTTAAAGTGAAGCCTGTGTACCAATCAGGTTTATCACTTGATATTTCATGTTCTGTGACTTAAACCTGGACCAGATGAAATAGTTGACCACATAACCCGAATGCACTCGGGGATGGGGTTCAATGAGTTCCTAAAGACTCTCCCATGCTCTAGTAGCGTGATGGTACAGTGGTACAGCACTCGGCTTTGCATCACGGGGGCAGAGGTTCTCACCCAACTTTGCAGGCTAACTGATAAGAGGGACAGCACCAACATAGGCGGGTGTGTATTGACCCCATTGCATCACATGTAAATGTTCTTCTCCTTACCTCCACAGTACACCACGTCGGCCGTGGACACCACGTCGTGTTTCTACCACGTCAAGACCTTCTGGAGACACTTAGCCTGGCCCGACCCGTGCTCCTCCTACTCCCTCGTCGTCAAGATGATCGAGGTTGGTTCAACGCCACAAAGTCCTGGCGATGATACCTGCTGATATTTCTGGTTAATTAAATATTCATATATACACGAAATGGATTTCTTAAAGTACAAAAGTATTTAATTCTTAATTCTTAAAGTACAAAGTTAAAGTACAAAAGTAAAGTATTTCAATCCTTTATTCAGTCCATCATTTATATGTATTTAAAATTAAGGCTTATTATAGTTTTTTAAAGTTTATTTGTATATTTATGTGTGTCTAGCTATGAGAGTGATGAGACTAGACACTATAGTGTCTAGCTATGAGAGTGATGAGACTAGACACTATAGTGTCTAGCTATAACTGAGATAAATGTGTCGAGCTGTAAGAGAAGGGTGGAGTCTACTGGTCCCCTTCATAGCTATGGGGCCTTGTAGACAGGTGGGGTCTACTGGTCCCTTCACAACTATGTTCCTTGTAGACAGGTGGGGTCTACTGGTCCCCTTCACAACTATGTTCCTTGTAGACAGGTGGGGTCTACTGGTCCCCTTCACAACTATGGGGCCTTGTAGACAGGTGGGGTCTACTGGTCCCCTTCACAACTATGGGGCCTTGTAGACAGGTGGGGTCTACTGGTCCCCTTCACAACTATGTTCCTTGTAGACAGGTGGGGTCTACTGGTCCCCTTCACAACTATGGGGCCTTGTAGACAGGTGGGGTCTACTGGTCCCCTTCACAACTATGGGGCCTTGTAGACAGGTGGGGTCTACTGGTCCCCTTCACAACTATGGTCCCCTTCACAACTATGTTCCTTGTAGACAGGTGGGGTCTACTGGTCCCCTTCACAACTATGGTCCTTGTAGACAGGTGGGGTCTACTGGTCCCCTTCACAACTATGGTCCTTGTAGACAGGTGGGGTCTACTGGTCCCCTTCACAACTATGGGTCCTTGTAGACAGGTGGGGTCTACTGGTCCCCTTCACAACTATGGTCCTTGTAGACAGGTGGGGTCTACTGGTCCCCTTCACAACTATGGGGCCTTGTAGACAGGTGGGGTCTACTGGTCCCCTTCACAACTATGTTCCTTGTAGACAGGTGGGGTCTACTGGTCCCCTTCACAACTATGGTCCTTGTAGACAGGTGGAGTCTACTGGTCCCCTTCACAACTATGGTCCTTGTAGACAGGTGGGGTCTACTGGTCCCTTCACAACTATGGGGCCTTGTAGACAGGTGGGGTCTACTGGTCCCCTTCACAACTATGTTCCTTGTAGACAGGTGGGGTCTACTGGTCCCCTTCACAACTATGGTCCTTGTAGACAGGTGGAGTCTACTGGTCCCCTTCACAACTATGGGGCCTTGTAGACAGGTGGGGTCTACTGGTCCCCTTCACAACTATGGTCCTTGTAGACAGGTGGGGTCTACTGGTCCCCTTCACAACTATGGTCCTTGTAGACAGGTGGGGTCTACTGGTCCCCTTCACAACTATGTTCCTTGTAGACAGGTGGGGTCTACTGGTCCCCTTCACAACTATGGTCCTTGTAGACAGGTGGGGTCTACTGGTCCCCTTCACAACTATGGTCCTTGTAGACAGGTGGGGTCTACTGGTCCCCTTCACAACTATGGGTCCTTGTAGACAGGTGGGGTCTACTGGTCCCCTTCACAACTATGGTCCTTGTAGACAGGGGGGTCTACTGGTCCCCTTCACAACTATGGGGCCTTGTAGACAGGTGGGGTCTACTGGTCCCCTTCACAACTATGGGTCCTTGTAGACAGGTGGGGTCTACTGGTCCCCTTCACAACTATGGTCCTTGTAGACAGGTGGGGTCTACTGGTCCCCTTCACAACTATGGGGCCTTGTAGACAGGTGGGGTCTACTGGTCCCCTTCACAACTATGGGTCCTTGTACCTAGGTGGGGTCGTCTTGTAACTCCATTTTGCTGTACCTTCAATGGTTTTTCCAACTACATTTTGCTCCATTAGTTTTCTCACGTTTAGTTTGTTAGACTAATTAGCATGATGCAAAACAAATTACAAAAATATAAACAGCATTATATATCTTACATATTATATATTACATTATAATTATTTTTATTATATATATATATATACATATATATATATATATATATATATATATATATATATATATATATATATATATATATATATATATATATATATGTCGTACCTAATAGCCAGAACGCACTTCTCGGCCTACTATGCAAGGCCTGATTTGCCTAATAAGCCAAGTTTTCCTGAATTAATATATTTTCTCTAACTTTTTTCTTATGAAATGATAAAGCTACCCATTACATTACGAATGAGGTCATTTTTTTATTGGAGTTAAAATTAACGTAGATATATGACCGAACCTAACCAACCCTACCTAACCTAACCTAACCTATCTTTATAGGTTAGGTTTGGTTAGGTAGCCGAAAAAGTTAGGTTAGGTTAGGTTAGGTAGGTTAGGTAGACGAAAAACAAATAAATCATGAAAACTTGGCTTATTAGGCAAATCTGGCCTTGCATAGTAGGCATAGAAGTGAGTTCTGGCTACTAGGTACGACATATATATATATATATATATATATATATATATATATATATATGTGTGTGTGTGTCGTACCTAGTAGCCAGAACGCACTTCTCAGCCTACTATGCAAGGCCCGATTTGCCTAATAAGCCAAGTTTTCCTGAATTAATATATTTTCTCTAATTTTTTTCTTATGAAATGATAAAGCTACCCATTTCATTATGTATGAGGTAATTTTTTTTTTATTGGAGTTAAAATTAACGTAGATATATGACCGAACCTAACCAACCCTACCTAACCTAACCTAACCTATCTTTATAGGTTAAGTTGGGTTAGGTAGCCGAAAAAGTTTAGTTAGGTTAGGTTAGGTAGTCGAAAAACGACTAATTCATGAAAACTTGGCTTATTAGGCAAATTGGGCCTTGCATAGTAGGCTGAGAAGTGCGTTCTGGCTACTAGGTACGACATATATATATATATATATATATATATATATATATATATATATATATATATATATATATATATATATATATATATATATATATATATATATATATATATATATATATATATATATATGTCGTACCTAGTAGCCAGAACGCACTTCTCAGCCTACTATGCAAGGCCCGATTTGCCTAATAAGCCAAGTTTTCATGAACTAATTGTTTTTCGACTACCTAACCTACCTAACCTAACCTAACCTAACTTTTTCGGCTACCTAACCAAACCTAACCGATAAAGATAGGTTAGGTTGGGTTAGGTAGGGTTGGTTAGGTTCGGTCATATATCTACGTTAATTTTAACTCCAATAAAAAAAAATTGACCTCATACATAATGAAATGGGTAGCTTTATCATTTCATAAGAAAAAAATTAGAAAAAATATATTAATTCAGGAAAACTTGGCTTATTAGGCAAATCGGGCCTTGCATAGTAGGCCAAAAAGTGAGTTATGGCTACTAGGTACGACATATATATATATATATATATATATATATATATATATATATATATATATATATATATATATATATATATATATATGTCGTACCTAGTAGCCAGAACGCACTTCTCAGCCTACTATGCAAGGCCCGATTTGCCTAATAAGCCAAGTTTTCACGAATTAATGTTTTTTCGACTACCTAACCTACCTAACCTAACCTAACCTAACGTTTTCGGCTACCTAACCTAACCTAACCTATAAAGATAGGTTAGGTTAGGTTAGGTAGGGTTGGTTAGGTTCGGTCATATATCTACGTTAATTTTAACTCCAATAAAAAAAAATTGACTTCATACATAATGAAATGGATAGCTTTATCATTTCATAAGAAAAAAATTAGAGAAAATATATTTATTCAGGAAAACTTGGCTTATTAGCAAAATCGGGCCTTGCATAGTAGGCTGAGAAGTGCGTTCTGGCTACTAGGTACGACATATATATATATATATATATATATATATATATATATATATATATATATATATATATATATATATATATATATATATATGATAAACCTGATTGGTACACAGGCCTCACTTTAAATATCACTGTATTTAAAGTGAAGCCTGTGTACCAATCAGGTTTATCATTTGATATTTCATGTTCTGTGACTTAAACCTGGACCAGATGAAATAGTTGACCACATAACCCGAATGCACTCGGGGATGGGGTTGAATGAGTTCCAAAAGACTCTCCCATGCTCTTGTAGCGTGATGGTACAGTGGTACAGCACTCGGCTTTACATCACGGGGGCAGAGGTTCTCACCCAACTTTGCAGGCTAACTGGTGAGAGGGAAATCACCAACATAGGCGGGTGTGTATTGACCCCATTGCATCACATGTAAATGTTCTTCTCCTTACCTCCACAGTACACCACGTCGGCCGTGGACACCACGTCGTGTTTCTACCACGTCAAGACCTTCTGGAGACACCTAGCCTGGCCCGACCCGTGCTCCTCCTACTCCCTCGTCGTCAAGATGATCGAGGTCGGTTCAACGCCACAAAGTCCTGGTGATGATACCTGCTGATATTTCTGGTTAATTAAATATTCATATGTACTCGAAATGGATTTCTTAAAGCGTTCCTTTATTCAGTCCATCATTTAAATGTATTTAAAATTAAGGCTTATTATTGTTTTTTAAAGTTTATTTGTATATTTATGTGTGTCTAGCTATGAGAGTGATGAGACTAGACACTATAGTGTCCAGCTATAACTGAGATAAATGTGTCGAGCTGTAAGAGAAGGTGTGTATGTCGAGCTGAGAGCAAGAATGTGTCGAGCCGAGAGGAAGAGTGTGTGGAGCTGAGAGCAAGTGTGTGGAACTGAGAACAAAAGTGTGTGGAGCTGAGAACAAAAGTGCGTGGAGCTGAGAACCAAAGTGTGTGGAGCTGAGAACCAAAGTGTGTGGAGCTGAGAACCAAAGTGTGCCGGCAGACAATGTCAGGCTCGGCAGACTACTACGTACACCTGCTGCAGCAGCGCCTCCACACCCTGGCCACAGACTCGGCGGAGCAGGAGCGGGCGCAACAGCTCTGCATCACCGTCAACAACATGGAACACGTCCGCAACTCCCTCACGCTCCTGCAGGAGGAACTTCAGGTCAGTCTTTCGCCTTCTCGCTCTCGCAAGCCCATCCCGACATTAATTTGGCTCTGATATTCCATGAATTAAGGGATGGCCTATCCTCAATCACGCCATTTCTATTATTCGATATTATATTTGGATTTCTTAATCTACTCAGGTGTGGGGTGTTGTGATGAATGTGATGATTCACGAAAGCGCTCAATTATCCTATGTTGGGTGATGAATTGAACGCGGGCTTCCTGTGTTTCAGATCGAGCAGCTGACGCAAATTTTGGACGCTCAGGATCCCCGCAACGGCACCACCTACACGGACCACGTCAACAGCCTCCTCCTCGCCGCCCTCCACAACCTCGACTCAAAGATCGCAGACTCCATGTCCCCGGTGGCTGAGAAGGTGTGTTCAGGGGAGGGGGGAGGTGTTCACGGTGTTTGGAGCTGGGGTGGCTACGTGTGTGGATGGGGGGGGTGGCAAGTGTGTACAGGAGAGGTGACAAGGGTGGAAAAGATACAAAGAGATGATTACAGTAATTACTTTTAAATTAAAAAAGTCAAATAACGTGAAAAAGACCAATAAAACAGAACGGTAAACAATTATTATTATTATTATTATTATTATATATATATATATATATATATATATATATATATATATATATATATATATATATATATATATATATATACATATATTATATATGTATATAATAAAAATATATGTATATATATATACATATATTGCGTATATAGTGAGAGAATTTGAAATAGAGAGGTGGAAGAGAGGAATGAGTGCCTACAGTAAGGGTGCGAGAAGACTGTGTAAAAGGGGGGACGGATAGCCGGCTGAGCGTTGCTCTTAGACCTACCAGAGTGAATATAATTCAAACACAGAGACGTCACCCAGTAACTGGGTGAGTGTTAGGGTATGCAATCATAAACGAGAGAAACCTTGGTAATATTTCAACAGTAAACACGAAAATAATATTGCAACTCTGATATAAATTCCAATAAGAGAAATACGGACGTTAGAAGGGAGGGAACGAACCAAGAAAATAGAATAAGCGACAAAGGATGATAGGGCGCGGAAAAAAAGGAATTTTAGTGAGGGACTGTGAGGTGAGGGAGATGAGGCAGTAGAAGTGAGAGGGAGTTAGAGAAGCCAAGAGATGGTGGCGGAGGAGAGAAGACAACCCACCTTCACCAAAACCGCCTCCAGAGCTAACGTGACAAAGGGGAACGTCCACCTATTCAGACGAGACACCTTTTTAACGCACCATAAAATACGCCAACCTCATCGAAGACGCGTCAAAGGGAAACTGAATAAAACTGCTCCGAAGGGAAGGGGGAAAATATAATTGGGAGCGAAGGGGAATTGGCAATCTGAGAACACAACTGAAACCCCCTCCCCCCCCCCTCTCTTCCATGTCCCCTCAGGGGACAACTTATTAAATCCGCCATTTAGGGTTTGTAATGTTACCACTGCATACACGCACCTATGTTGAATATTTATGCTTAAAACATATATTTGCAATGACCTCTAGTTAAGATTATATTTTAAATTTATTACCAAATGTTTTATATCATATATTTTTGGTTAATAAATATCAAACCTTATAGGCTGACCTGGTCAGTAAATGTGGGGGGGGGAGACACAGGTCAGTGAAGGTGGGAGTGGAGCAACAGAGATGATAATAAAGAGTGGACTAAGCCTCAACAAGTTACAAGGAATATGTTGTTTACACTGCAGTTATTGCCTGTTATGGAGAGTAGGAGAAGGGCGAGGAGGGAAATACTATAGAATACATGTACAGGGAACATGTATTCCTTGTACATGTAGTACAGTAGTGATACAGTATGCAGGGAATGGTACAGTAGAGTAATACAGTGTACAGGGAATGGTACAGTAGGGTGATACAGTGTACAAGGAATGGTAGAGTGGATTGAGGTATTGGTGGTGGAAACCAATACACAATTAAGAAGAGTATATGAGGTAATATATAAGTGAGGAATATAATGAGAGGGGGACCAAGTAATGGACATAATAACTCATTTCTGAGAGTATCCCAGAGTCCGTTATCAGTGTACAGAAATGTTTGGTTCGATGGTTTGCTTCTAAATAAAAGGTAGTAGAGCTTTTGTGTGTCGAGTGTGAGATTTTCTGACAAACAGCCAGAAGCTGGTAAGCCCAGTGGCTATTTCCTGTGAGTGTTGCCAAGTGATTAATGTGCAATGCCTTTCGGAAGACAACAGACAGTTAGGAGCGTGAGGGAGAGTTTGATAGAGGGAGGGAGAGCTTGATAGAAGGAGAGAGAGCGTGAATATGAGGATCTGCGCCTGACTCCTATCCCTCTTCCTGGTTGCTGCAGCTGCGGGCGGAGCTACAGAAGGATGTGTTCCACCTGGCGTGGTCCCCAGACTCCCTGCCGGCAGAGGAGGCGGTGAGACCCCTGCTGGAGCGGCTCTACGCCTCCCTCTCCACCTACTCGGCAGCACTCCTCAAGAACAACCTCGACCGCTTGCTCCACCTCTTGTGGCTTGCCGTCCTCAACGCCCTGCACGACCAGATCGGCAAGGACTCCGAGGTGGGTGCTGCTTTAAGTCCTCCACTTCTGTCTGCCAGGAAGCGTAGTGGCAGTGGTGGGTGATGAATAGCGCATTTAGACACGGAGGAATGCATGTTCGTGGTTAATTTAAATGGTGTGATGAGAAATGCAGAGGGAGGAATATATCGCCCGTCAATGTGTGTGGGTCTGGCGTGTCTTCTGTATACTTTGTTACACTCTTGCCGACCAACGCGTCATCTTGTACTACATTGGCAGCCGTTGTCCTATGTCGGTAGTCACTGTTCAGTGTTGACAGTCCTCGTCCTACATTGGCAGCCCTTGTCCGCAGAATCAAAACTTCCCATTGGTCCCTGAAGTATGTTCATTCTTCGTAATCAGAGACTTTTTAGTATCAATGCCACTTTATCACTCTCGTGTTCTTGATGATATACTCATAATGCATCCAAAGCTAGTGTTGGCTACTGATCACATGGCCCTGTATAACTAACCATCCTGCGAGATAGAGGCTGTTTAGCATCACATGGCTGGCTCTTGACACACACACGATGTAACCCTTCATAAAGTTTAGGCAAAGCTGCATAAATGTAGATGTATCCAAGTATGTACAAAATATATATCAGAATCCAGGCCTGGCGCGTCGCTGTACACAAATAGGTGACCAAGACCTGTCAGTGTACATTGTAACTTGCTTTTCTTATTTGATGCGAACAAGAGCATGACGTGCAAAACAATGAGGAAACAACGCTACACGACCAGCCTGTCAACATTCAGACAAGACACACTCCATTATATTTTATTTACAGCGCTAGAACCACTGCTAGTCTAAAAACTTTCCTTTATTGAAGAAAAATATATGACCGTCAAGTTGTAGAGTATTTGTTTGTCTTATACTTGGAGTCCTAACCCAGCTTGCTGTCTCGCTCTTCACCCGACAGGAGAAGCAGGAGGCGTTCTTTGTGAGGCTCTACGAAGCTCTGGATCTGCTGCGAACCTTCTTCCACGCCCACGGGAGAGGCCTGGACGCCAACACACTGATGGGGCCAGAGTACATCGCCCTAGAGAGACAGCTCAGGGTGGGTGGCTCGCCCTCCATGGCTCTAATGATCAGTATAAAATACTATTTATTGGCTAAAAAAAATTGTGTATGCTACAGCTTAGTCTGGAAGCATTGGTAATACAAAACTGAGCATTCAGTGATAATTCCCATTATGTATGACACTCGCGATGATTCATATGTATATCCTCCATGTACAATCTCTCAGTACAAATATTTCCAAATACATTGCATTTTTTAAGAAAAACATATCCACCCCGGGTCACCTGAAGAACCGTTCCCCTCCTCATGCGGGAGAAATTTCTCAGATGATTTCCCCTCTTTGTTTCTCTGTAAACCTCCTCAACCCTCCCCTACAGCTGCACAAGACGACGACAGAAGCGCTGATAGAAGCGTACCACCTGGAGCGTCTTGTGGTGCAAGAGAGAACTGAACTTCAAGAATACGGTTCCCTCTTCGTCCGGGTGTACTTTAACCACGACTCTCTCTGCGTCGAGGTCCTCCAGGCCAGGAACCTCATCCCTCTTGATCCTAATGGTACGTGAGAGGTGGTAGTTGTGGTTCTTGTTCTTAGTGGTACGTGGAACTACGTGGCAAGACATGGGACGTCAAAAGTGTCGGTCATAATCAAATTTGAAGTATTTTACTAATTATGGTGATTGTGGTGGTACTAACAGAGGGTGTTAGCAGTGGTACTGATTTGTCATTGTTGAGACTGGTGCTAGTTGTAGTGGTGGTGGAGGTTGTGGTCGTGATGCTGGTCATATTTGGTGATGCCATTGAAGCACGATACAGAATCAGAGTATGTATCACCCTACGTTTGTTTTCATGGCAAATTATCATAGATAATGTGGTCTGTATCATTAACACATGTTTCCCTGCATTCTCGCGCCAGGCTTCAGCGACCCCTTCGTTGTAATTGAGATGCTGCCTCGCCGACTCTTTCCCGGTTCGGTGCCTCAACAGACCAACGTCCACAAGAAGACCCTTCACCCGCTCTTCGACGAGTGCTTTGAGTTGTACGTAGACCCTTCTCCTGTTTATCTCCCAACCTGTGTGGGTAAATACATGTCTCTAGCAGCTGGTACCACGGGCATCAGGTACCACGGGCATCAGGTACCACGGACATCAGGTACCACGGGCATCAGGTACCACGGGCATCAGGTACCACGGGTATCAGGTACCACGGGCATCAGGTACCACGGGTATCAGGTACCACGGGTATCAGGTACCACGGGCATCAGGTACCACGGGCATCAGGTACCACGGGCATCAGGTACCACGGGCATCAGGTACCACGGGCATCAGGTACCACGGGCATCAGGTACCACGGGCATCAGGTACCACGGGCATCAGGTACCACGGGCATCAGGTACCACGGGCATTTGGTGCCTAAAAATAAAAGTCTACTCACAAAGTGTCCGATGCACACTATGGCTTTGTAAATAATCCTTAAACTAATACACTCCCCTATATAATTAAAACAATTTAAATCATTGTGATTTATAAAATGTTGAACTCTGTTTGGGTGACGAATGTTTTGTTTCTGCTTGGTGACAATACGGCCCCGGCCATGTTACTGTCACTGGCCAGGCGTCTGCTTGGGGACAATACGGCCCCGGCCATGTTACTGTCACTGGCCAGGCGTGACAGCTTCCGCTAATTTGTGACATGTCTATTTTGGCATTTGATACGTGTTAATTGGGCGTCCTATAACTTATTGCATTTAATATTCTATATTAATATAAATTGTATATGATATGTATAAATATATATAACAGAATATTTTCCGAATATATTTGATATATATTTTGAATATATTGAATATTTGAATATATTTAAACTAAGTTAATCTACAGGTAAGTTTTATGCAACATTACTTTTCTGAAAGCTCTTAGACCCGTGTCTTGCTTTGAAACGCGTGACCTGCAAATACCCAACTAATAGTCGTGTTTAAAGTGAGCTTGTAGATGTGCTCAGAGCTTTGCTGCACATGAGGTGATGTTATAGAGCTCTTGTGCCCACAAGCAATGCTCTAGTAGAGCTCTTGTGTTGCAGCCCGGCCACACTGGAGAGCTGCCAATCAGAAGGCGCCATGATCCTCTTTACGGTGATGGACCATGACGTCATCACCTGCAATGACTTCGGCGGGGAGGCGTTCCTCTCCCTCAACACCATCCCCGGCGTCGTCCCCTCCTCAGCCTCCGTCGACAACTTCCACGGACTCAAGCCCATCGAACTCAACCTCATGTTCCAGAAGGATCCAGGTCTGTTCCTCGGCCAGCGAAAGTTCGTTGGTCTTAAAATGTATTAAAACAGGAGAGTTACGTATCCCAGCACTTTGTAGTTATTTGTTTCAATTACCACCACAAGTCAAATAAAATTCTTCACTCTTTCTGTGAATGTGTTACTTTAAACGTTACTTGATGTATAATAATATCACAAGGATATGATGTACCTTTGATAAAATATTGAAGTCATGCAATGGGATTGAACCTGCACCCTTGGGCACCCGAGGCACAGTGGACTATGATGAGCTTGAACTATCTCAACCAAAAGTACTACCCGACTAATTTCTAAACTCCAAGTCAGTCATGAAGTACTTCTGATAATAATAGTTTAAGACCATCGTGGCTCAATCGGTAATGTGTCTGCCTGGAGAGTTCAATGACGCAGGTTCGATCCCACCTTACAGCCTCAATATCTTCTCCACGTTACTCGTTATACTTCCTACTTCACCAAAGTGGAAAATGAACTGATGATATATGAATAATAAATGAATGCTTGAATAAGCAAAACATTTCTCAGAAGTGTTTGGTAAACTCTTACAAACGAGATTTTCGAATTAACTCAGAATCTTTCATGGTTGTACACTTATATGTTGCTCGTCTCTTCTTGATAGACAACATCATCCTTAAGGTGCTCGAGACGAGGACCAACGAGAAGATGGCGACGGATTTCGTCAAGAAGCAGAAAGAGAGAATTGCTCGCCTCTCCTAGGACATGCGACCCTCTCTCTTAGTCGACCTGTAGGCAGACTCGACATTGTTCCCTAGGACATCCTACGGCCAGGGAAAACATTTTCGTCTGGTCGACCCACGGCCAGAAGTTAGATCGACCGTGTCTTCTGTTTGTCTCATGCTATCTGGTTGAACAGCAGTCAATACCACACACGACCTAACTTCCTGGTCGACCAAGAAGCAGAAGGACGCTCGACGATGTCTTCTGGTCGACTCGCAGAGACACTCGACTAAATGAGTTAGCCGACACACACAGTCCTCGGCTGTACCTTCCTATGTCTTTTGTGGGGCCCTGGAACCTCTCTCTTTTGTCTTATTCGTGTTCTCTCTCTCATTCTTGTTCTCTTCCTTATTTCAGTATCTCTCCCTCTCTCTCTATTTATCTAATTATCTTTGTCTTTCATTGCCACAGTGACATAGGAAACCCAAGCTTCCCTATAGTGGCCCAAGGCATTCACTCCTTGGCGTCTACCCTTAGTGGCCTTCAATTGATACTTACCTGTTAATCTTCGTGACTTCTGGACATCATTCCTTCAGCGTGACATCCCTCAAGTCTTTCGTTACAACTGACATCAGCGGCCTCGGAGAATTTCTTAATCTCTCTTTCGTGGCCGACTTCGTTGTAGTCGTCGAAAGTAGAGGGTTTGGCATATGCTGAAGACTGTGGTGATAACGTAGCCTTTTTTGAAGTCTAATACATGTGCGTATTTCGCATATTTTGCTACCAGAGTCCTCATCAACACTGTAATTACAAGAATCGTGTAATCACATGTTTCCAATAGTTCTTAAGGTCTTTAGAGTTGTAGTTTATACATTTTATCAAGAGATTAGAGAATGAAAAGGACTGTAAATTGAAGCTCGTCATGTACAGCCGACTAAAAGCGAATATTAAATATTTTCAAAGAGACAGCTTCGGTAAAGGAGAATGTAGAGCCTTGCGACACACTCACGAGATCTGCTCCCAGGAGGCCCTCGACCAATATTCACTCATGCTTACATACTCTCCCTGGCTCAAAATAGTAAAACCTAAAATCAGGCTCACCATTCAGTATTTGATCTTGTAGCATGTAGGTTTATGCAACTCTCTAGCTCCTTCAAGCAATATTGGGCGGGTCTGTACGTCTTCAGTGACCCATTCAAATATTCTAAATTCAATAGTAATATTATGTACCACAATAATTGTATCTATGTTTGAGTGAGCACTTCCGAGTACGTGATTAGTGTACGGGCTCAAGTTTGTCTTTATGAATATAACTTCCTAATGGTAGTTTATATAGGTATATAGTGTAGTATACTATCACCTCAAGCAGTGTGTAAAGAGTTGCTGGCATTTCACTTCTGACACATTTGTATTTTCTAGCAAAGTATTAGTTCCATCTTATTCATGAGATACGAAAATGTAAGGTTAAAGTTGAATATTTATATTTCCATGACCAAGAATTATTTTCATTCTGTGTAAGTGTGTAATAGATTAAGTATCAACCCTCCTGGTCTCTCCAGAGGGAAGCGCCAAGACGCGACACTCGGGTGCTGACAAGCAAAGTCCTGGAGAGTTTCCCTCCCGAGCAGATGCTTCTTGTCAGGGATTTACTCTTGCTTTTGAATCTGCTTAAGGCATCGTTACAAAATATTAGGCCTTTCTCCCAAATTATATAGTGTGTTCATATGTAACCTCTACGAAGCTTCGAATCACAACATTTTTTACAACTTATAACGAAGCATTAATCTATTAATCTAAAACTGTGTGTGTGTAAATATTGCTGGGATTGGAAGCTGTAAATGTTTCATGTGGTGATTCTATATATTCAAAACAAGTGTAAATTTAAGCCAGTGGAGAGCCATAAGTTCAGTTTAAGCCTTAAGTTCAGAAAGCAGTGGAAATTTAAGCCTAGCTCACATAACTAGGTATTGGCGACGCCCTGACAAGACTACCTCGGGCACCAACTGTCCAGTACTTGCATCCCCCAGCCACTCACTAGCCCGGATCCTGCGCTGTGTACATAGTACTCTCGGCGGTTGACACCTTTTAACCCGAGGAATGTAGTTCGACACGACAGCAAAATGCTCGCGTGAGGTCGAGACTAAAGCCACAAAGTTGTGGTTGTCTGCTAAGTCTTGTTGCGTTCGTGTGAGGTACGAGCACCGTGCCTGAAGTACCCCAGCCATCGTGTACCCCCCAGACCGCCTGTACATATTCAAGCACCTCGCCACTACACACACGCCATCACACACACACGCCATCACACACACACGCCACACACAGCAATACTTCCCAAACCCAGCTCGAGCACCACAACTAGTACAGGAAACATGCCACACGCCTCAACGATCTTGAACCAAATAACTCATAACATTTTGCAAACACGTGTTCTCTTCCCCCCCCCACCCCCATCCCCCCCCCCCCCCCCCCCCCCACCATATCCCCAACTTAGCGATCTTAATGAAACACAACCTCGTCTGCTGGATTGGGACCACCTCAGTGTTATTCATCTCCCTTTGCTAATATGTCATAAACCTCAGTATCATTTGATTTACTGTTACTCGGCCTTTCGATTTAGATAACTTTACATGTATATATACATAGTTGTCAAGACTTCATAACGCAGCAGAAGAGGTTCGACAGACCAGCGCTACTAGCGTCCTTCGAGTGAGGCTTGTGGAACCCCTGGGGAAATGAGAGCCCAGGGACAATGTGGAGCCCAGGGACAATGTGAAGCCCAGGGACAATGTGAAGCCCAGGGACAATGTGAAGCCCAGGGACAATGTGAAGCCCAGGGACAATGTGAAGCCCAGGGACAATGTGAAGCCCAGGGACAATGTGAAGCCCAGGAACAATGTGGAGCCCAGGGGCAGTGTGGGGAAGTATTGGGCCAAGAATCAGGGTGAGGCTCAGGGGCAATGAAGACCAATGAATAGTGTTGGACCAAGGAGCAGGGTGAGCCCCTGGGGTCGGTGACGAGCCCAGTGCAGTACCCAGGCTTTGTTTACACATTTACACCCCGAACTCTATGCCCAAGGACGTTGTCATTACAAAAGTGTAAATTTTGATATTATTGGCTAAGTATTGCATTACTGGGCATAAAGATTACCATAGGCCTCAATATTCTACCACAGAATGTTCGAATATACGCGATTAAACAAAAAATACCTCGGCTTGGGGGAGGGTGTAACAGCCTAGCAGGATTTGCCTAGCAGTAACCAAACTTGTAACGGGTTTGTCACTTCTCAGAGTCACTGTTGACGCCCTCGTATGTGCATGTTATTTAAATATTATTAGTAAACTATTCATCTCGTATAAACGACTATCCATATCAAACGACGCAAGCAGCGCGCAGACGACGCAAGCAGCGCGTAGACGACGCAAGCAGCGCGTAGACGACGCAAGCAGCACGCAAACAACGCAAGCAGCGCGCAGACGACGCAAGCAGCACGCAAACAACGCAAGCAGCGCGCAGACGACGCAAGCAGCGCGTAGACGACGCAAGCAGCACGCAAACAACGCAAGCAGCGCGCAGACGACGCAAGCAGCGCGCAGACGACGCAAGCAGCGCGCAATCAACGCAAGCAGCGCGCAGACGGCGCATGCCAAATACTTTCAAATCGAACACTGATGCAAAACAGATTGTGCACCAGAAGAGCGTGAACTCCACAACTCCCTACAGTGGCAGGACATCCACGTCTCAAGTGATTATTATGATCAGCTGGTGTAGGCTTCGGTGCTCCTTATCACCAGCGTCTGTACACAGGACTAGTCCATTTGATGCATCACTGAACTGTGCTTTCCACTTCACTATACGAGAAGAAACTTTTGTTTTTCTAATTTTACTGTATTCTGTAAAAGCAATTAAATTGGTTTAATTAACTTGTATCTTGTGCAAGACTGGTTACAATGTTTCTTGAAGAGTTTATTCTGCGTTTGAGCAGGTAAAACATACGTTCCTTTGTAGCGTGAAAATTGTCTTACTTTATTTATGCTGTAAAATAACACTTCTGAACCATTGCTAGCATAACTAGCCAAGAGCAGCCCGTCCTCATAAACAATGGCCAAATGCTCATGAAGTCACTTTACACTAGAATGATCACTAAACTGATAACCTACTGCAAATTTAAATAATTGCCAACAGACCCAGAAACATCTAAGCTATCCGAAGTTAAATTATACAATTATTATTAATCTAAACTTTAATATGCTGTATTGTTTTTGGCTACACAGTACGTTAAAATGGGTCTTTGGGGTCGGCCCCAGCTTGGACAGTCTGAAGACGGGTTGGGGTCGGCCCCAGCTTGGACAGTCTGAAGACGGGTTGGGGTCGGCCCCAGCTTGGACAGTCTGAGGACGGGTTGGGGTCTGCCCCAGCTTGGACAGTCTGAGGACGGGTTGGGGTATGCCCCAGCTTGGACAGTCTGAAGACGGGTTGGGGTCGGCCCCAGCTTGGACAGTCTGAGGACGGGTTGGGGTCGGCCCCAGCTTGGACAGTCTGAGGACGGGTTGGGGTCGGCCCCAGCTTGGACAGTTGAAGACGGGTTGGGGTCGGCCCCAGCTTGGACAGTCTGAAGACGGGTTGGGGTCGGCCCCAGCTTGGACAGTCTGAGGACGGGTTGAGGTCGGCCCCAGCTTGGACAGTCTGAGGACGGGTTGGGGTCTGCCCCAGCTTGGACAGTCTGAGGACGGGTTGGGGTCTGCCCCAGCTTGGACAGTCTGAAGACGGGTTGGGGTCGGCCCCAGCTTGGACAGTCTGAGGACGGGTTGGGGTCTGCCCCAGCTTGGACAGTCTGAGGACGGGTTGGGGTCGGCCCCAGCTTGGACAATCATAGTCTGAGGACGGGTTGGGGTCGGCCCCAGCTTGGACAATCATAGTCTGAGGACGGGTTGGGGTCGGCCCCAACTTGGACAATCATAGTCTGAGGACGGGTTGGGGTCGGCCCCAGCTTGGACAATCATAGTCTGAGGACGGGTTGGGGTCGGCCCCAACTTGGACAATCATAGTCTGAGGACGGGTTGGGGTCGGCCCCAACTTGGACAATCATAGTCTGAGGACGGGTTGGGGTCGGCCCCAACTTGGACAATCATAGTCTGAGGACGGGTTGGGGTCGGCCCCAACTTGGACAATCATAGTCTGAGGACGGGTTGGGGTCGGCCCCAACTTGGACAATCATAGTCTGAGGACGGGTTGGGGTCGGCCCCAACTTGGACAATCATAGTCTGAGGACGGGTTGGGGTCGGCCCCAACTTGGACAATCATAGTCTGAGGACGGGTTGGGGTCGGCCCCAACTTAGACAATCATAGTCTGAGGACGGGTTGGGGTCGGCCCCAGCTTGGACAAACAGTATGAGGGTAGGTTACCAAGAGAGGCAGTTCAGAAGTTATCTGCATCTTTATCACATCTGACAAATCTTACATTTTGTAATTTGCATTTCTTGGTGTTAAGTGTTAAAAGTCGGTAAAACTTGCTTATAAAAGGTCAGAGAGAGCAAGTGAGAGAATGGGGTCAGGTGGGAGTCACTGAGCTGTAATTGGTGGTGGTTGTGTCACCCACACGTTGCATTTGTACACATTCTAGGGGGATGATGCCCTTGAAACACTTTTGAACTTTTTACAGGTGTTAGTTCTGTTTTAGGTGTTCTTTTGGACCTGATCAGCGCCCGTCGTTTCCGGGACGCTGGGAGGTCTTCCCGTGTCTCAAGACACTCAAAGACCACTTGACCAATGGCACTCTTCCACTGTGACACCCTCACCCCACTCCCCCCCCCCCCCCAACCATCGTCCTCCGTGGCCCCCCATTAACAAAACTGGAACAGTTTATAAGACCATTTTCCCTATTAGCGTCTTCATATTTAATCTCAGATTCTGAGAAATATGTCATAGGTCTTAATTAATAAGTGTATTTAAATTTAATTTTGGCCTTGTGGCATTAATTTAATTCTGCATTAATTAAGCGCTTAGTTGTCTTAGACGCTCTGGTCCATTCACAAAAGTCTAACGCGATCTCGTAACTTAGAGTTTGATGGGTGTTGCCTACACCTTCTAACTCTTTCTTGTGAGATAAATTTTGGTGCATTTAATATTATATATTGTACTTCAGCAAGATGTAAACAAAAATTATATTGTTTACAAAGTTACATGTGGCTGAAATGCAGATTTTTTTATCGTGAACACATTTTTCCCCTTAGTACCTTTTGAGTAGTGATTACGTTCTCTTGCCCGGGTGTGTGACCTGCTCAGCCCGCTGGTCAGTCAGGTCCGCAGGAATGGTCTGGTCACAATTAGGAGTCAGGTCTTGTCCTAACAAACACAGTGTCTGGGTAAGACGGGTTCAGAGTTCCAAGTATTATTCTAAGCATCGTCCTTCTCAAGTATATGACTTTCCTGCAGATATTGGTTGTGAACTTATTTGAAAATACAAAATGAAGTGCAAGCGCCTGTCCTCAACTAGCGTGACTTTGGCTAGCGCAAATAACACATCTTCTGTATTACTAGTTAACTATATTTATTAACTAGAATTATTTTTCTTTCAAGGGAAATACTCCTCTTGAAGGTAATCTCTCCCTACGCGGCTCGGGATGGGCGCACTCTGTATAGGTTGTGTTGACCTAGCCACTGCGGCCGCCATCGCTAATGATGGAATACATGTGTATGTTTTGGTCTGGGTTACCGCTGCTGGCGTTGTCATATGATCAACAAAATATGCCATATATATGAAGAGTAACAATGAAAACACAATGCACACTTTTGCACACACATTCCTATCCTACGAAATATATTAAATAGATATTTTAATGCATTGCTTTGTGTTTCATTTCCCTCCCTGACCCAACGGTATAGACTTATAGGTTCACTCAGATCCTGAACTGATGGTTCAGTTCCGGCGTAGTGGCAGTTTTTTTTTTTTTTTTTTTTTTTTTGAGATATATACAAGAGTTGTTACATTCTTGTACAGCCACTATTACGCGTAGCGTTTCGGGCAAGTCCTTAATCCTATGGTCCCTGGAATACGATCCCCTGCCGCGAAGAATCGTTTTTTCATCCAAGTACACATTTTTTTTTTACTGTTGCGTTAAACAGAGGCTACAGTTAAGGAATTGCGCCCAGTAAATCCTCCCCGGCCAGGATACGAACCCATGACATAGCGCTCGCGGAACGCCAGGCGAGTGTCTTACCACTACACCACGGGGACTGCAGTTCCGCAAAGTTTCACGCGTTCGAGTCCCACTGAGGATGTAGTGTCTTTCAAATCTGGATTTACTCACCTTCCAGAGTATAACTATGTCCCAACTCCTCACACTGATATATAATTATGCATAATATTTTAGTCGTAGGTCCCCCTTACCCGATCAAGAAATACTAGTGCTAACAAATTTAATATAGTTACTCCCTTCAATTTGTTCTCTTTTTTTTATAGCGTCTATAAAGAAAACGAAACCATGTCATTAAGGTAAACTTCAAAATATTTTAGCACGGTAACCAAAAGTTTTACCTGAATAAACTGCATTAAACCATGACACTCCATAAACTTTATTTGCAAACTGCAGTTCAAAATACAGTTGAAAAAATCTCAGGACAAATTGAGGGCGGGGGGGAGACTTTGATAAGCCGACAGCTCCAGTCTCCGTGGTGTAGTGGTAAGACACTCGCCTGGCGTTCCGCGAGCGCTTTGTCATGGGTTCGTATCCTGGCCGGGGAGGATTTACTGGGCGCAAATCCTTAACTGTAGCCTCTGTTTAACTCAACAGTAAAATGGGTACTTAGTTGTAACAACGATTCTTTGCGGCGGGGATCGTATTCCAGGGACCTGCCCGAAACGCTACGCGTACTAGTGGCTGTACAAGAATGTAACAACTCTTGTATAACGGGGTGAGAACAGCTTGAGCTACCTCATCCCTTTGTGTGCATTTTACCTCAATAAACTTATTTCAATTCAACTCTTGTATATATCTAAAAAAAAAGGTTCCTGCCCCTGTCGTGGCCACTAGAGAGATGGTTCCCCCACCCCCCACCCCATTGTAAATCCCAGTAAATCAAACCTATATTAGACCAGCTCTTGAGTATAAAGCCATTCAGCACCTCTCCTGTGCCAGGTAAGTCCACTACGGGCTCACCATAGCCCGTGCTACTTGGAACTTGTTCCTAGTAGCTGAATCTATAACAACAACAACAGTATAAAGCCTTTATACGCCAATAAGTGACGGAGAGTCGTATCTTTCCGCGCCGGAGGGAAGGGATAAGGGAAGCCATTAACTATCTGAAGGCCACCATATATTTAGTGGCTTCGATGGGGACAGGAATCCGATGGCTTGTCAAAGATCCCCCCCCCCCTCCACCTATTTGGCCTGAGAATTATTTCCAACTCGATTTTGAACTGCAGTAATGTCTTGGCACTTACGGCTTTGGCGGGTAGGCGGTTCCATGGGTTTACAATGCTATGGATGAAAAATAGGTGCATTCATGTCCTTCATAAAGCATTCAAATCCTTCACTATACACTCAGATTCTTCATTACATATATCCAGGTCCTTCATTACATACACTCAGATCCTTCATTACATACACTCAGATCCTTCATTACATACACTCAGATCCTTCATTACATACACTCAGATCCTTCATTATACACACTCAGATCCTTCATTACATACACTCAGATCCTTCATTACACACACTCAGATCCTTCATTACATACACTCAGATCCTTCATTACATACACTCAGATCCTTCATTACATACACTCAGATCCTTCATTATACACACTCAGATCCTTCATTACATACACTCAGATCCTTCATTACACATACTCAGATCCTTCATTACATACACTCAGATCCTACATTACATACACTCAGATCCTTCATTACATACACTCAGATCCTTCATTACATACACTCAGATCCTTCATTATACACACTCAGATCCTTCATTACATACACTCAGATCCTTCATTACACACACTCAGATCCTTCATTACATACACTCAGATCCTTCATTACATACACTCAGATCCTTCATTACATACACTCAGATCCTTCATTATACACACTCAGATCCTTCATTACATACACTCAGATCCTTCATTACACATACTCAGATCCTTCATTACATACACTCAGATCCTTCATTACATACACTCAGATCCTTCATTACATACACTCAGATCCTTCATTACATACACTCAGATCCTTCATTATACACACTCAGATCCTTCATTACATACACTCAGATCCTTCATTACACATACTCAGATCCTTCATTACATACACTCAGATCCTTCATTACATACACTCAGATCCTTCATTATACACACTCAGATCCTTCATTACATACACTCAGATCCTTCATTACACACACTCAGATCCTTCATTACATACACTCAGATCCTTCATTACATACACTCAGATCCTTCATTACACACACTCAGATCCTTCATTACATACACTCAGATCCTTCATTACATACACTCAGATCCTTCATTACATACACTCAGATCCTTCATTACATACACTCAGATCCTTCATTACATACACTCAGATCCTTCATTACATACACTCAGATCCTTCATTACACATACTCAGATCCTTCATTACATACACTCAGATCCTTCATTACATACACTCAGATCCTTCATTACACACACTCAGATCCTTCATTACACACACTCAGATCCTTCATTACATACACTCAGATCCTTCATTACATACACTCAGATCCTTCATTACATACACTCAGATCCTTCATTACATACACTCAGATCCTTCATTACATACACTCAGATCCTTCATTACATACACTCAGATCCTCATTACATACACTCAGATCCTCATTACATATACTCAGATTCCTCATTACACACACTCAGATTCTTCATTATACAAGTCACAGTGAGAAAAAAATTTTAAACCTTTAACAAGTCCTTCTAATCATTAATGTTCTTAGACATGATACACAAATGGTGTTTGGGGCGAGGACTCCCGAGACGTGAACATCCAGCAGTGAATTAATGGCTCGAGATATTATTAAGACGTCCGCACTGTGGAATACACACGTGTTTAAACACGTCACCACAGATGTGTCCACATTGTCAACTTATCAAAACCAATTTGTGAAAAGTTCTTGGGTCAAAATGCGCGATTGATGCTCCCTCCCCTCGATGTCTCTCCTGGCTTCACACTCATCCCCTTCCCCCCTACTTCTCAGGTCGTGGATATTGAGGAGGGGTGTGTGGGGGGGAGGAAGAGTGTGTGTGGGGGGGGGGAGTGTGTGTGGGGGGGGAAGAGTGTGTGTGGGGGGGGGGAAGAGTGTGTGTGGGGGGGAAGAGTGTGTGTGTGGGGGGGGAAGAATGTGTGTGGGAGAAGAGTGTGTGTGGGGGAAGAGTGTGTGTGGGGGAAGAGTGTGTGTGGGGGAAGAGTGTGTGTGGGGGAAGAGTGTGTGTGGGGGAAGAGTGTGTGGGGGGAGGCGTGTGTGGGGGGGAGGCATGTGTGGGGGGAAGTTTCTATGGGGGAGGAGTGTGTGGGAAAGAATGGTGTGGGAGTGGGGTGTGGAGGAAGAGGTATGTTGGGGAGGAGTGTGTGTGTGTGTGGGAGTGAATAGTGTGGGAGTGGGGGTTATGTGAGGGGATGGGTATGGAGGGGGGGGGGAAGTGTGTGGGGTAGGGGGAGGAGTGTGTGGGAAGGGGGGGATGGGGTGGAGAGAGGAGTGTGGTGAGAGTCGGGGGTGGCGACGGAGAGCTGGCGTCGGCACATGTGTTTCCGCAGCCGCCCAACTCACACCTGCAGCCGTACTGCCACCACCACCACGCGCCACACAGGTAGGACTCGACACTACCTGAAGGAGACCGCAAATGTTCAAGGCGAGGTGTGTAGTGACGGAATGAGGAGGGAGGGGGGGGGGTGTTAGTGATCCTCGGGGCAAGAACACGTGTACACATGTGTGGGCAGCATCTGTGTGGAGTGCAAGTGTCTGGACCACCGGTGCTCTTCCTTCCCACCTGTTTATCCAACATCACCTGGCCAGAATTGCTGTTCAAGTAAACACTTGTCTGTCGCATTCACAGTCGTCGACAGTGTGCATCGGGCGGTGACACGACCCTCCGTGGGACAAGGGCGATGAGCGCCCTTCAAGATTCCAGGAGACGGAGATGGGAACGCTGCGGATGCCAAGCATCTTTGCGATGAAATTCTATATCGACGCAGGTGGCGGGGGATGAAACCCCCTTTCGACGCAGGTGACGTGGCGCTCCTGAGGCTGGAGATAAGACCTACCGTAATGACATCGCCATAGATGACTATCGCCAACCCTAGTCCCACATCCTCATACCAACTATCCTGATGCCTCTTGAACAAACGGCGCAGCTGACTTCACAAATGACACCTTAGTTCCTCCATTCCTTTCCCTATATCAGCACTAGAAAGAAGAACTATAAACTAGATTTCCACCCCACAGTCGAGGTAAGGAATATGGCCCTGGGTCAGTCATCATTGCGGCGCACTCGCCCAGGCGCGCTCAGAGCCAGGTCGGTAGCGGCGAAGAACGCAGCGTCAGTGGCTACCAGGAAAAATCTGACTCGCCTCGCGCACCTGAACCAGCGAAACCTGTGTGAAGTGGGTCGTATCCTAGTGCACATCAGCGCCAAAGGTGACATAATTTTAACACTATATACTAAATGGTTCCAAAATGGATGGGATGGGTTCCAAAATGGTCCACTTGGGTTTCAGATGGGACGATTTGTTAGAGTAGGTACCCACGTCCAATATGATGCTGGTGCAAGGAGTGTGCCAGCCTGGTACAAAATGTACATAGGTTCAACCCACGCAGAGTGAAGGTCTCTCTCCCACCACATCTCTCTAATATTTCTTCCCCCTCCCCCTTCCCTCCCCCTTCTCTCCCTACCTTGGGTTAGTGTTGGACTGAAGGCCTATTAACCCCTTTGAGGTCGCGGGTTAACAAGGCCACAACAATAGCCTACTGACAAACCAGCAAAAATGATAAAAATTAGCAAAAGTCTTAAACATATACAAAAACTAAAATCCCAGAGCATATATGCCAAGAAATAGGTATAGTTTATATATATATATATATATATATATATATATATATATATATATCCGCCCCCTCAATTTAGCATTGGCTTCACTCTCACAAAACAAAGCATTTTATGGTATCTGGATCTGTATTCTTGGGGTATGGGGAGCATTGTGGCGTCGTCTGTGTCTGGCGTCGTCTGTGTCGTGACCAATAGTGTCAGCTGTGTCTGGCGTCGTCTGTGTCTGGCGTCGTCTGTGTCGTGACCAATAGTGTCAACTGTGTCTGGCGTCGTCTGTGTCGTGACCAATATAGTCAACTGTGTCTGGCGTCGTCTGTGTCTGGCGTCGTCTGTGTCGTGACCAATAGTGTCAACTGTGTCTGGCGTCGTCTGTGTCGTGACCAATAGTGTCAACTGTGTCTGGCGTCGTCTGTGTCTGGCGTCGTCTGTGTCGTGACCAATAGTGTCAACTGTGTCTGGCGTCGTCTGTGTCGTGACCAATAGTGTCAACTGTGTCTGGCGTCGTCTGTGTCTGGCGTCGACCAATAGTGTCAACTGTGTCTGGCGTCGTCTGTGTCGTGGCCAATAGTGTCAACTGTGTCTGGCGTCGTCTGTGTCGTGACCAATAGTGTCAGCTGTGTCTGGCGTCGTCTGTGTCGTGACCAATAGTGTCAGCTGTGTCTGGCGTAGTCTGTGTCGTGACCAATAGTGTCAGCTGTGTCTGGCGTCGTCTGTGTCGTGGCCAATAGTGTCAGCTGTGTCTGGCGTCGTCTGTGTCGTGACCAATAGTGTCAGCTGTGTCTGGCGTCGTCTGTGTCTGGCGTCGTCTGTGTCGTGACCAATAGTGTCAGCTGTGTCTGGCGTCGTCTGTGTCGTGACCAATAGTGTCAGCTGTGTCTGGCGTCGTCTGTGTCGTGACCAATAGTGTCAGCTGTGTCTGGCGTCGTCTGTGTCTGGCGTCGTCTGTTTCGTGACCAATAGTGTCAGCTGTGACTGGCGTCGTCTGTGTCTGGCGTCGTCTGTGTCGTGACCAATAGTGTCAGCTGTGTCTGGCGTCGTCTGTGTCTGGCGTCGTCTGTGTCGTGACCAATAGTGTCAGCTGTGACTGGCGTCGTCTGTGTCTGGCGTCGTCTGTGTCGTGACCAATAGTGTCAGCTGTGTCTGGGGTCGTCTGTGTCGTGACCAATAGTATCAGCTGTCTCTGGCGTCGTCTGTGTCGTGACCAATAGTGTCGTCTGTGTCTGGCGTCGTCTGTGTCGTGACCAATAGTGTCAGCTGTGTCTGGCGTCGTCTATGTCGTGGAGAGTGTTGCTAGTGATGAAGGGAGCAGGAGAGGTGGTGGTGGTGTGCGAGCATTACTCAACAGGTGTTGGTAGAGAGATGTGTCCCTGACCACTCAACACCCCTCCCCCGCCTCTCCCCCTTACACAGGTGTTACTTGCTGCCTCAGTTCTACCACCAGCTACCTGCTCTCAATACTCTACTCACCTACCACACCCTTCCCCCTCGCTTCACGCACTCGTCGCCCTCACAACACATCATCAGCCCCACGCACTCACCACTACCACTACACACTCACCACTACCACCACACGCACACCACTACCACCACACGCACACCACTACCACCACACGCACACCACTACCACCACACGCACACCACTACCACCACACGCACACCACTACCACCACACGCACACCACTACCACCACACGCACACCACTACCACCACACGCACACCACTACCACCACACACTCACCACTACCACCACACACTCACCACTACCACCACACACTCACCACTACCACCACACACTCACCACTACCACTACACACTCACCACTACCACCACACACTCACCACTACCACCACACACTCACCACTACCACCACACACTCACCACTACCACCACACACTCACCACTACCACCACACACTCACCACTACCACCACACACTCACCACTACCACCACACTCACCCCTACCACCACACACTCACCACTACCACCACACACTCACCACTACCACCACACACTCACCACTACCACCACACACTCACCACACCACAAATCACCCACACAGCACACTTACCACACTCATCGTTTAGTGACTCACCACTTTTAAGAAATATGTGAAAAACGTACACGTGACTCCTGCCCCCCCACACCCCCAAATACACGCTATTAGATCGAAACTAAGAACTTAATAACCTTACTAGACTCTGCAATTACATCTAGACTAGTACATCTAGATGAGAATCTACGTAAACACACACTCACACTTAACTTCAAGAGGACAGTAAGAACAAATCCAAGAACATCTTCGTGACACGCTCTCGCTCTCAAGATGTTTAACCAGCCCGTCCTCTTAAATAATAAGTAGCAATTTCTTAAGTTACATTTATAACGTGGATTAAAATAACATGTCAGGGAAAGTGACAGCTCACAAATATCTACGCTTTCTATGCCTCGGACCCGTCAGATTAGGTGGGTTGCTTGGGTTGGTACGTTTATGGTTAGGCTGAAAGGTTGGATTTTGAAGGAAGTTGTAAGATGTAAGAACGGGTTGTTTCCTGGGAAACTGGTCTACTGCAGGAGGGACCAAGAAGAGGAATGGATTTGGGGGCTGAAGAGGGAAGGGATGGAATTATCAGGGTAAAGTGCCAAGCCATTACAGTTATATATAGCCCCTGGAAGGGGTCAGGATAACTCTTGAGTGGCTTAATCTTTATCAATCGGTCAAGATAAGGATTTGGGATGGGACGGAGAGGAAGGAATGGTGCCCAACCAGAGCTATAGCATCCATGAGGGACCAGCCCGTTCTCGCAAGCGTTCCCAACGTCAAGAAACTGTCGTACTAACGTGCCTAACCAACGTACCTAACTAACGTACTAACGTACCTAACTAACGTACTAACGTACCTAACCAACCAGAGGACCCGCGAACAGATAACGAGACATTACGTCAATTTCGCGAGCCGCCACCATTTGCTTGTACATCCCCTCTACGTCAAAATACGACGTGCTATAACGAGAACAGGTTTTAAGGTACGGTGGATGATGGAGTAGAGGAGGCAGGGAGCAGAAACAGAACTACAAGAGTACTGAATCCTTGTAATGTGATAAATGGAGAGAAGGGGTTAGATGCAGGACCTTATACGATTGTATGGGATTGTGTTATGGACAAACGAAGGTGTAGAAAGCCGAGATTGTAGGTGGGATGGCCGGATATACTGGAGATGGAAATATAACTTTAAGACAGTAATCAGAAGAGAAACCGAGGAGGATTTCTGATGAATACCTGACGGCCGGTCACGGTACTCCTTATAGTATATTATATATATATATATATATATATATATATATATATATATATATATATATATATATATATATATATATATATATATATAAAATATATATATATATATATATATATATATATATATATATATATATATATATATATATATATATACGAACATTAAAGCATTAGAATAAGGGAACTGCAAATGCCCTATTGGCCCATGCGAGGCAGCTTCTATTATTTCCACCCAAACACATTCATATATTTATGTCTAATCTTCGCTTGAAACAATACAGCAATCCCATGTCTACACTACACAGAGATATAACATTGATATATCAATGAAAAATTCTGCAGGAGCCGTTGATGGGGACTAGAGCGTGTATCTGAGCGCATAGGTTCGAATCCTCTTTACGGCTCCTGTGGATAATACCAAGTCTGTTATCCTACCCGGTAATTTGTCCCATAAATTAGCTACTGTATTTCCAAATCAATATTTACAATATATATATATATATATATTACACTTGTCGTTGTATATACACTGAGTATACATTTGTCCTGAACTATATCCTCAAGTATACTTGCTGGTTGGTCACCAAGCTATTATGGTAGAGTTAATATGGTACTTATTATGACTAGGGTAGACTTATTATGGTAGACTTAATGTCAACCTCCCGCGGTTGACATGCCTTAAGCCCAACACCAAATAAATCGACAAATCTGATTCTTAAAATTGGTGTTAATTAAAATGTGGCCATCACTCAAAAACCTGGATTTTTGTAAGCATTTTTATACCGTTTTGTTATATATTTAACATTAGGGATCTTAAATATATACTCTCTCTCTCTCTCTCTCTCTCTCTCTCTCTCTCTCTCTCTCTCTCTCTCTCTCTCTCTCTCTCTCTCTCTCTCTCTCTCTCTCTCTCTCTCTCTCTCTCACGGCCCTATATTACAAATTAGTTTACATAATTTCCATCTGATAGCACGACACACCTGCCTTCCATTACCACATAATAACTGCCTAATAATTTGACTGTTTATTTTCTTGTGTGACCCGCAGATGGCCTGTCATAGATTTGCTCCGTTTGGTACTGATCATAGAATGACTGTCCTTCTTTATGTGTATTTGTATGCCTGTGTGTATTTGTATACATGTGTGTATTTGTATATATGTGTGTGTATGCTTGTGACTTAGTATGTAGTTACCTAGCTGTGTGTATGGGGGAACGATGTGCAGCTCTAGGGCCTCTCCTTATAGCTCTTTTCCTTTAATGGTAAGTATTTGGCCCTTGTCTTTTGGCAAATATTTGGACGTGATAAATGCAGTCTTGTGGTTTACCAGGTGTGCGTTCCATGCTGGAGCTATCTACTCTAGGACTGGACTTACATCTACTCCAAAGTCCTGTTCACTTCTTCACTCCTGTAACTGTCGCCCTCGCAAACCGTGCCGTCCTCTTGCTTTCCTCTCGCATCTTCCCTATATCATTACTTTACATTTGTGGGTATTAAACTCCAGCATTTGTCCACCCATTCTTGTGTCTAGGGCGTCCTGAGGCACTGTGCAGCCCCCCCCCCTCCTGTGTGTGTGTGTGTGTGTGTGTGTGTGTGTGTGTGTGTGTGTGTGTGTGTGTGTGTGTGTGTGTGTGTGTGTGTGCGTGTGTGTGTGTGTGTGTGTGTGTGTGTGTGTGTGTGTGTGTGTGTGTGTGTGTGTGTGTGTGTGTGTGTGTGTGTGTGTGTGTGTGTGTGTGTGTGTGTGTGTGTGTGTGTGTGTGTGTGTGTGTGTGTGTGTGCGTGTGTACTCACCTAGTTGTGTCTGCAGGATCGAGCATTGACTCTTGGATCCCGCCTTTCGAGCATCGGTTGTTTACAGCAATGACTCCTGTCCCATTTCCCTATTATACCTGGTTTTAAAATTATGAATAGTATTTGCTTCCACAACCTGTTCCTGAAGTGCATTCCATTTTCCCACTACTCTCACGCTAAAAGAAAACTTCCTAACATCTCTGTGACTCATCTGAGTTGCAAGCTTCCATCCATGTCAACTCGTTCTGTTACTATTCTGTGTGAACATTTCGTCTATGTCCACTCTGTCAATCCCTCTGAGTATTTTATACGTTCCTATCATGTCTCTCCTCTCCCTTCTTCTTTCTAGTGTCGTAAGGCACAGTTCCCTCAGGCGCTCCTCATACCTTATCCCTCGTAGCTCTGGGACGAGTCTCGTTGCAAACCTCTGAACCTTTTCCAGTTTCATTATATGCTTCTTCAGATGGGGACTCCATGATGAGGCGGCATACTCTAAGACTGGCCTCACGTAGGTAGTGTAAAGAGCCCTAAATGCCTCCTTACTTAGGTTTGTGTGTGTGTGTGTGTGTGTGTGTCAGAGAGAAAGGGGAGAGAGAGAGAGAGAGAGAGAGAGAGAGAGAGAGAGAGAGAGAGAGAGAGAGAGAGAGAGAGAGAGAGAGAGAGAGAGAGAGAGAGAGAGAGAGAGAGAGACAGACAGAGGGGGAAGGAGAGGAGGGGAGAGGGAGAGAGAGAGAGAGAGGAGGGGGGAAACGGCTGGGCACGTTTTCTTTCACCTAATAAACCTGTTCCTCTAAAAGTAAACAGGTATTTGTGAGTTAGGCAACTGTTATGGGCTGCATCCTGGAGAAGACTAGTTGTTGGCCTAATGGGATCTCAATATGCCTAAGGCTTCCTGTCCCCGAAAACAGGGATTAATCCTAAGCCAACGCTTAGGGCTAGCCTCACCCAACTTTCACACGTGAAGCATGTGAAGTAGGGGAGTGCTATAGACCAGTCTGGGTTGGCCCAGGTGAAATACTTTAAGAAACTTTGGCATTTACAGAACCGCCCCCCCCCCTTCCCCATGCCATTTTCATGGTGTCAAGTCTGAAATACTGTTTGTGTTTCCCAGGAGTCGTTTACGACTTTCGGTGCTTGAAAGAGATGAAAAGAGTTTACGACTTGAAAGAGATGAAAGGGGGGACTGAGGGAAGGGGGGAAGGGGGAGGAGGGGGTGAAGTGAGCCAAAGAGTAGGAAGAGACCCGGATGTAGTCGGGTAACTCTTCAAATAATTTATATTTGAGAAAATACCATATTGTATTACAGAGAGTACGGAAACATTTGTATTATACAGAGTACGGAAACATTTGTATTATACAGAGTACGGAAACATTTGTATTATACAGAGTACGGAAACATTTGTATTATACAGAGTATAGAAACATTTGTATTATACAGAGTATAGAAACATTTGTATTATACAGAGTATAGAAACATTTGTATTATACAGAGTATAGAAACATTTGTATTATACAGAGTATAGAAACATTTGTATTATATAGACTACGGAAACATTTGCAAATGCATATTTGAACACGGCCAGAGTTTGGACGAACACGGCCCGAGTTTGGACGAACACGGCCCGAGTTTGGACGAACACGGCCAGAGTTTGGACGAACGCGGCCAGAGTTTGGACGAACACGGCCAGAGTTTGGACGAACACGGCCAGAGTTTGGACGAACACGGCCAGAGTTTGGACGAACACGGCCAGAGTTTGGACGAACACGGCCAGAGTTTGGACGAACGCGGCCAGAGTTTGGACGAACACGGCCAGAGTTTGGACGAACGCGGCCAGAGTTTGGACGAACACGGCCCGAGTTTGGACGAACACGGCCAGAGTTTGGACGAACGCGGCCAGAGTTTGGACGAACGCGGCCAGAGTTTGGACGAACGCGGCCAGAGTTTGGACGAACACGGCCAGAGTTTGGACGAACACGGCCAGAGTTTGGACGAACACGGCCAGAGTTTGGACGAACACGGCCAGAGTTTGGACGAACACGGCCAGAGTTTGGACGAACACGGCCAGAGTTTGGACGAACGCGGCCAGAGTTTGGACGAACGCGGCCAGAGTTTGGACGAACACGGCCAGAGTTTGGACGAACACGGCCAGAGTTTGGACGAACACGGCCAGAGTTTGGACGAACGCGGCCAGAGTTTGGACGAACACGGCCAGAGTTTGGACGAACACGGCCAGAGTTTGGACGAACGCGGCCAGAGTTTGGACGAACACGGCCAGAGTTTGGACGAACGCGGCCAGAGTTTGGACGAACACGGCCAGAGTTTGGACGAACACGGCCAGAGTTTGGACGAACACGGCCAGAGTTTGGACGAACACGGCCAGAGTTTGGACGAACACGGCCAGAGTTTGGACGAACACGGCCAGAGTTTGGACGAACACGGCCAGAGTTTGGACGAACGCGGCCAGAGTTTGGACGAACACGGCCAGAGTTTGGACGAACACGGCCAGAGTTTGGACGAACGCGGCCAGAGTTTGGACGAACACGGCCAGAGTTTGGACGAACGCGGCCAGAGTTTGGACGAACACGGCCAGAGTTTGGACGAACACGGCCAGAGTTTGGACGAACGCGGCCAGAGTTTGGACGAACACGGCCAGAGTTTGGACGAACGCGGCCAGAGTTTGGACGAACACGGCCAGAGTTTGGACGAACGCGGCCAGAGTTTGGACGAACACGGCCAGAGTTTGGACGAACACGGCCAGAGTTTGGACGAACACGGCCAGAGTTTGGACGAACACGGCCAGAGTTTGGACGAACACGGCCAGAGTTTGGACGAACACGGCCAGAGTTTGGACGAACGCAGCCAGAGTTTGGACGAACACGGCCAGAGTTTGGACGAACACGGCCAGAGTTTGGACGAACACGGCCAGAGTTTGGACGAACGCGGCCAGAGGATGTGTTGATGACTGCCATAGCCAGTGACCTCGATTTTACTGTGCCAGAAAAATTATTTACAGTCCAATTATGCAATCTATCTGATTGCCTCCGTGTATGCTTGTTTGCCTGTGTAGGCTTGCCTCTGTGTGTGCTTGTTTGCCTGTGTAGGCTTGCCTCTGTGTGTGCTTGTTTGCCTGTGTAGGCTTGCCTCTGTGTGTGCGCCTGTCTGCCTGGGTGATTTCCTTACAGTTCTTGAGGTGACATGGGTACTCTCACTCCCGTGAGAACACAACACTAATAACATTAGTGTACTCCATTGTGACGACTGATGCAAAACACGCGATACCTTTACGTGCATGAAACACCTGCAGCATTGCACCTGTGGAAGACACCTGTGCTTCCAACTAGATGTCATCTATATATCGTACGTGAGGCGGACTTTTAAATAATGTGTTATCAAGGTAAGAAGTCAAAGAGTGTTTACAGTGTGTCCATGTGTTGTGTGTATGCGTGCACGTGTGTGTGTGTGTGCTATTGAGTCATGCGTTTGATGGGCCTGAGCCACTATACCCCCTTCTGTGTCTGCAGGTGAGGGCGGAGGTCAGTCCTGCCAGCCGGGTCATCATGCCCAAGTTCCAAAAGTTCGTCAAGTCATCGGGAGGAGGAGGAGGAGGAGGAGGTGGACCGTCGACGCGTGACTCTCCCCTCGTTCCTCACAAGACCCGTCCTGTCACTCGCATTATCTCCTCCGCCACCACCACCACCACTCCCTCCTCCAGAACCACCAACAGCACCACTAGAACTAACTCCAGCACCATTAAAGCTAACACCAGCAACTCTAGTAACTCCAGCAGCACCACCAGCAGCAGAACTGTGGTAAAAGTATCCACTTCGGTGACGGGGAGTAAGAGTAACAGCAGTAGTGGCTGTAACACCAACAATGGCAGCTGCAGCAGCGGAGTCGGGGATGTCATTAACAAAGTACCTGGGGGTCTGATCCTGCCGGAGAACGCTGTTGAGGTGCACTTCTTCCCAGATTCTGAGAGCAATATCACTCGTATCCCTGGGCGAGGCGACATCATCCACCTGCGACACCACGGGCGCGTCATCTCCCTCCCCGTCGTGTCCTCAGACACCGAGAAAGCAGACGCCACGAGCCAGGGCCTTTCTTACTCCTACAAAAACACCGCTCCGCAAGAGGCCCCCGTAGACTTCAGCCCCGGGGGGCCTCGCGGAGATCCGATACTAACCAGGACTGCCCCTGTCGCGCCGCCCTCGCCCACAGGAAACATGTCGGTGGATTCTGGTGTTCTGGATGTCTCTGGTGGCAGCAGTAGTGAGAGTCTGGGCCTGCCGCCTTCTGAACTCTTCCGCAGCGACGACACCATTGGCAGTAGCGACATGGGCCCCATCACCGCTGCCAAGTTGCCCAGCATCGAGAGCGCCTTCAGTAGAGTTGGGGAGGCATTCCGAGGACCCGATCCCCTCACTTCGCTCCCCTCTGATCCTCCTGCAGCGCACTCCTTCGACCCCCCGCCTTCCTACACCACACTCAGGTCAGTAACACTCGGCTCCTGCACTGCTGGTATTATTTGATATGTTTTGCAGTATATTTCATTCACTTGGGCACTAGGAAACTCGAACCGCCGACCCCACGAGCGTGAGGCAGAAGTTCAATCATTGTACTATGAGACAGCTGCAATAGGAAAGATTTCAGAGGCAATAACTGAAATTTTATAGTCTCCCTGGCTGCTACTAATTGTGGAGCACTAATTCATAGGAATTAGTGAATTGTCACGTCATATAAATGGCCAACCACACTATCGAGGAAATAAACATTTAATTAATTTCATTCACAAGTGAATTAAATGTTTATTTCCACGATATTGTGGTTGACAACTTTGCAGTATACTTGTCCTTCTTCCCACTTCACCTTACGCTTCTCTCTCTCTCTCTCTCTCTCTCTCTCTCTCTCTCTCTCTCTCTCTCTCTCTCTCTCTCTCTCTCTCTCTCTCTCTCTCTCTCTCTCTCTCTCTCTCTCTCTCTCTCTCTCTCTCTCTCTCTCTCTCTTCTCTCTCTCTCTCTCTCTCTCTCTCTCTCTCTCTCTCTCTCTCTCTCTCTCTCTCTCTCTCTCTCTCTCTCTCTCTCTCTCTCTCTCTCTCTCTCTCTCTCTCTCTCTCTCTCTCTCTCTCTCTCTCTCTCTCTCTCTCACGTACACTATTCCCTGGTCACCCACAGAACGGTGACGTCATCAGTGTACACCCCGTCGTACCCCGGGCCGCCACCCACCACCCAACCTTCGCCACCCAACAGCATACCCTACACCCACGAGTCGCTCTACGTGGACAGCGTCAGCGGACTGGGGCCCTACCAGCCAATCAGCCCGCCTACGTCACTCATGTCATCCACAGACTCCGCCCACAGCCACATCATGCCGGCCTTACATAATTACTCACCCGAGTACGGCCTCAGGTGCGCACTATATTACCTTTAGCTCATTATCCAGAAGTGGTTCTGGGAATCACTGACACAGTCGCTTAGGTTCTGGCCAAATAAGTAATTATCACAAAAGACTTAATGACTGCATATCATTATGCAGTCAATTCTATAATTCTTTGATACCATTCAGGCGGGCGACATGAGAACTGAAATGCGTAAGTTGAGCGATGTGTAAGTCAGGTTCGTCGAGTGTTTTAGTGATGTGTGGAAAATTGAAACACTGGGGGAACCAAAATTTCCGATATTCAACTAGAATGTGAGCAACAGGAATTGCAACAATTATATTCTGACGGGATAGGTGCCCATCAAGCCTAATGGAAATGATGGTATTGAAAATCCTTGGGTTCTACTTATTGCACAACTAATTTTTGTTGACAAAAAATTCAAGATATTGAAACAATAGATTAACTCGAAACCCTGTAAAGCTTGAATACCTGTCGTAAATGTAAACGAAAGTCACTGAAGGACAGCGGATCTAAAATTACATAAAATTTAATTATGATAGATGATGCCGACTCGATCAGATATTATTATTAAGAACATAATAATAAAATAATAATAATCAGCATGTGATTACCACCCACAGGTACGCGGAGCAGAGTAGTGTGGGCGTGAGTGTGGGCGGGGGCAGCGGGGCTCTATCACTAGGCTACCCCCACACCAGCATGGCGGGCTGCTCCTTGGGGCGCGCTCTTCCCAGGCCTCACCTCCCTGTGGTCACCACGGCTTGTACAGGTCAGTTGAAGCTCGTTGCTCACGTTATCAGGTTATAGCTGCAAGTCGCTATTCACTTGTTCAAGTGTTATAAATTGTTCTTTACTTATAAATGTTAGTAACAGGTTGTTAATAACTTGCGCAGTTTTATTCTCCACGCGTACAGTGTTATTCCACTTGTTCAGATTGTTCTTCACACAGATCTATCTAGTTATTTTCTATATATGCAGGTAATTTACAAGCATCCTATTCTCAAAGTATTTTACACGTCTTCCTTTTACATAGGTTGTTCTGCACAGGTATTGATCAGCTATAAGTCGTTATACTTATTTTTTAAGCCAATCACATGTTATTCTAAATTGATTCGGGTCGCCCTTCCCTTGTACACAAGTAGTTTTCTTGTTGTACAAGTCGACCTCCCCCTTATAAGTCGACCTTTCCTTTGTACAAGTCGATTTCCTCCTTATATAAGTCAATCTTTCCTTTGCTCACAAAGTCCTGCCCTTGTACGGGCTAGTCACAAGCAGTCCTACACTCACACAAGTCGTCCGGATAACGGTGGATTATAATTGTGTAATTGCTATCAATGGACGCGCGCTTCAGTGCCAGAGAGCAGGAAACGAAGTATAATTGTAAATATAAATAATTTCTTCACATTGGCATTGAAGTTTGGTAATTATAAGTTGCTGAAACGGTGATGTGAATGTGTTTGTCTTATCAGGTATGAACACTCTTCTTGGAGAGGATCTGCAGCCTCGTTCAGGCCCAGGGTCGAGGGGCGGCAGGGGACGTTCGCAGCGGGTCCACGAGAAGCTCTCCAGAGAAGGTATACAATATAAACATTTTGGCAGATACTTCCAACCCTTAAATTATTTATTGCACGTTTGACTTGAGTCTCCGTTTGTCTATACATCAGGCATGATGATTGAATATTTGTGTATCAGAGGAATTTTTGGAATGCAAGTATCCCGGCAGCTATGTTTCTTTGTCAGTTCATATCACTTTGTTTATAGGTATATGTATACATATCAAACGATCTGCATTGTATAGGGTTGGGATGTCGTATTTGTTTATAATCATGTAAACAAAACCATATTCGTAAAACCTAAATCCGCCCTATAACTAATAAACCAATTATGATTGATTGATCATATCTGATCATATCTGATCAACCAAGTATAATTGTAAAGTTTCGGCGTCACATCTGCTGAATCGACAAACAGCTAAACTTGAGACAATGACGTCACATCCACTTGACCTCTGGTAAATAAACGGATTTTTAAGTATTTGGTGGATGTGTCAAGAGTTGGTTGAAGACGTGCGTCTCCTTCCTTTCTCAGATAATGGAGTGAGCCAAAAGATGGTCAAAGGCGACACAGATGTGCATGCTTGTTTATCCGACTCTCCTGACTTTCCTTCATCCGGTTCCCCCGGCTCTCCTCATTTTCCCCTTACATTCTCTCGACTGACGTATTCTCATTCATATTCTCCTCTCCTGGCTCTTATTTTCACATACTCTCCCACTTTTAAATATCACTCGTGAGTTGTTTTACATTTTCGTTCTTCCATCTATTGTTCTACCCCCCCCCCCCCCTCCCCTTCTCGCCTTGACTTTATCTCCTCTCTATCTCTCAGTCTCGTTCTCGCTTTTGCGATATGCCCTTCTCTTGCTTCTGCCTTCTCACTCGTCCCTGTACACCCCACTCCGGAGCCTGATGGATAACTGGACAAACGCGAACCCAGTGGGCATATAGCTGACGAACAAACCATACCGTCTAAACGGTATGGTTTGTACCATACCGTTTAGACGGTATGGTACGTACGTCCTACTTTTTGAACATAGTATTCCAGCAGTATATTTTAGTAGCCTCTTTACTCCCTCCTCTTTCCCCTCCAGCCTCATGATACAACAAAAATCATAATCATCCAAACGAGCCATGCTTGCAGAGTTAATGATTCAACTAGTAGTAGTAGTACTAGTTGAATCATTAACTATGTGTATAATTAATAACAATAATTCACTGAGTCGGAGGACATGACGCCAGATTGTACTCATACACGTTTTACTTTTATCGATGTCTCCCCCCCCCCACCCAAGGCCGAATTAATGACCCCGCCCAGGATGTAACCCCACAACACGCTGACTAACTCCTGAGTACCTATTCACTGCTAGGTAAACAGAAGCATTAGGTGAAAGAAATGTGCCCAATCATTTCTGTCCTGCCCGGAATTCTCGATTGTTTGTCGAGAACGAACCAGACTGTACTACTATATATTTTAATTATATAATACATACACTGACAAGTACCTTCATATGTATTTACACGTGTTAAAGAATATCCCCGCAGTGCTTGTTCACACCTCTGCTCCTGCAACCCTTCCTCAGATTAGCCTCGTCCAAGTTGTGGCCGTCCCAGCGACGCATTCATCAATTCATTACTTTCTCAAATATTATATATTTGAATGCTGTGTATAATTAGGCCTAGGCTAGGTTATGTGTTTACGCTCAGTTTGCAATTATTTGTATTTTCAGTACATTTAGAGGTGACACAGAATGAGAGCGACGCACTGTTGAAGATGGAAAGTAATCAGTTGTGAGTCATTAACTTGTCCCTCGTCGAACTGCCTATTAAAAATTTATATTTTCTCAAAATGAATATTATTAATGTTGAGTAGTTAGGCTTAACTTGGATTAGGTTACGTGGTTAGGTTCCGTTGGCAATTTGATATTCCTAACCTATGCCTATATATGCACAATATGCTAATATATTATAATATTAATTTATATTTGTACTTAAATTAATTTATATTTATACTTAAATTGATACTTTAATTTATCAGTTAACATGATTATTGGTAAAAAAAATATTCCTCCACAGATGACCTATCTTTGAAAGCCTAGTCCTTGGTTTATTAATTAACATAACTGTATCGTGAGGTGTCTTCAAGGGCTCTGTGTCGCTAAGGAATTCTCTTGAAAACGTACATAGGTGTGTCTTCCGCAGATTACAAGAAGTCAGCGTGTGACCGAGAGAGGACCAGGATGAGGGACATGAACAATGCCTTCGACCTGCTGAGAGAGCGGCTGCCCTTCTGCAAGCCTCCGGGCAAGAAGTGTTCCAAGATGGACAGTCTGAGGTAAGATCCTCATCACTCCACTGGGCCTAGTTACTCTATCATACTTGTACTATTTACAAAATCGAATCAATTGTGCAGTAATTAGCACAGTACAATCACCAATTTAATTAGTGGGTTAAGGATATAGTGCTTTGAATACGTGATAGCTTTTCGCTCATAGTGTATTTAGTGCAAGATATATTTTTGTTCGTCAGTTATGATGCGATGTTCATAGTTTGTGAACATTTATTTTCGTGTTAAGAATTTATTTAGTGCTTCACGCCATTATAAGGCTGTTTGCGTTGTTAAGGAAATATATTGAGAACTTTTCGATATATACATAAATAGTAATAAATATTAAAACTGTTTATTTATATATAACTATAAATAGGAGTAGTAGCTGTAGCCGAGCAGTAGGCTTGTGTTACATTATTAGTATTATTACTGTTATTATTATTATTATTATTATTATTATTATTATTATTATTATTATTATTATTATTATTATTATTATTATTATTACTGGGTTTTTATTAGTTATATATGTTTTTATTAGTTATATATGTTTTTATTATTATTACTGTCAATATTAACACCATCGTAAGAAATCACGTCGTGTTATTGACTTGGAATACGCCCTTTAATAGTCTTGATTTTGACCGAACTCTACCATATTCCAAGCTTGAGAATAACGAGCGTGGAGGTGTAACAGCATATAAAATAAAGATTATATTTCAATATCCAAAATTTGTTATAGAGTAAATGGCGTAAAAGGCTGATAAATATCGTATGTTTCCTTTGTAATGTATTTATCGTGTATTTCTTGCTTCCAGCGGACGAGACCGCTTTCCCTCCAAGCTGGAGACGCTGAGGTGAGTTAATATATTAATTTTACCACCAGAGTATTTTATAATTATATAAGATCTTTTGTGTTTTGGTTTTAAGGTAACAATTGGCCGAAAGGAGGGTTTAGACGGTGAGAAAACGTTACGAGGCGCCGGGAGGTAATGTTCTTGATCAAAATGTTAAAGCGAGTTAAACGTTGTCAATTTAAAACGTAGGTAAACAAAACATAATCCCTTGAAAAGTACTTTTTTCTGGTGCCAAGATTACAACTAGCTGGCTAGTGTCCAGACACAGCTGGGGTTGGGCGAGGTAGAGAGCTGGGGTTGGGCGAGATAGAGACAGCTGGGGTTGGGCGAGATAGAGACAGCTGGGGTTGGGCGAGATAGAGACAGCTGAGGTTAGGCGAGGTAGAGACAGCTGAGGTTGGGCGAGTTAGAGACAGCTGGGGTTGGGCGAGGTAGAGACAGCTGGGGTTAGGCGAGGTAGAGACAGCTGAGGTTAGGCGAGGAAGAGACAGCTGGGGTTGAGCGAGGTAGTGACAGCTGAGGTTGGGCGAGGAAGAGACAGCTGGGGATGGGCGAGGTAGAGACAGCTGAGGTTAGGCGAGGAAGAGACAGCTGGGGTTGGGCGAGGGAGAGACAGCTGGGGTTGGGCGAGGAAGAGACAGCTGGGGTGGGGCGAGGGAGAGACAGCTGGGGTTGGGCGAGGAAGAGACAGCTGAGGTTGGGCGAGGTAGAGACAGCTGAGGTTGGGTGAGATAGAGACAGCTGGGGTTGGGCGAGGTAGAGACAGCTGGGGTTGGGCGAGGTAGAGACAGCTGGGGTTGGGCGAGGTAGAGACAGCTGAGGTTGTGCTAGGTAGAGACAGCTGAGGTTGGGTGAGGTAGAGACAGCTGGGGTTGGGCGAGGTAGAGACAGCTGGGGTTGGGCGAGGTAGAGACAGCTGGGGTTGGGCGAGGTAGAGACAGCTAAGGTTGGGCTAGGTAGAGACAGCTGGGGTTGGGCGAGGTAGAGACAGCTGGGGTTGGGCGAGATAGAGACAGCTGGGGTTAGGCGAGGTAGAGACAGCTGAGGTTGTGCTAGGTAGAGACAGCTGAGGTTGGGCTAGGTAGAGACAGCTGGGGTTGGGCGGGGAAGAGACAGCTGGGGTTGGGCGAGGTAGAGACAGCTGGGGTTGGGCGAGGTAGAGACAGCTGGGGTTGGGCGAGGTAGAGACAGCTGGGGTTAGGCGAGGTAGAGACAGCTGGGGTTGGGCGAGGTAGAGACAGCTGGGGTTGGGCGAGGTAGAGACAGCTGGGGTTGGGCGAGGTAGAGACAGCTGGGGTTGGGCGAGGTAGAGACAGCTGGGGTGGGACGAGGTAGAGACAGCTGGGGTGGGGCAAGGAAAAGACAGCTGGGGTTGGGCGAGGTAGAGACAGCTGAGGTTGGGCGAGGTAGAGACAGCTGAGGTTGGGCGAGGTAGAGACAGCTGAGGTTGGGCGAGGTAGAGACAGCTGGGGTGGGGCAAGGAAAAGACAGCTGGGTTGGGCGAGGTAGAGACAGCTGGGGTTGGGCGAGGTAGAGACAGCTGAGGTTGGGCGAGGTATAGACAGCTGAGGTTGGGCGAGGTAGAGACAGCTGAGGTTGGACGAGGTAGAGACAGCTTAGGTTGGACGAGGTAGAGACAGCTGAGGTTGGACGAGGTAGAGACAGCTGAGGTTGGGCGAGGTAGAGACAGCTGAGGTTGGGCGAGGTAGAGACAGTTGGGGTTGGACGAGGTAACGACAGCTGAGGTTGGGCGAGGTAACGACAGCTGAGGTTGGGCGAGGTAGAGACAGCTGAGGTTGGGCGAGGTAACGACAGCTGAGGTTGGGCGAGGTAGAGACAGCTGGGGTTGGGTGAGGTAGAGACAGCTGAGGTTGGACGAGGTAGAGACAGCTGAGGTTGGGCGAGGTAGAGACAGCTGGGGTTGGACGAGGTAGAGACAACTGAGGTTGGACGAGGTAGAGACAGCTGAGGTTGGACGAGGTAGAGACAGCTGGGGTTGGGTGAGGTAGAGACAGCTGAGGTTGGGCGAGGTAGAGACAGCTGAGGTTGGACGAGGTAGAGACAGCTGAGGTTGGGCTAGGTAGACACACTCTCTGACCTTCTCCTACTGGGTTTTTTATCAATTCGCTCGTCCACCTGTCTTTCTCTTTCTTTACTTCCTTCCTACTAAACTCTCCCCCACCCTCTCTTCCCTCATTTCAAACTTGTCTTCCACCCCCATCCCTCCTCCCAACCTCATTCCTCATCCCCCCCCCACCCCATAACCTTCTACCCCTACCCTCACAACAGCTGCTTTCCTCTCCCCCTTTCCTTTTAGAAGCAAGGGATTGATATGAGGCAGCTAGCGGCTTGCGGCTGTTTGCCTTGCTTGAGTGAACCAATTTATTACTCTCATTACTCATTTTGCTGTGTGGAAGGACTGCTTGGTTTTGTGGCCAAGTACGGTATACCGTCTAATTAGGGCTCGTAAATTAAAGGGGAAATTTAAATTATTTTAAAATATACGGCATGGCGCCATTTTTATTTTATTTGCTAGGAGCCGTTTTCCGCTCTGCCTACCAAACACCTCGCTTGCCTCCAGGGGATGTCCCAGCCCTATTAGGGATGTCCCAGCCCCACTAGGGATGTCCCAGCCCCACCAGGGATGTACCAGTCCCACCAGGGATGCCCCAGCCCTACCAGGGATGTCCCAGCCCCACGATGAATGTGTTAGTCCCACCAGAGATGTTCCCGTCCCATAGATATCCTAGCCCTACCAGGAATGTTTCAAGTCCCTTCAGGGCTGTCCCAAGTCCCCACTAGGCCTTTCCCAAACCCCCACCATATTTACACAAAATTTATATTTTATCTCATAACTGTTTTATCTGTTTAACTGTTTAGCCGTATTTTTAACCGTGCCAGATTTCTACTTCTAAATCCATATTAAATCCAAATTTGTACATTTCAGTCTATTGTTAGGCGTTTCAGTCTTGATTGATGTCATCGATTCCCTATTTATATAGCATTTGTTGATGTCTTCATCAATTTGTACACCTCAGTCATATATCCCTTCATTCTCCAGTCATACCTCTCCTCATTCTCCAATCATACCTCCTCTCATTCTCATGAGATTGGGAAAGCATCTTAAATATTTCCAGATTGTTCTCTGGTCTAGCACAATATAAGGTTGTTTAAAATAAGTAAAATATTTAACAGACGCCAGCTTAAAAAGTAGATAGTGTGAAAAAAGTCAATAAAACGACGTGTCCGGCAAGAACTTGTATAATTAGCGGAATTTTCTGTCATTACGGTAGTGGGGCAGCGGTGGCAACCCTGCGTCTCCAGGGGTGTAGCGGGAGTGGCAACGCTGCGACCAGCTGATCACGTCACACCCGCCACAGGTGTTCCTCACACACCTGTGGTCAGTTACCCTGTGCGAATATTACGATATTTTTTTCCCACCGCTCTCCCATTCATTGTAAAAAAAAATATAGCAATTTTAATGTTAAATACTTATATATTTGAATCGCCATAATAATATTCCCATAGTTTACCTACAAGAAGGTCTGTAAGGGTAAACTAGCAGTCAGTATACACATAAGTGGTAACTCTTTTTCAAGACTTGGGATTTATGTGAGGCACGTGTCTGCCCGCCAGGTGAATCTGATCCCTGTTCCCACGGTCACAAGGATCAGAGTAGCGTCTTCCGCGCTCATGCCCCATAACGCTCGTCAGGACCTATATGATTTTTTTTTTTTAGTATATTGCGCCTTTTCGCCCACACTGGTGAAGATATGTTTTTTACATTTACTATAACTTGTGTTATGAAGCGCAGCCTCAGTGCGCAGCGTCGTATACATGCGTTAAGGGAAAGGCAAACAAATAATCTAGAAATATCCTTTTTGGAAGATTGGCCATTGATTGGACAAAGTTTCGCGCACTTGTTGACGAAAACGTTTCAGAGCTATTGACATTTTTTTTCCAAACGTCGAGTTTTCTTGCCTTTCAGTACAGTCAACATCGATTCATTTATTTACTGCTCTTTTAAAAGACTTAGTGTATACTAAAATAAAAATTAGATGAATTTATTGGAGGGCGGATAATACATACATGTGAAGTACACATGTGCTTGACGTGTGTGGGGGGAGGCACAAGACTAGGGAGCAGGTGACGCCACCCATAAAAGGGATGAATTAAAGTAACTACTGAAGTGAATGATAAACAGTAGTAGCCTACATATGATTCGTGTGTGCATATATTCATCTATTTGTATTTCCCTATTTCTGTCTGCAGGATAGAGTTTTTAGCTCTTGGGCCCCGCTTTCCCAACCGTCTTGTCTATTGTAATGATTCCCGACCCATTTTCTCTATCGTACCGACTAGGCTAACTACTTACTATCCCCAGGATGCAGCCCTCGACAACTGTCTAAATTCCAGGTACACATTTACTGCTAGGTGAACAGAGACATTAGGTGAAAGAACATGTTGCCCAAACGCTTCTGTACTGCCACAAGGATCTAATCCGCAAACCTCGGTATGAGCCAACGACTTGGTTCACTACGCCACAGTGCCTTTTGTGTTTGTGTACTCACCTAGTTGTACCAGCGTGTGTGTGTGTGTGTGTGTGTGTGTGTGTGTGTGTGTGTGTGTGTGTGTGTGTGTGTGTGTGTGTGTGTGTGTGTGTGTGTATACTCACCTGTCCACCCAGCTGTCAGGCGCTTGGGATTCGTAGTCCTGAGGTTCCGCGTTCGATCCCCGGTGGAGGCGGAGACAAATGGGCAAAATGTTTCTTTCACTCTGATGCCCCTGTTACCTAGCAGTAAATAGGTACCTGGGAGTTAGACTGCTGTGTCGGGTTGCTTCCTGGGGGGGGGGTGTAACAAAAAAGGAGGCCTGGTCGAGGACCGGGCCGCGGAGACGCTAAGCCCCGAAATCATCTCAAGATAGTTGTGCTTGCGAGGTTGAACTTCGACTCTTTGGCTCCGCCTCTCAACAGTCAATCTATTGGTGTACAGAATCCTGAGCTTCTCGAGCCCCATCACATGTACATTTAAAACTGTGTATGGAGTCAGCCTCCACCACATTACTTCCTAGTGCATTCCATTTACTAACTGCCCTGACACTGAAAAAGTTATTTCTAATGTCTCTGTGGCTCATATGGGTATTCACTTTCCTAATATGTTCCCTTGTGCATGTACCTTCCGTGTTAAATAATCCATCCTGGTCTACCCTGTTCAATTTCCCTGAGAATTTTGTATGTGGTGATCTTGTCTCCCCGAGCTCTCCTGTCTTCTAGCGACGTGAGGTGCAGTTCACGCAGCCTTTCCTCGTAACTCATGCCTCTTAGTTTTGGAACTAGCTTAGTGGCATACCACTGAACTTTTTCCAGCTTCGTCTTGTGCGTGACAAGGTACAGGCTCCATGTTGGGGCCGCATACTCCAGGATTGGTCTTGTATATGTGGTATACAAGATTCTGAAGGATTCCTTACACAGGTTTCTGAAGACAGTTCCGTTAGCCAACCTTGCATATGTCGCTGATGTTATTCTTTTGATGTGTGCTTTGGGAGACAGGTTTGGCGTGATATCAACTCCTAGATCTTCCTCTATATCTGTTTCATGAAGGACTTATTTCCCATTCGGTATCATGTGTCTGGCTTTCTATTTCCTCCGCCTAGTTTTATTACCTTACATTTACTTGGGTTGAACTTTAGTAGCCATTTGTTGGACCATTCCTTCAGTTTGTCTAGGTAATCCAGTAGCCTCATACTATCTTCCTGTCATAATCCTCATGATTTTTTCATCATCAGTAAACATTGAGAGGAACGAGTCTATTCCCTCTGGGAGATCATTTACATATATCACAAACAGTATAGGTCCAAGGACTGATCCCTGTGGGACTCCACTGGTGACGCCCCGCCACTCCGAGACCTCGCCCCTCACAGTGACTCGCTGTCTTCTGTTGCTTAGGTACTCCCTTATCCAGTGGAGAATGGGTACTCCATATCCGATGGAAGCAATGCATGTGTGTGTGTGTATTCACTTATTTGCATTTGCAGGATCGAGCTCTTAGTCCTCGGATCCAGTTACGAGTTCTGTTTTGATTTCATATTTTCAGCGCCGTTTTACGTCTTACATCCAATTTAGTTTGGCTCTCCTCGCTCTGTACTTCAGGATTGCAATATCTATACGCTCTCATTATATTGAGGCTTCTGAAGCCAAGCATTCGATTGTTTCGTCATCCTTGTCTGTGTGTGTTGTTGCTGGTGTTGACTGAGGGGCGACCGTCTCTGTCTCGCACACGGTATTGTCAGTGATCAGTGATTGATGAAGATTAAGCCACTCAAGAGGTTTCACGGGCATAAGTAGCCCGTTAGTGGTAGATTTTGTGGCGTGAATGTGATCTTTGGTCTTTGGTTGTGATCAATGATCGAAGATACTATATATGTCAACATTGCGGCCATAGGCTTCTCAGTCTTGTCGCCCAAAATATTTTATTATAATAATTTTATCATTTTCTTTTTATAGAATAGCAAAAAGATTCATTATTTAAGTAACATTTAAATACATATTTACAATATTTCTAATATTTTCTGTTCTGCATTATACCTAATTAGTTCTCCTCGTTGATATTCATACTTTAATAAATTCCTTATATAATACATTTCCAAAGTCGGGTCGTCATGCAAATTAAATGTAAGAACTTTGTATTCATATTAAAGCAAGTATTAATCTTCCTTGTTGTAACATCCGCAAGGGTGAGAATTGCAGGCGAGGCGACACGTGGCCAGCGCGGGGCGGGAGCTGGCCGGGCGGCCGCCGATTGGTTCTCACGGGAAAGAGATTCTCATTTGATTTAATTTTTACACGCCTAGTTATAGTTATGATCAGGATCTTGTTTGGTAAACCACGGGGACTTTTAGTGTTCTTTGTAGATTTATATTGGTACAATATCTGGTTATCTTTATCTGTGTGTCTATCTTTGTCCATGTCCATCACTTACTCTCTCTCAATCTGTCTTTGTCCTTGTCTCCCCTCCCCCTTCCTCTCCTCTCACCCCTCTCCAGGAGTCACCTGGTCATCCCACCTGCCCAGGTAAACCACCGCCAATTTGAACTATACCAATGTCCCCCTCCATTTACCCCCCCCCCCCCCCACTCCCCATACCTCAGATCGATATGAAAACCTCATTCTGAAAATATAGGAGTGTTAGAAGACATGCTTCAAGTGCATATACCGCCTGTTAAGAGTTTATTTTTGAAGACTTTCAGCTGCTTATGGTGGCACTTTCAGGAGTAATGATGTTAGCTAAAGCTGGCAAAAGCTATCAACGAAAAACCTTTGTTGCTTCCATTGTAGCATATAAATGTTGTGGTCAGGTTACTTACTGTTTTCAATTCATGTACTGTATCATTTTGCAAAATACATTTATTTTTATAACATTTATAACTCTCCATCAATATATATACATCCTTTCCAAAAATTTTACTATCACCCCAATATAGCAATAAATAAGGCAGTTAAGATCCACACATTGCACAGTACAGATATAGTACATCTAGTTTTGTGTAAGTGTGCACTTACAATTACAAATCTAATCATATGTACCCATAACCCCAAGTTTTGAATTTCAGGTTGGCCATCCGTTACATCCGACATCTAGTTAACACACTCTCCGTGCCAATTGACACAATCTACCCAAATTTTGACCCTCCGCCCTACAATGTGACTTCTGTGCCGCCAAATCTCCGCCTCCAGCACCGCATATACTCCCCGCAGTCTGTTGCCACTAGCAGCCACTCCTCCACACTGGCCATCTACTCCTCAGGGCACGGTCTGGAAGGACTGGAGTATCCCTACATGCCACAAGCACTTGGCCCCACTCTCTCCCATGACTACCTGAGGGACTCCTTCTGGCCGTCTGAAACTCTTTCTGAATACCAGTACTGAACCCCAAATACTTTTATAAGGCACCAGGGCTTGGCTCCCCTGGTAGATGTGTATTAATAGTATTGAACCATCTGGAGGTACATAGGAACTTAATGCCTGAATATTTAGAATCTGGTAACATTAGATTAAATATTAATTTGCAAAAAGAAAAGAAATAATTTGCATTGCCAGTTGGTGTTATACAAGTACTCTGCATTAAGGTAAGCATCAGAAGAAAGCGCTAAGCCATTACGTCTATACTGGAAGGGATATATAGATAAGGATTTGGGATAGGGCAGAGAAAAGGAATGGTGGCCAACCACCTGGACTTTCGAAGATTGAATGCTGAACTGCAAGTAGTTAGGTCGTCACGCTACTGTCTACAGTAACAAGTACTGTGCTAGTCATTAATTAACAGTTACCAATGATTTATGCTAGTTTGTACCATGTACAATATTTCATAAGATGGACACTACCTTATTTATTAAGGAATTTTCTTGGCAATCTATCTGAAGTGTGTGCTTGTATATAAATGTATAAAAATACGAATATGCAAGTTTTCAGTGCCTTATACTTATATTTATATAAGCTTGTACTGAATGCTGGGATCTAGTGCCACAGTTAATGTTGTTTATTTCCTAGTCACATTGTAGTCTGAGGCAATACTTAGTGTTCAGGTAAATTAATTTGATCAGCAAATTAATATTTCCTTAAATGACAATAGTTAAGAGATAATATAATAGTATCAAAGAATACTTCCGATGACTACAGAACCATGACAATAGTTAATCAATCTATATCTAAACCAGAAAGTGTTATTATAATGTGTAAATTACCAAACATGTTGCTTCAAGCAATATGAGAATTCAGAATGTGAATTGTCAACATGACCAGTGTGCCTGTAGCAAATATTTTTATTAAAAATATAACGTACATGATTATTTTAGAATTTAAAGACAACGTTAACTGATAAGCCAGAGATGTTTACAATATTTCACTTGTGTGTATATATTAAGGGTTATGCCTGATTTTACCCAAATCTAGTCATGTCTGGACAGTCAGTATTATCTCCTTCCTTTAAATCTCTTAAACAAAGTACAGATCTCTTATTAACAATTTAACCATGAAGCCAAAGTGGATTGCTTATACAAAGTTATCTTAACAAATTATTCATAATGCTGCATTGAAAATAAACTTATACAGTAGTTGTTCCTTGTACAGTATATTGCAAAGCAACTCTTTCACTTCCAATACTAAAGACGAAAAGTTAACAATAATCCAATTGGCAAATAAGCCACTTTTGTCTTTAATGTAAAAAAAAACTTTAAAAAGTTTTCATAAAACACTAGATCACTCCACTACAACTGATTAACCTACTACATTTGTTGATGTTTGTGGCTTGCTATTGGAGTAAATTGCTTTCATTTACATTATTATTATTATGTGTAAGAGTATAATTTAATTTATTTTAACTGGAGGATCACAAGTGCAGAAACAGAGAAGTCATGTAAAAATGTAAAGGCAAGGAATGAGGCGAAATATTTACAGTATGAACGAGAATTCAGATTGTATGGATCTAGCATGAGCAAAACAGACACTTAAGGGAACTTCTTAAGTTCTTAAAAACATTTGTTTTAATTAAGCCTTACTTAATTTTTACTTAATCCTTATAAGTCTTTCTTAATCATTTTTATGGCTCAGTGGAACTTTCCTCCCCTCCCCCCCCCATGTTTCATTTCCAAAAATACACACAACTGGATTATCACAACACAACCTACCATAAATATTATAGTTAGATTTAAATCTTTAAATATGAAAATACTAGGCCACACTATCAAACAAAATACTAATGTTTTTGTATTCTGATATAGTTTACAAGATTATGAACTAACATTTGATAGTTTTACATAAGGGGTAATAAATCACAGTACTGTACTGTATACCATGCCTGAGAGAGTAAAACCTAGACATGGTTAAAAAAAAAAAAAGTCTTCCAAACCCTTGTGGGATGTCAAATATCTCTATTTTGTGGGGACTGCGGTGTTGTGGACATATTCAATGCTCATATGCTGGCTTAAGTGTGCTCATGTTGTTGGAGTTAATTACAAAACGAGAACAAAAACTTGTAAAAAATAGAGCAAAGGTTGTTATAGTCAGTCATAAGTAATAATCAATATTAAATATTTTACTTGCTGTGATATACAGTAGTTGAAGCGCCCTGTATGGCCCTGCAGGTTACTAAATTTATTCTTACTAGATAAAATAAAATTTAGTAACTGCTGGTTAAGTTACTAAATAGTTACTTAACTATTTAGTAACAATAGTTACTAAATAGTTACTTAACACTTCCAAAGACCTGGAAGGGTTAAGTGTGGTGATTCAAGATACAACAGAATTACATGCTCATTTATCTCTTGTTATAAATGAATTAAATCAGTTTTTATACCTGGAAATTTGCAAGACAATCTGCAAATCTATATTTGTAAGCTGAAGCTCTGATCAAGTTCCTTAACAAATAGTTCTCATGTATACCAGATGCAACATGTAACCACTAGTGGTTTAGTCAGCAGCAAGTCAAAATACTTTTACAGCGATACTGTAAAATAATTTACCTTATACAGTATATGTATAACAAAAGGGAATCAACCTGAAACACTAAATATCCAGAATATGTTGAATGACTACTTGATATTCATATTTTGTGCTACATTAATGCCGTCAAGTGAAACTACTCGGTAATCTATTTTCAAAATTTATAATTTGTATCTTAATATATAAGTGATCCTGATACAGTATACAAACCTGACTTACAACTTATTACAAATGACTAATTTATTTTCTGCTGAAGCAATCAAAAAAGTGTATTAGAAACACTGAGCTGTAATTATCAACAAATGCACATCATACCTAGAAAACTATAAAGCCTAATCTGTCACAACATTCAAATGTAATCCATAGTAGAGAACTGCACTCCATTAAATTTGTTCAGATCTCATTAAGCTGCCACAGTCTGCAAGCAAATGCAACTTTAATGACATCAGTCATTTCCCCTCTACTCCAAAATAAATTTTGAATTCTTGCTTTAAGGTTCTGTTTTCTTTAAATATATGAAAATACTAGATTAAGTACTTAATTGATAAAACTACATTTCAGTGTGTGCATGCATATGCAAGCACATATGCATGTGTGTGTGTGTGTGTATATATATACTGTGTACAGCTCTCTTCTACACCTGTACTGTAATTTGTTTTTGGTAAAGATATTATTGTAATATTTACTATTCATACAAATGTCATAAAAATAGCATATATTTATGTACTGCAATTTAAAAATAAAAAGAATACATGGTGTTTTTTAACTATTAAATCCAACTTGAGAAAATAATGCCACCCCTCTAAATATACACAACAGCTGGCACTTAGTAAGTGCAGTAGGTTGCACTTACACCAGTCAATAGTGTAAGCAATTAATTACAGAGTACTTACTCGACACAGCCACACACCACACATTCAATACGTGTGCTTCTTCTTGCTAGCTGTTGATTAATAAGAGTTGTCATCTCACAAGATGCATAGAACTGGAGTCCCTACTTGTACCTCTGAGGGATAATGGGACTCCAGAGCTCTATGAGAAGTTGCCTGGGGCTTTTCACTTTACAGTTTCACCAAGAATTAGGAGATGGAGCTCAAGCAATATGGCTGAATTCACCCTCATATCTTGTCACAGAGAACATTTCCCCATGAAATGCAAATCTGTCTACCATCACTAGCATATGCTCAGGTAACCTATAGGTTCCTCTGACATCACTGGTAGTGGTGGAGGAATGGGTTATCAAAACCATCTTCTTCTTGAGGTTATCTTGAGATGATTTCGGGGCTTTAGTGTCCCGCGGCCCGGTCCTCGACCAGGCCTCCACCCCCCAGGAAGCAGCCCGTGACAGCTGACTAACACCCAGGTACCTATTTTACTGCTAGGTAACAGGGGCATAGGGTGAAAGAAACGCTGCCCATTGTTTCTCGCCGGCGCCGGGGATCAAACCCGGGACCACAGGATCACAAGTCCAGCGTGCTGTCCGCTCGGCCGACCGGCTCCCTTTAGCAAGGTCATATCTAGCCATGACCTTTTCCACTATCTGCCACACAAGACAGCTAGTTGTAGTGGCAGAATCCACCCACGATTATACTGGCAAGATGTATAAACTACCATCTGCTAGAATAACCAAACGTCTTATGTCACCACACACGATATCTGCACTGCTAATGCAAACACTGATCCGTAGACAACTGACACAAGGTCTTGAGTCTTGAGACAAGGCAATATAGCAATGGTCAGTGCACAGGATTGCACAGCCATGGGATACAAGTCCAGCTGAGAGATCACCATTCTCTCTCAGCAATGATATACTCAAAACTACTGTATAAAGTGGAAAGTTGCTCAAGTAATTCATCAAAATGAAGGAAGATTCATTTTCAAGAAGCAGAATTACATCCTTCTTAAATACTACCTTGCAATAACTATTTAATAACCTTTATTTCATTACACATCTTAAACCCCCCCACCCTGCCTCCCCCTCAAAACATGTATACTATATTGTATAGTTTTGCTTAGTCAGTATGATTACACATTAGCGGCATTTCTAGGAAAAATAGCAAATATGACAAGCACTGAAATTGTGCCCCTATCCAAGCATATCACACTCATCACTCAGTTAACTTTACCATCAAATCAGTTAAAAAATACCAGTTCATTAATCTTTTTACAAATAATGGCTACATGAAAGTTACAAATGCACCTTTCATGCTTTCACTGATGCAAATTTGTCTATGATGTGGTCAGTCAGATTTTTTTCAGTTCCTTCTCTTTTTACACTTAGCTGAGCAAGATAACAGTCTGCCTTGATCAATGGAGGCTCTCAATTATAAAAATATTAGTTTTAACTTGCTAAATGATCTCTCACAGCTAGCAATGGACACTATGATGCTATTATCTGAATAGCAATGCAAAGATTAGGGAAGATGCTCTCATTTCAATACTGAACATCTGATTTTTTTTCACTATTCAAGGATAGCTTATCTGACTTAGAAAATGCTCAGTGGTGCCCCCTTCAAGAGGCACCCAGGACACGTGCCATGCTTGACATACCCCATATACACCACAGTTACACAGCACAGAGCATGTCACAGATCAAAGAATCACTTCAAATTCACGAGAAGACAAATTTCTATCCATATTAAATAGATTTAAATATTATCTTGATCTATTTAACCCTATGGCTGCATAGATGTCTGAAATGTGAATTACTTCAAAAACTGGACTTTGACCATTTTAATTTATATAAGCTACTGAAGGGACGACGACGTTTCGGTCCGTCCTGGATTTGCTATCCTCTTCTTTTTCCTATTATTTCTCCTTCGGTGGTTATAATAGGAGCTGCCTCGTATGGACCAATAGGCCTGCTGCAGTTTCCATTACTACTCATCCCCTCCAGGACGGAAAAAACTTGTATCAGTGATCATGTAAAGTTCATTTCATGAATGAGGGGCAGAGACTACTGCATGTAACTGATCTGGGCCCCTTTGTTTTGAAGATAAATTGCATAGAGAAACATTGCTCGCCAGCCTCTAAAATATGCACATACATGTACATTATTTAACTAGATGCTAAACATCACCAGTTTCCATTCACACCCAGGATCAACTGCTCGAGACAAGCTTCAATTCTTGGGGATGTTGCCCAATGTATTAAAACAGTAAATTAATTATGAAATCGACAACTTTTAGTCAAATTATGTTTTGCAAAGTGAAACTTAATTTGACTAGTAAATGTAGCCGAATCGTCCCAAAGACTACAAATCCTCCCAAAAATTCTGGGCTCTCTAGGAGACGTGTCACCGAGCAGAACAAAATTATAACACTATAGTAAGTTTTTTTTTCATCAAATGTCCAAGGGTTAATCTTGTATGACCAATATATAGTTGGCTAAGTGTCACTTTTTTTTTTAAAGCTAACCATTGATCTTTCCAACATTTACAGAGAACAATTTTGTATTACGTAAAAATCAGTAAACAATGGTTTTGAGTAGTGGGATGTGTGCAAAAGGACTCTGTGGCTGCTACATTATACAACTCCATTGGAAAAAATACTTGAGAGACTAGATATCCAACAGAAATTTTTAATATTTGAACACTCATCAAACAGGAGGCCTAGTCTGAGACTGGGCCCCAGTGATCCCTTATTACCACAAAATGGCAAGCACCTGCAAAAATTTATTATAATTCTAAAATCTGCCACCAGTGGGCTACATGACCCAATAACAAGAGAGCCATGTTCCTTCTACCCCCATAAATAAGTTTAGTGTCTCAAGCTGGTACTCTTATTGCATTCCCCACAATGCATGAACATTGCAGATTTTTTAGAACTAAGCACAGTTCCATATAATCAAGTGAAAAATCTTAGATATTGCTTTCCTTTGTCCTTTCTTTGTTACAGAAATAACATCACATGAGACCAGAAGGCATGGCAGGATGTGCAGAATACCCCCCATTGAAAAGCAGAGGTGCAATAGGTACTCAAGAGAGAACTCGGTTAACATCAGAGGCCCAAGACTGTTCAACACGCTTCCACTACACATAAGGGGCATAACTGGCTGATCCTTCAGTGTTCAAGAGAGAACTTGATAAACACCTCCAAAGGATATATGATCAGCCAGGCTGTGATTCATATATCAGGCTGCGAGCAGCCATGCCCAACAGCCTGATTGACCAGTTCAGCAACAGAAGGCCTGGTCGAGGACCGGGCCGGGGGGACGTTGAACCCTGAAATCATCGCAAGGTAAAGGTCCCTCTGTTCTCATAATGACATCCATAATTACATTTAATGCCACCTTTAAATATTCAACAACAGTGCTACATATTCTTCCCAGCCTTCTTTCTGATAATTACTTAATTTGGGGAACACACTAATTACACCAAAATCAATGAGCACTTTAGTTTTTTCCTACTTCAATATTTAAATCATTTAGAGATAAAAACAAACATGAATTAATATTATTTTATTATACCAAACATTTTTCCAGTCATCTGTACAGACAACACAAATTTCATAGTGCATGCTTCTTTCTACACTCGGGTTTTGGATTATGTGCAAAGTTACACAGAAGTTTTGGTAGAGCAAAACCAAAAATCCCACTCTACTCATTATTTGGGCTGAGACATACTTCTAAGAAACTCGACACATAAACCACATTACGCATTTCTGTCTTGTTGGTACATGATGTACAATGAGAATTTGCATGTTATATACCAAATATTGAGTTTGTATGTATAGTTACACTGGAAGCAAGTTTTAACATTGGTAAGAAACCCTTAACTGAAGATAGTGATGGCAGTAACTCACGTAGCCTCAATTTAGTAACTTCTTGCTAGGAAAAATTTCTACCAAAGACAATATTATACTTTACAAGAGTACAGTTCCCATCATGAAATGAGGCAAATTCAGATATTTAAACAGCAGCAGCACCCGAGATGATCTCGATCAGCTCTCCAGTGATGACAGCTTGGCGGGTGCGGTTGTATGTCAGGGTCAGCTTGTCAATCATCTCACCTGAAATTGTGTTTATACAGATACACACTTCTGCATACAACTATTCTATAAAATAACATACAACAACAGATACAATACTTTGGAAAATATTATGAAAGGACAGGTGTCTGGAAATATTTAACCCTTATTTCCCTATTCCAAAAAGTGAGAAATTGGCTAGTAAATTAATGAGGAATAATTGTGAATGAGGCAAATTACCCTCTTTTGCTCCAATATTATAATTCTACTAGTCTAGTGGGTGGAAAAAAAAAAAAAAAGTTTACTGCAATACTGGTATGTGATTTTGCCAAATGCATCTCAATGAGAATAACAAACCTGAAATGTTCATCCAGACATTTATCATTTAGGACAGAAGTTTGTTGCTGCAGCAGCAAGCAAATTTGAATTTGCTGCAGCAGTTCAGTGGTGACAGAGCAGAACATTAACACTTTCGGTACCCAATGCCGGTATATCCGTCAGAAAACAAAACCACGGAGCAGCATGATGCAAACGGCGTCAATAATTTAAAAATTTGTAAAAATTCCATTTATTGTCCGAATACTATGAGACTTGTTTTAAAATGTGCGCCATTATATTCCCATTCTCTATAGACCCCACGTGGCATCCCAACCCCGAGGCGTGGGCAGTCACCAACGCTGACCGTTGTCAGAGATCCTATGATCTCTGACAACTCACGGCCTACCTTGTGGTGCAAGGAGGTCTAAAGTACAGTGGTATATTTGTTCACGATCATAATCCATTCCCATAGACACGTCATCCAAAACAAATTTTCCCATAAGAAATAATGTAAACTGAATTAAAACGTTCCACACCCCCAAAAATATTAACTTAAAAATACATTTTATGCAGAATACTACTCATATTTTTTTTCATATACCAAACAATCAAGTATGAATATAAACCATAAATAAAATAAGAACATTTAACTGCACCTTACCTTTACTGAGGACTCTTGTTGGCGTATGGGAGACGGTGAGGGAGGGAGGACCAGTGTTTGTGTATAGGGAGGGTGAGGAGGATGGGGGGGGGGGGGAGATAGTGCTCCATCCCCTGCTTGCGCGCATTCATATCTGCATCACTGGTTCTAATTTTCCTTTCAAACATTTCACTGCCTCGTATGTGGCAGCCAGTCAAAACCAGTCACAAGTTAGTCATGCATTTCAAGCATTCATATTTGTGGTAGCAACTAGTTAAGCATTTAGTCATTTATGCATTTACAGTCATTCAGCCATTTACAGTAAATCAGGCCTTCACAGCCAGTAAACAACAAGAGTTTAATATCAGGCAGCAGTCTGAGGCAGTCTGCCTCCAATCCACCAGTTGGTAGGAAGGAAGCCTTCTATATTAATAAGATCCAGATGTGGCAGGGAGGGTACAGCTGGGGGGGGGGGGCAGAAGGGGGGGGGGGGTTGCATTGAGGGGATGGAGGTAGCGGGGAGGGTTTGGTGGCAGTATGGGGGTAGCAGGGAGGGGGCTGTGTGGGGGGATGGAGGTAGTGGGGAGGGTGAGGTATGGGGGATGGAGGTTCTTCCCAGCATTCATCCAGTCCCTCCTATCCATCCATCCAGTCCCCCCACCATCCATCCAGTCCCCCCACCATCCATCCAGTCCCCCCACCATCCATCCAGTTCATCCACCATCCATCCATCCAGTTCATCCACCATCCATCCATCCAGTTCATCCACCATCCATCCATCCAGTTCATCCACCATCCATCCATCCAGTTCATCCACCATCCATCCATTTCATCCACCATCCATCCATTTCATCCACCATCCATCCATCCAGTCCCCCTTCACCATCCATCCAGTCCCCCTTCACCATCCATCCAGTCCCCCTTCACCATCCATCCAGTTCCCGCACCATCCATCCAGTCCCTTCATCAATCCATCCAGTTTCCCCACCACCCATCCATCCAGTCCCCCCCCACAATCCATCCAGTCCCTCCATCCATTTAGTTCCCCCACCATCCATTCATCCAGTCCCCTCACCATGCATCCAGTCTTCTTACCATCCATCCATCTTGGGACCCATGGTGTGATGTATATAATAAGAACTTTTATGTTAAAAAAGCAGCAAACAATAAAATTCTTCACAAACAATTCAAAACGTGGCGGCGGTCGTTACTACGTGCGATAGACTTGTAAACAAATTGAGAGCACCTTGCCCCACGCCCCCAGCACCATGTGCTCGTTCGACCCATATGCATACAGACGTAGGGTTCTAAGTAAATCGTCAGCTTCCAAATTCAAATTTTACGACAAATTTGACGTCGTGTTCCAAGAAATTTGTCTTCTTGGGCAGTCGTCAACTGAGGTTCCACTGTATAGGAAAGCAAGATGTGTGTTATTATATGCAATTAATCTTTTAGAGCATTCTATTGTAAACAGTTTGATACCAAATTGAACGGCGTAGTACGAAAATTAAAGCCAGAAAGCTTTAGAGTATAAACATTTTTTTGTGGTAGTGAGCTCTCGGCCTACCTTGTGGTGTGCGGCGGGAAATTAGTGCGAAACTAGGAAATTAGGACTTATGTTCATATATGCCCATATTCCTGTAGAACATTCTATTGTGAACAATTTGATACCAAATTGAACGACATAGCACAGCATTTGAGGCCAGAAAGCCAAAAGTGAGTATAAACATTTGTGGGTGGTAGTGAGGTCACGTGCACCGCTCTGCCTCCCTTGGGGTGCGCGGCGGGTCGCCAATAGTGTTAAGCACTAAAGGTTAACCATCGATTAGTATTTTCCTTGACCAAAATGAATACTGTATGTTAAATATAAAATAATAGTTTTCAAGTATAAAATTAATAGTCTTTATGTTGATAAGTCACATCCTTTATATGTACTCACCTGCATTCTTGGTAGCACTGTCCATGGCAGTCATCCTTGATGACTGCTCAGAACATGCACCTTCCTTCAGTGCATAGAAAAGCAGCGATGCCAGGGAGTACTCCATATAGCACTGGATCACGTCAGCATCAAGAGAGTCATACACAGAGATCTTTTCTGCATTTGCAATGGCTGCAGCTGAATAAAAAGGCAGTTCTTTTGTATCATATGATACTACAGTCCTGTTGACAAGAGTTAAGAATGATTACCTTACCTCAACAAATTAATGGTTTTCATTAATTTTTCAAATGCAGTAACTTGCATGAGCATTACATGTTACATATTTTGCCTCATCTTAAAACAAAATTTGCATTGTCAATTTGAAGTAGAGTTTGCTGTCAAGCCTTGGAGAAACACTAACAAGTTCAAAGTCATTCATGCTGGCTCTTTTAGCTATTCTATATTTTCTACAACTTCACATGGCCCTTTCAATGAGACCCATTTTCCTATATTATTTACTAGCATAGTTTACTCTTTTATATTTCCACATTGCATGGAAATTAAATGTCTTTTCACACTTTTGCCATGTGTAAGAGCCAACTGCATTATGCAACATTCATGCCAAAACATGAAATTCTTGACTTCAACTGCACTTTTTAATAGTAAACAGCTGATATATCTAAGCATGAGAGTAACATTCTATATGGGAATAAAATGTTGAGGTAGACTATTTCCTAAATGAAGAAAGGCATTACTTATTCTAAATACAGTATATTGAACATACCTGAACCTGTTATAGATAAGTTTGCCAGAACCAAAATCATAGTCAGAGTTGAGGATGAATGAAGCAATTCTAACAGCATCTTCAAATGTGGAAGGTTTACGTCCAACCTCTCCTACTTGAGCAATTATATTGTTAGCGTGTAGCCTGTAAACATAGAATACATACTACAGTATTACATTTTCAGTAATGAAATGAAGTACAATAAACATAATATTCACAAATGACCAGTATAACTACTTTATGACAATATAATACAATAAGAAATTGAAAGCACAATACAGTAATACTGTGTGCAATTCAAAATAAAATTGATATGAAACCCGTATAAAGAATGGATAAATTATAGATTCCTTTACTCTAACAACATTTTGGTGTCTATATATGCACGAAGATGTTCTATCATTTAGGGACAGGAAGAACTAAATTAGTAATACCTGTATGTCAACAACAAAATTACAAAATGCTCAGTCAGAATATTGTCTCAATTATTTTGTTCAAGCAAGATTAAATTGCATATAAGTTATTGCAACAACCTATGCAGAACATGTTGCACCATACATTATGAAAAAAATTATTTAATGTTATGAAAATTAATAAATGTATAATTTTATGCTCAAAAAAATTTCTGGAATTGAATTTTCATGCCAAATATATTTTTATTTTCAATAGAAGACATATGGCTGGCAACTGCTCTGGATAGATATTTTACATGTTGCCAGCAAAAACAGGTACAGTATATTAAAAAAAATTACCAATTTCTTTCAAATTGAATGTTCATTTAAGTATTAAAAACTCAGCATGGCTCTATGAAATCTAATTTTCGAATGATCAAGAATACTACAGTATCGGTTATTATTTTTTTTTATTTGCCAGCATCCTCCACCATCCTTGACACCACAGCATTTTGGCTTGCATTGGCTCCTAGCTGCACCCTATCCATATTGAGTAACACGAGTAAAGCATGGAAAACAGCAGAAAGTGTAGAAAGTTTGTGTATTCAAAGCAAACCATTGCTGGTTATGGAGGGAAGGGTTGGTTTAGAGTCGCCAAGTTGCTGCCTCATTTATCACAGGAAAAGGGCCCATTACACTAGCACATTATGCATAACCTCCTTCGGGCATTTATGGGTGACAACACAACATGTCACCTCTACAAAAGTAAAATTATTTCCTATAATACTTTAGGTTTGCATGTGTTAAAATAAGAAAAAAATAGCCTCGCCAATAAAAGTATTGCTGATAAAATAAAGTAAATTATGCCAAAAAATTATTTCTACATGGCTCGCATACCATATTTTGAATGAACAATAGCACACATTAATTCAGATAATAGAAATTGCACTGATATTAAATATAACAAAGGTCCAATGTATGAAAATATATATACAGTGGTATCTCCATTTATGAATTTAATCCATTCCCAGTGGCGGGTCATAACTCAAAACAAATTTTCCTATAAGAAATAATGTAAATTTAATGAATCCGTTCCACATTCCCAAAAATATTAACTTCAAAATATATTTCATACATAATACACATATTTTGTACCATGGTATGTTCAAGTTATAGCTTAACTTTATTGATGACTTGTTGGCATATGGAAGACTATGAGGAAGGGGGAGGAGGAGAGGTGTTACTGTTTGGAAATGGAGTCCCCTTCCATTATAACATCAGGCAGTGATGACTTTTCTGGGGTACACACTATGTTTTGCAGGCATACCATTAAGACCTGGTTGTGGCTCACTGCTTGCTTGTCTTACTAAGAATCTGTCTAAAGACACTTTTCCTTACATTTTAACACTTTCGCGCTTTAGATTAGACATAGCTCGTCACCGTTTTTTCTTACGATTCCGCATAACAGACTACGCCTGTAGTCCATCGAAAAAATATTTCTATAAATTCCATTTTCTAACCGAAATGGATGGGGATACTCTCAGATTTTTCTCCATGAAATTCCCGTTCTCCCTCACCGAAAATTTTCAGAAAAATTTGAATCTGTATATATCCCCAAAAAAGAATTGAGTCTCGATGAGGGTACAATGGGATGGCGCGGCCGCCTCTCTTTCAAGGTCTACAATCCCAACAAGCCTGATAAATATGGTGTAAAATTTTATATGTTGGCCGAAGGGAAATCAGGCTACATATATAAATTTGATGTGTATTGTGGAATTGGAAAAACGACAGTGGAAACCATGATGGGGTTGATGGCGCCCCTAGTCAACAAGGGTTATCATTTGTATATGGATAACTACTATAACTCGGTAAGCCTAACAGAACAATTACGTGAAGTGGTTATATTTAAGTTATATTATATACGTTTTGTAGAGAATTTATTTGCGAATTGTTTGGTACCAGAATGAATATTATATCACAAACTTCTATGAGTAAAAAAAAAAACACAAAGTATGTTTGGGGGTGTGGCGGGTGTGGCTCTGGGTGTGGCGGGCATGTGGCAGTGGGGTTCCCTTTAGCCGTTGATATATCCAACACGTGGGAAATATTTGTATGTGTTATGTATATGTCTGTGTAGGGAATTTTACTGTGATCACTGTCATACAAATTATAAAATGTTTCAACAAGTATAAACATGACAAACATCAAACGAACGAAAACAATGCGTTTGTTTCTGCCGCGAACGCATACTAAGCGACGTGGTTCTATATTTGGCGCTTCTCTTACACATGCTTTGTACAATTGTTATACATTTCATCTTATAGAAAATTTTATTGCGAACACATTGGTATAAAAAAGAAATACGTACATAGAAAAGTAGGGTCAGGAAACGTATAAATGTATAAACTTTCCAAGCATGATTTCCCCCGTGTTTTCGCCAGTGCGCTCGCGGCTAACTACTCTCCACTTCACACACTCTTGCGGGTGGGCAATTACCTATATTAAACATTCATATGCATATGTCCGTGTAGAGAATTTTATTGCGATTCCAATGATACCAAAATTAGCGATGTAGGACAACTGTAGGCTTCGCAACCATTAAGAGAGTGGAAACATTTTGTTGCTGTTTGGCGCTCTCGGTGAGTGATCTGCATAGTTTTTTATTTGGTGTTGACACTCCTTATGCTTGTGCGGCATTTTATAGGTATGCTCTTATAGACAATTTCATTGCGAACACAGTGATACCAAATTTAAATACGTGCGCCTTCAATTATTGTCAGGACAGTCAAAAGAGTGTACACTTTTTCGGTCTTACCGTGTAGGCGTGCGAAGTGCCGAAAGCATCTGGGGTATTGTTTTTTTTTGAGCGCCAAGAGCGCGAAAGTGTTAACACTTGTCTGTAGTAAGACAACAACAGTGTCATTCAAAAAGTCAATGCAACGGCCTGCTACAGCTTTATCTGTGCGAGTTTTTTCAACAAAACTGCAGTTTTTCCCATACTTCACACATTTTCTTAACGAGGAGGGGACTGCCTCTACTCAAAAACTATTTTCTTAGGTTGAACCTTACTACTGACTTTCTTGGGACCCATGGTGTGATATATAATAATTACTTTCAAGCAGAAAAACAATGAAATTCTTTACAAAGAATTCAAGCATGATCGTTACTAGGTGAGAGACACTGGCATACTGAAGCGCGCCACGCTCTCGGTCGACTCATACGCGTACAGAGCACCACTTGGTTTCCGAACTTTAGTTATCCGAAACTTCCAGTTTCCCGATTGGGGTTGGGGAGTCATGCTACCCGAACAAAGTTCGGGTAGGAAGGGGTCCGCCCAGCGTCACGCTGGCTTGTTGTGGTGGGTGGGAGATGGTCCAGTTTGCCCACTGTGACTTCACAGATTCACAGCCTATTATTCCTATTATTTTGAATTGCCATAAGGCTGGAATGTTCATTCTGTGCTTTTGTTTTACATATCTGCACAATCAAGAAACATCTGTGCACCATGTCGGCTCCAAATGCACGCATTGCGTCAGTGATGGCTGACCGGTGGGTGGATGGATGAGGGAGCTTAGGTGGGAGGCAGTATGAGAGAGGGGGAGAATTAGTCAGAAAGGGAGGGAGGGAGAGAGAGATGCTAGGAGGGAGGGGGAGGGAGAGAGAGATGCTAGGAGGGAGGGGGAGGGAGAGAGAGATGCTAGGAGGGAGGGGGAGGGAGAGAGAGATGCTAGGAGGGAGGGGGAGGGAGGGAGAGATGCTAAGAGGGAGGGGGAGGTAGGGAGATGCTAGGAGGTAGGCAGGAAGGGACGGAAGTAGTGAGAATTAGGGAGGGAAAGGCAGGCAGGCAGGCACAGGCAGGCTAGCTTGCAGGCAGGCTGGCAGGCAGGGAGTGAGTGGTAGTCACGCGGTTGAACCGCGTGACCTTTAAAAGAGAGTATGGGATGTAGGGGGGGCGGGTGGTGGGGGCGAGACCGGCTCATTCCCGAAGATAAGCCTAGCACACACTACCCGTTAGCATGATGGCAGGCAGGCAGGCTTGCAGGCTGGGAAGGAGGCAGGCAGGCTTGCAGGCTGGGAAGGAGGCAGGCAGGCTTGCAGGCTGGGAAGGAGGCAGGCAGGCAGGGAGGCTTGCAGGCTGGGAAGGAGGCAGGCAGGCTTGCAGGCTGGGAAGGAGGCAGGCAGGCAGGCAGGCTTGCAGGCAGGCTTGCAGGCAGGCTTGCAGGCTGGGAATGAGGCAGGCAGGCAGGCAGGCTTGCAGGCTGGGAAGGAGGCAGGCAGGCTTGCAGGCTGGGAAGGAGGCAGGCAGGCAGGCAGGCAGGCTTGCAGGCTGGGAAGGAGGCAGGCAGGCAGGAAGCGATATATGGGTGTTGAAGTGAACCATGAACCACGTGACCTCAGAGTGTGTGTGTGTGTGTGTGTGTGTATGGGTTTGGGGTGGGGGGAGAGGGGGAGGTGTGTCGGTGGTGGGGGAGGGACCGGCTGACTCCGTAAGCCTAACCACACTCCACAGACCTGTGACCCAGATTTGTTTCTTAAATGTACAGTACTGTACATCATCGTATATTTTAGGCAGGATGTGCCTGCAGGCTGGCAGGATGTGCCTGCAGGCTGGCAGGCAGGCTGGCAGGATGTGCCTACAGGCTGGCAGGATGTGCCTGCAGGCTGGCAGGCAGGCTGGCAGGATGTTCCTGCAGGCTGGCAGGCAGGCTGGCAGGATGTTCCTGCAGGCTGGCAGGCAGGCTGGCAGGATGTTCCTGCAGGCTGGCAGGCAGGCTGGCAGGATATTTCTGCAGGCTGGCAGGCAAGCTGGCAGGCAGGCTGGCAGGATGTGCCTGCAGGCTGGCAGGATATTCCTGCAGGCTGGCAGGCAGGCTGGCAGGATGTTCCTGCAGGCTGGCAGGAAACATCCAGAGGATGTTTGCCAGACGTCTTAATAATCAGTTAGGAACAATTAAGGACTTTTATAAAGCGGATCAGCACTTCACTTATTGGCGAGTACAAACAAAACACGGTCGCATTTACGCTATGAACCTGTCGATTTTTCCCCCTAGAGTTTTTTCGTACATTTTTTTTGAAAAATTTCTTTTTACATTTCTAGTTTATTTTTTCCCCTCTATTTCTCGTATACGAACTTACATGTTAACCGACGGGTCTCGTCCCCAAAGGGTTCGGAAACCAAGTGGTGCTCTGTATCAACAAAGTCACAAGTCGAGGCAGAGGTTGTAAGTACAGTAGCGCCTCGATTAACGAATTTAATCCGTTCTGGCACAAAGCTTGTCATGTGAAACGTTCGTCTTGCGAAACAACAACACTGTCGTCAGAGGTGTCTGAGAACCAGCGGGAACGCTAGGAAGCACCATGTACTTTGCTCGTTCACCATGTACTTTGCTCGTTAATCTAGACAAATTTTCTGCGAGCGACTCGCTCGTTACTCGAAATGCTCGTAACTGGAGTCACTCGTCACTCGAGGTTCCACTGTAGTTGAATTTCCCAACGAAATTGGGGTCACAACTCAAAAAAATTAGTAAAGAAAAACTTGAAAAATTCATTCGTAGGTCGAGGTTCCACTATACAGTGTATATATATAAATAATAATACTGTAAATGGAGTCAGTCTTAAAATATGGCAAGAATGGCTTTATTTTCAAATATAATTGCTCAGAACATAAAGAGGAAACTACAGAAGACGTACTGGAATGTTTAAGGCAGCTCTTATTTACACCAAATTAAACTTACTCTGTCTAACCTATGCTTTATAAACAATCCAGTGTCTGTGTTACCCTATAATCTACTCCTTCACTCTAACCTTATTTCCAAACAAGTGTTTAACAAAATCTTTTCTGAATCTAAACTTGGCCAATGTACAGTATACTCATTTTGCATGAAATGCACTATGGTTATCATGACAAAGATATGAAAAACACATGATCTGTGCTCACCAGTTTTTTCAAAGATCCAACTTGAAATGATATATAAAACACAATCATAAATCAGAGTATCAACAGCCAAAGAGGCAAAGCCCAAAATGAGCAGCACTCACCTGGTAAGCTGGGCTCGAGACTTATCACCTATACATATAATGGCAGCATTTGAATCATCATCTTTTAACTCTGCCTTAATGTGCTTGCAGACGTTTGAATGAATTGCACCACACAGGCCTCGATCACTGCTACAAGCCACAATTAACTTTTTGGGCTTATCCTCCTCACCCTTTACCTCTGCCTGTAGAAATAAATTATATAAGATTCAATACACACACACCTGGCATGTATTTCAACAGCTTTCTGTAACCACAGCAGTTTGTGAGGTATGCTGCCTTTCACTAGAATTTAAGATACAATAAATTTGATTGGTGTGTTGAATTTAAGGAATAATACAAGAACAGGCAAGAACACTGATGATGGGACTGGATATAAACACAAAAGTATGGGAAAGTGCCAGACAAGGACGCTGGTTCTAATCGAATGCTCATGGAAAGGGGTAAACCTTTGTCGTCTGTAGAAGACAAAGCAACCAAGCTAGATGAAGCTGTGACAGATGTCATTCATGCAACAGCAGGTATTGAAGCCAGTGAGGAAGGTCAATCAAACAATGTGCAAACAAACTGGTATGTAAACTAAACTGATGGACACCAGAAATGCTAGCAAAAATATTAGACTTGATAAGACAAAGGGAAATGACTCACCACCAACACTAAATCTGGCCCTGTGTTTTTGAAGCAAAACTTCAAAAGGATAGAGTATCAATCACTATGAGTCACCAAACAATTATGTTTGATTTCATAGGAGAGTAGGAAAGGGGAAGTTAGACCAAGACCAGAAATGTGCAGAAGTTATGGAACAGTTCATCAGTCAGGAAAGCAACAATTTAAAAACAGGCAAAAAGTGAAAGGTCAACTTAAGTGGTAGCATTGCTATAAAGGAGGAAAAATCAGTAAATCTAAAACTCAGGATACAAGGAAGCATTCCAGTCATTTCCTTAAACTTTTATTCTGCAGTCTGCTAGTGTTTTAGTGCCCCTTTCCCCCTTCTGCCCGACACCTGGCATCAGGTGGAAGCTTCAGAAGCAGGCGGAAGCATTCAGCTGTTCCAAGCATAGGGCGCCTGACAGTTGAGTGGACAGTGCTTCGGATTCATAGTCCTGAGGTTCCGGGTTCAATCCCTGGTGGAGGCGGAGACAAATGGGCAAAATGTTTCTTTTATTTACCCTGATGCCCCTGTTACCTAGCAGCAAATAGGTATCTGGGAGTTAGACAGCTGCTACGGGCTGCTTCCTGGGGGGGGGGGGGGGGGGTGTAAAAAAAAAAAAAAAAAGGAGGCCTGGTCGAGGACCGGGCCGCAGGGACACTAAGCCCTGAAATCATCTCAAGATGACCTCAAGATAAAACATACAAGTGGGGGAAGGTTATCAATGGAGATTGTATTAAATAACTAAATCCTAATACCAAATATTACTAGATAAAAGAATTAAAAATCAGCAGCACTTAAAGTATAATGTCCAGTATAGTCCTAGTAGTGTTGCTAATCCCTCCACATGGCCTGGGAAGGTCGACCCACTCACAAAGTGTGATTTGAAGCCTGCATCATACAACCCGTTCTCGCACTTTTGTATAGTCAATATTGACTTATTAAATACGTACATATGTGACATACTAAACATACTAGTTTACCCTGAAAAGCTTCATAGAAAACACCGACCTTACCTAACCTTCTTAGTATGTTAAGATAAGCATCTTATTGCTTCGTAATTACAATTATTACTTAACCTATTATAGGTATAACCTATACCTATTATATATAGGTATAGGTTATACCTATATATAATAGGTAACCTATACCGAAGCATCTTATTGCTTCGTAATTACAATTATTACTTAACCTATTATAGGTATAACCTATACCTATTATAGGTATAGGTTAAGTAATAATTGAAATTACGAAGCAATAAGATGCTTATCTTAACATACTAAGAAGGTTAGGTAAGGTCGGTGTTTTCTATGAAACTTTTCAAGATAAACTAGTATGTTTAGTATGTCACATATGCACGTATTTAATAAGTCAATATTGGCGGTAAGATAGTACGAGAACGGGTTGCATCATAAAGCAAAACATGTTGAGAAACAAATTACAATTGTCTGATAACAGAAATGAAGTAATCAAGTACCTTCTCGTAAAAAGCAGAAGTCCCTGCACCATACGGCCGGGCAGGCTTCAATTCCCTTTCAGCTCTTGCATATTTGGCTGCTGACACCATCTTCATAGACTGGGTAATCTTCTGGATATTCTTAACAGACTTCAGGCGCATGGCAATGGCCTTTAAGGTGGCCATACCACGCACCTGCTGCTGCCCACTGTTGAGACAAACACAAAATATAATATATACTGTATAAATTATGAATTAAGCACATCTTCCTGTAATAATTAGTACCTGGTTCCCAACTTCATGACGGTGGAAGGCATCAGCTTAGAGATAAGGAAATGGTAGAGGAAATGATTGAAAAAGGGTCAAGCACACTTCTTTATACCTGCTGTGCCTAGGGACCACAAAAAAAAAAAAAAAAAAAAAAAAAAAAAAAAAAAAAAAAAGTGCAATCCCCATTCATTTGGGTATTGATATTCTCTCCACCAGTGCTTCACATGGCTCCTGGTGCCCTTATCACCTGGGGTCACAGGCAAATTTATAGATTCATCCCCATCCCCCCACCCCCACATTTTCTGATTGGATCAGTGACACAACAGCATGATTTTTATATCCACAGCATTGGATATGTATTAGATATTTGATATTTATTTTGATATATATTGATATATTTGATATATATTGATATATTTGATATATATTGATATATATTGTAACACTGTAAAAGTGTTTGGTTTAGGTTAATACATACATAGAGTACATGAGTCACAGACAAGGATCTGAGAGGCACCAGTTGTCTGCCTGAGATCTCACACCTCAAAGCGTTAATGACCTCAAGTGACCTGAGGTCAGATCATCATTCTGATCAGGTCATCATTCTGATCAGGTCAGAATTTCACCTTGCTTCCGCTAAGCTTATAATTGTAGTCTGGTAGCCTTCAAACATGCCGACGTTTAAGGAGTGGCTTGGTAGAGTGCCGGAGGCTATCTATTTGTGGGCGGAGTTAGCTACTAGGTTCCCCAATAAATACTCGGAGAACTATCGAGCATGAAGCATTAACAGACAGAACAGCAGACGAGCCAGTAGAGAAGACGTCCCTAGCAGGGAGGCTGTCGGCCGGTAGGGGCGAGACAGTCTCTGTCAAGCTACAGACCCCCCCCCCCTCTCTATTCAACTTAGACTCAGTCCTCGGTGAGTGAACAGTAAGGTGACTTGGTCGTGTTTTACAAGTGTTGTGTGATGATCAGGGGCAGTCAGTTGTAGTGCTCTCAGATTCTTGGAGGATGACTCACTTTGAATATTAATCTTTAACATTTTAAGTGGTTTGCTTATATTATGATACTTAGTATGTGAAATATATGAACTTATTATTTAAATCGTCTTTGTTCCCTAGAGCTTTGAGTTGAGGTGAGAAAGCCTCGGTGGTTACTAGATTCAAGATATTAATGAGTACATGTTTGGAGTTGATACATGGTACAGAGGGAACATACTAATAATGAACTCATGATAACATCCTTTGAGAATTTTGTGATACAGGCAAGTTCCATTCCTTGTCTTGTATGTAATGATCATGAATGGATGGTGGCAGCATTTCGTCTTCTACTATCTACTCTTCTACTTCTACTATCTACTCTTCTACTCCTACCTATCTACACCTCTCCCTCCACCCCTCTCTGAACTCTCACTTTCAACTAATGACCCTCCTCGCTCCTCCCACCTCTCTCCCTCTCACCCCAAGCCCTCACTAATTACTTCACTATTCATTTCTTTCCTTTCGTTTCCTCTTATACGTTTGTGGCAATGATTCTGTATTCTAGAGTTCTCTCTAGAGTTTTGGGTAGCTGGTCCAGTTACGGCGCCTTGTAGTCTTAGCACCTAGGTAGTCAAATACCTAGGTTACAAGGTGTTGAACGAGAGAGGTTGCCTTAGGAACTCTGGGAGTGCTCTAGAATAGTTAGCTAACTGGGGACGGGATAACGGACTAGAGAGAGCTGTTTCCCCCGGCCTCGTTAGTTAACTGGGGGGTGGAATAATGGACAAGATAGAGCTATTTCCCCCACACCCCCGTTACAATATTGATATATTTGATATATATTGATATATTTGATATATTGATATATATTGATTTATTTTTATATTTTGATATATTACATTGGATATTTTATATCCACAGCACAGTCTCCATTGCGTAGTGGCAAGACACTCGCCTGGCATTCTGCGGGCGCTTTATCCTGGGTTCGTATCCTGGCCGGGGAGGATTTATTGGGTGCAAATCCTTAACTGTAGCCTCTGTTTAACTCAACAGTAAAATGGGTATTTGGTTGTAAAAACTATTCTTCGCAGGGGTCTTATTCCAGGGAACGTAGGATTAAGGACTTGCCCGAAACGCTACGCGTACCAGAATGTAAGAACTCTTTGTGTGTATATATATACAGTATATATATATAAATAAAAAAGTAATGGGCATTTGGCTCTTGCTCTGCCCAGTTAAAGTAGAAGACTGTAAATGCTTAGAATTTATGTAATAATCATTTTCCACTTAAAATCTTTAGAATTTTATATTCAAATGCAAACCTTATTGCATGGCCTTTATCATCAGATGTAATGAACAAGGGTAGACACCTAGTAATGTGCATTGTGGGTACAATATTACTCAGATACTGGTGCCATAATAACTCATGATCTTGCTCTAAGCTAGCAAAATTACTTCTTTAAATGTAATTAAAAGACTAAAATACAATAAAATTGTACACAAATGTCTATTTTTAACCAATTGACAAAGTTATGTAAATTATTAGATCAGGATAGAATAGGCCTTTGTTGGATTGGATAGATTTTAAAATCCAGTGGCAAGTGGAATAACATTTTAAGTGACATATTGCACCATAACATATCAGCATGCTATATTAACTTCAATATAAGTATCAGATCTCATTGCTCAGCACTCAAGTACAAGCAATTGAACATGGCTTGCCGATGCTGATCATCAGCCAATACAATACTGCCAGATCCGTTTTGAGAGCCAATTACATAGGATGACAACTCACTAAACAGGGCCAATATGTAAACGTGTATTCCAGCTCCATAGCTTCCCTGATAACCCCATCACGTTAACATACTGACAAGCTTTTCAGGGTATGGTCAAAATATACACAGCATTTTGACAAAAGCTCAGTCTCTAAGTGTCAGTCATTTATTTTGTTGGGGAAGGTGGGGTTGTTTTCAGGTTTGGCAGGTTTAAAATCCACTGGCGAAGTCTTGTGCACAATGTGACTAGCATTATTTTTTTATTATTATTATTATTTTATATATACTGTACATATACTGTATATATATATATACATACATACATATACACACACTACACACACACAGTATATATTATATATAATGAGAGTTCTTACATTCTTGTAAAACCACTAGCACGCATAGCATTTTGGGGAGGTCCTTAATCTTAGTTTTTTCCCCGAAATACTACTCGCCAAATCGTTTACCCATTCACTTCTGGGTGAATAGAGGCTACAGTTAAGGATTAGCGCCCAGTTAATCCTCCCCGGCCAGGATATAAACCCAGGCCAATTTTTTTTAATTATCAGGGGAAAGTGCCAAGCCATTATGACTTTACAGCACTGGGAAGGAGTCAGGATTACGATTTGGGATGGGACGGGGGGGGGGAAGGAATGGTACCCAACCACTTTGACGTTGGGGATTGAACACCGACCTGTATGAAGCGAGACCGTCGCTCTACCGTCAAACCCAGGCCAAAGTGCCTGCCAAACGCCAGGTGGATGTTTTACCACTGCACCACGGAGATCGCATCTAACCATCTCTCGTATATTAAAAACATTCACAATGTATAACTATACAATGTATAACTATGGAATACAGGTCACTTAATACCCATGAGTGTTCGCCAAAAAGATTTTAAAATCTATCCAACCCAATCATGATACAGTTTTATCACTAGGGAGGCGTTGAAATACCTGTGATAGATTCACGTCACAAAATATTAAAGATCTCATATATCACTTAAGACCCCGATACGGGAGCACGAGGGCATATGATAACCTATCCCAAAGGAGTCCCTGCCAAGCTCACCAGGTTAAGACCTATCCAACAATGTTTACATTTGTATCAGCTGATGCTTGCCGGCCATGGAAGCCATTTTCGCTTCCCATTTTTCGACCTAATATCTACGTTGTACTCGCTAGTTCTCTCCTCTCGAGCCCTGAACATGAAAGAGAGAGATGCTTCGGCATGCATAAGCTAACATTCCGCCCGGGGCAGACGCTTCCCTTACTTGTAATTGACGAGAATAGTCGCCCGGCGGAACATCCTGACTGACTTGACGACCGACCCGCAAGACACCGGGACGGCTGCCGCTGCTTCACTCTCTCCCCGCCGGACTCGAGACCTCGTGAACCCCGACACTCACTCACCAACCCTGACACTTACTCACCAACCCTGATACTTACTCACCAACCCCGACACTTACTCACCAACCCTGACACTCACTCATCAACCCTGAAACTCACTCATCAACCTTGACACTCACTCATCAACCCTGAAACTCACTCATCAACCTTGACACTTACTCATCAACCCTGACACTCACCAACCCTGACACTTACTCACCAACCCTGACAGTTACTCACTAACCCTGACAGTTACTCATCAACTCTGACACTCTCTCATCAACCTTGACACTCACTCATCAACCCTGACACTTGCTCATCAATCTTAACATTCACTCATCAACCTTGACATTCATTCACCAACCCTGACACTCACTCATCAACCTTGACACTCACTCATCAACCCTGACACTTACTCATCAACCTTGACACTCACTCATCAACCCTGACACTCACTCATCAACGCTAACACTATAAACTCTGACACTCCCTCATCAACCTTGACACTCATCAACCCTGACACTCACACATCAACCCTGACACTCACACATCAACCCTGACACTCACACATCAACCCTGATACTCACACATCAACCCTGATACTCACACATCAACCCTGACACTCACACATCAACCCTGATATTCACTCGTGAACCTCGCCACTCATTCTAAAAAGTCCGACGTTATATGTTCCCAACTCGATCTACTGTTCTCACCAAATACTACTCACTAATCTATGCCTATATCTAACTTGTGGTATCTGTACATGGGGTTCAACCACTGCAATAACATGCCCATCATATCATCTAGCAAAGACCAGCTATAAGAATTATAATAAATTCTGTTATAGGACAACACAGACCATGATCGACAGGAATCAGACTAAATTAATATATGCAAACACGCCATGCCAATAAAAGGGTCCCCTTCCTAAGAAAGTTAAAAAAATCAACCCATACTTTTCAAAAGTAGAACAGTTGATGAATTAGTGTTCTATATAGATACAAAATTGTCCCGGTAACTCACCTATAGTATAATTTACTATCTAGAATTACAACTACGCCAATATAATTTATTTTATCACTATTTAAGTTAATACAGTATGTACGTGAATTCAAATTCTGTCATTTTATATTCTTTGTCAATCTTCAGGGCCTGGCGGATACGCTATATGCTGAGTGACTTTTCATGAATGTATCATTTAAAAGCCAACACGTGTATTCTCACGCCCTAATTATTCCTTTTTGCATATTTATAATTACTAAACATTTATATACATGTATTAAGGGACTCGAACCTTTAAAGATTCGAATCTTGGGAGGGTCGAGCCCCTCAAGAGTTCGCCGCGAGAACCCACAATGCTCATGAAACCAGACAAATGAGCCGCTGCTGCGCATTAGTTGATGTTTCATCAATCTTAGAGTGTCGCTACATTATCTTCAATAATTATTAAGGTAACCCATTTAAATAAAATTGATTTATTATCCGTCAACACGTATATAGATCGAAGCGCGTCATTTACAGGTTAATTATTTGTTTGGCTTCCCATTAATGGGATTACAACTTAATTATATAAATAATTAATTGTTGCTGGGACAGGAATAATTATATTAGCTTAATTATAATATATTGAGGTCCCGGAATAAGCTAACTATACTGACCTTTCCCAGAATGCTTCCGACAATAGTTAACTACTGCAGGTAAATGAACAGAGGCATCAGGTGAAAGGAAACGTGAACAACATCTTCGCCCTGTCCGGAAATTTATTACTTGAGACCTTTTTTATCAGCTGTAGTCTCCGTAAAGGCCTAGTATTGTAATAGTTTGGATAATATTACCCTATAGCTATATATATATATATATATCCTAATTCACTATACATACAATTAAGTTGCATATTCACTATACAATTAAATCAACTAATTTACAACAATAATAAATAAATTACAACAATATAATAAATTTCAATTAATTCACTATACAATTAAATGCATATCGAAGGACTGAAGGGAATGGGAAAGAATTAGAATGTGTTGATGTGTCTATGTCATCTATGCTAGATGCTGTGAATTATTAAAATAATTATTAATGTATACAACAGTGACCATGACCAGTGACCAGTGAGACCTTGTGGAAAACAAAAAAAGATGATTGATTAACAGTTGAGAGCTCAACCCCCGCAAGCACAACTAGGTGAATACAACTAGGGGAATACTTGGCCACACAACCCGCACAAAATAATCCCAAGTACCAAATTCTTGAGAAACGTGGGAGAAATTGTGTATTATATATTGAAATTCTATAGATATTATGGAAGCGTTGTTATAAGTTGTGGTGATGGTGGATAGGTAGTGGATGAGAGGAGAGGTGAGGCAGGGCGGCGTGTGGAGGCTGGCTTTAGTATGGAGGGAGAGGTGGCCGCAGGGGTCAAAACTACACCACGGGTGATTAACCTGGCTTGTTCAGTCATTCTGGTGTGTGTGTTGTTAGCAGGGTGTTGCAGGTGTTGGGGAGAGTCCTGTGTGTGTGTCGACATGATCCCGTGGTCCATGCAAGTGTAAATCATTGAAGTAATCGTAGCGAGAGTCGACCAGCAAGGTGACAGTTTTTTTTTAATTTTCTTTTAAATCGTGATTCCCCGTAACAACAAAATACAATTCTCTAAAACCTCGGTATAAAGTAAAGTCATTAAAGGTCACGAAGTTCATTATGGCAATCCTAACATAACTCAAACGAGTTACCTCAACGTGCCTGAGTTTACCTGTGACATTTCCACTTTGCATATGTTTAAGGGACAAGGACATTGCCCAGGCGTTGGGAAAATGGTGCAGTTACACCTGGACAGTAAGGATAAATTGGGCACTGTGGCTGAAGTGCACTTCAACTCGAACTATTGAGCTGATCCTGGTAGTCTAGGGTGACCAGACCTATCCTTGCTGGTTGCTACGAGGGCCTCGATAAGTTAGTTGTATAGGTTTAGGTTAGTATCATGAGAATTAAATTGATGAGGTGTTTACATTTTATTTAAAAGTATAAGTACTGTAATACAGTATTGTAAACATCGGTATGTATAATGACTGTGACGTGTATAATATTGTATGTAACATTTCATGCTAATGAAATGTTAGGCCAAATATTTACGTACCCAGATAGAAAGGGCTGCATGAAGCCTGAGCTCTCGGGTGCTAGAATTTGGACGGCAATACATCACTAATATGCAAGAGAATTTTGCCAGATAAATATTAGGGTCTATTATATGCATTATGTGTGGTATTATTTGACTGTGTTTGTATAAAAACACAGCACTACCTGGTTCCTGAATATTTCCAAATAGTATCTATGGCACAGTGGGGACTTTTGGCAGGTTGGTTTATTTTTTACTCTGCTAAACCTGTTCTAAACCACTGCAATTTGTCCACAGCAGTTCTTGGTGAATTTCCACCAGACATTTCAAAGCTGAGAAAAGTATGCCAGGACGGCCCATATTTCAGGGTCTCGATAACGGCAGGTCCAAGACGAGTCTCTTGGCTAGATCACAGGTTGGTTGAGTCCATTTGTATAATAATTGTGCATGTATTTTTTATACAGTGGTATATTTATTTCCCTAATGACTGAAACTTGTTTTGCAATATGTCGCTTTTAATTATTGTAGCTCGGGGCAGATTTATAGCCAGGCTTCGCTTGTTGCTATCTTTTATTATGCCTTAAATTCTATTTTTTGACTTGTTCATTCCTTTATACAGTATTTATTAATATTCTTATGTAGATAATATTTTTAGTAAATAAATGATAGAAACTAATTGATGCCAGTGGTCACGATATCAGAGTACAGTAGTGTTGGTTTGATGTTGAACCAACGCTATAAAAGATTGACCATTGAATTGATATTGATTTCATCACTTGATAATGATTAAAAAAAAATTTAATATTTCCAATTCAAGTTCAGTTAACACAATGTATGTTGTACACAACAGCATGCAATAATTTCTCGTAACCTATATATGGAAAATAATTATAAATTGGGTCCTAAATCTACATTCTTGGATAGTAACTTGAAGTAGTAACATACAGTAAGAGGTACAGGATAAACGCAGTGAAAAGTTATGCTGCGTAGTTAGAAAAACACTAGAGGTCAAACACAAACACACTTCTCACCTAAGTTAGGTGAGAAGGTGGTGGAGGCCAAGACCGTCAGTAGTTTCAAAGCGTTATATGACAAAGAGTGCTGGGAAGACGGGACACCACGAGCGTAGCTCTCATCCTGTAACTACACTTGGGTAATTACACTTCAGATTTCCACTTGCAAAATATATATGAAGGGTTAAATGAACACAAGTTAAAATTTTTGTGATCTTGATAGGTTCTTGCCATTGTGGCGGCTTAGTTGGTTTGCAGGCCATAAGAATCGATAGTTTGACTGATTAGGTATTTACCCGGGAGGGCTGGCCTCAAATTAGGCGGTAAGAGTAGAAAACCTTCTCAGGAGTGGCAGCAAATAAACCACAGTGTATAATGTAGTGTGTAATCATAAATGCAGTACTGAATGCATAAAATTTTACTTTTATTTATTAAATCTTAACATAGATCATTGACTTTTCATTTAGATAGTCTAATATTGTATGTAGACTATTTCCATCTTCATCACCAGATTGTATGTAATTAAAAAAAAGCTCTTAAATATATGGGTGATATAAGAAATCCATTTCACAGTATGGTTGGTATGATGTGTAATTCATATTACAGGTTGCAGAGCGTCACCTTCAGGCATTTGAACTGTGCCAGCAAAGAGGGGAAATTGGCCAGAGCTTTTCACATTTGTCTTTGGTGCTTTGCATTTTGCCAAACCTCAAAGCAGAGTATTACTCCACTTACCTTCAAGTTTTTGGTCAGTACTGTATGTTTCGGTATCTTTTTTTTTTTACAACTGTTCATTCCTTTTCACATAAAGGATTGAACATACAGTATGTTCATATAAGTACATACTGTAATGAAAAATATTATGTATTTGAAGTACAGTATAACAATTTTCATGCTTGTTAGGTTAAAGTAGGTAAAATATATATATTATTTCATATTTGTCAGTTTTGGCCATGTTATTGTGATTTATTGTCTAGTATATTTATTTGTCTACTGGTTTTGTATTATCATCTTTGTCTTGGAAGGTCAAAATATAACAATGCTGCATGGTAATTAGTATTAATCATGCAATAGTTTGTGCGCACTATTTCTGAATATCTTAATTTACAACTGTCCCTTGTAGCACCTTCCACACTTCTTCCTAACTCTGCCTGTTTTGCCCTTCTATTGTCTCACTGGCTGTAAAATAACATTTTAAATTTTTTATTTGTTACAGAAGACTGGATTGGAAAAGTTGAAGAGAACAATGGCTTTCAGGAGGCGATGACTATTTTTGAGGTTGCTTTCAACCATTATCCAGAGTCTCCAGATCTGCACCATCTGCTTGCTAAGATTCTCTACAGGTAGTTTGATGCTTGATAAGGGCAAAGTAAACTGCATCCGTATTTGTTGGTCATTTTTAAGAATTAGCACCTAACCCAACCTTTTAATCAATACTTGGGAAAGGAATACAGTCCTGTGTTATTGTACTACAGGTGTATGAACATCACGCATGTCCAGACAATATTTGCATATTTTCACATTGCCATGTCCTTGTTCAATGTATAATTTGTTCTACGTCTAATTGTATGTTATTTAAATTATTTCATACTCTCGAAATATGTGGCAATATTAATAATTTGTTCAATTTAAATTAGACAAATTAATACAAATATTTTTTGTATGGAATAAAATAATTGTATACAAGGAAAATTAGACATAATTGGGGTAAAAAAAAAATTGAGCAAATAGCAAATCCATTTTTTTTTATTACATGAGCAGACCTTTGCATCATGGCTTTAGAAACATGGCGCGTGTTATTCAAAGAGTGTCTGGGTGGACGTGGGGCACAATATTGTGATGAGATTGCACCTCTGTTAGTGGCTGTTGACCAAGGTGTAAAGCCATCTCTCTTATGGGATGTGTGTACTGCAGACACCTCAGCTTTGCTGGCCCTTCTCAACCAAGCAAGGTTAAAAAGCCTTCTAGTATCAAAACTTGTTTTGGTGGAATTAGGCCTTGATGTGTTTATTGTTAATGTTGCTGCTGTAATCCGTACCCTTGGTGGCATCACTGGTGCACCCCCAACCTGGTTGATTGATATAAGTGGTCCTACTCCCAAACTTGGCAGCAGTGAAAATCACCAGGAATTCCGGACTCATCTTAACTCCATCATTGCTCAGCTGGGTATTATTACCAATGAGAATGAAGACAATTCAATACCAGATTCTGTGGGTATTCACACCCAGAATGGTGTTGACGGTGCTCCTCACACTGCTGCTCAAAGTTCAACTTGTAACTCGGGATTGATAAAAGCAGCACAAATAAAACTACCAGATGATCTTAACCTTAGTACAATATTTGGATGTCTGCTTGGTTACCCACATATATATTGGTGGGAAGGTGAATCGGGTGGCAACAGCCTTTCTGGCATGCCCCTCAAAGTATTCAAACTGAGTGCTAATTGTTCTATTGATGGATCTGTTGTAGAGTTATTTTCCTTCAGTATACCTGAAGTTCTGGAAGGAGATCTACGACGAGGTATCGAACATTGGGGAAATGTGGTAAATGTTAGGATTGAGCAAGCTGGCAGCTTTTCGAATGCAAGATTCCGGTGTGATTCAGTCCTTTGTCTTTCTGTAGCTTTATAATAAATTTCTATGTAATTTTCCTGTATTATTTTTTAAATGGGCAAGTGTTGGTGTTTTAGCATATTACTTTCTGCTACAGCAAAGATTATTAAAATTTAACATTATCCTGCAATAATGTATAACCACAATATACATAGAACTATCAGCCCATCCTCCTGTTTTGGTAGTACTTATAGTAACGATGAGGACCATAGTATATATAGCGATGTACAACGAAATTGGAAAGTAGAAATCTGAACTGTTGAGTTGGACAAACTGAAACTTTTTTTTACTTGTTGCTTTGACAAACTAACCTAACCTTCCTAGGCCTAATAGACAATATCAGAGGCCTAATACAGTACATGTGTGCTATACTAGGCCTAGAAATATTTAAATTTGTTTTTTTAAGCTTCATTTATTTTAAAAAATCATTACTAGTCTGTATACTGCTATCTAAAAGTTAAGTACTGTATGTACAAATTTGTGACTATTGACGATCGTCACAATACCTACTATCTAAACAGGAAGATAGGTTGCAGCTATATGTTTCAATATACAGTATTATACAAACTTAAATTATATTTGAGGATCGGTTATTTCCACGATATTATTTTGACTACTGTATGTCTTTTGCAGGACTAAAATCTCAAATCGGTGCTAAATAGAGGAAAGTTGCTCTGTTTGGATTAGCATAAAATATATTTTAAATGTTTTTGTTGTATAGTTATCTACAATACTACCTTATCTGATTTTAAGCAATAATTATAGTCTTTATATATATATACAGTATACTGAATATATATAAACTAAAGAAAAAAAGTAAATTCCTCACAAGACTACTATGAGCCTTGATTATTGCAAAGTTAAAAAGCTAGTTTGTTCTGTCAAATTGGTTCTTGACACTTTAGGGTTGGGAATTAGATAGTGCATGTAAATATGCTAATACTGTACATAGGTAATGAAGTTTTATGTATTATAAATAAAATTTCCTTTCAAATAATTCACTAGAGTGATGTTCATTTGGAATTATCAACTTTCCTGAAAAGCTTTGCAAACAAAGCCAGTTATTTTCCATGAAAGGATGTGACCAATGAACTGATAATTGACAAACTGCCCGTTGTCCTGAAAGTCCATTCATCCCCCAGTATTTTTAATTACAGTATGCACATACTTAAACAGCTTGTGTCCCTCGATAGTATCCTTGGTGAATTGGATGCCTTTGATGTGGTTTGCTGTGTGCGCTTTTGTTCTCATACTGGCATCACCTAATATTTAGCGCCTATTGAATATCCCAAACTTTTAACTGTGCTACATAGCCTCCCCGGCTTGGTGCCTTCTTTTGATAATTACTTACTTTCACAGATTATTTCTCAGTACAGCATTATAAAAAATCTTCGTGTAGGTAAAGAAGCATTTGAATATAAAGAGAAGTGGTCAACGTGTTATACTGTAATGTAATTGGAAAGCACACAATTCTTGGCTTTATTGAGAGAGAGAAAAAATAAACCCCTGAATAAACTGGGTATTACTAGTTAGACCACACCTAAACCATGCTGTGTATATCTAGTCTCTAATTACATCATTCTAGGATCATTTTGAACCGGTTAAAAAGTGACAGAGTTCTTACCAAGGTTGGTAAAGAAACTCGAAGGGAAGAATTAAATACTGCAGTTAACTTTTTTTGAAAGCAAAAAATAGAATTTCGATGAAAAAAGTTAAAGATAATAAAGAAATTTAATATTGAAATGGTAGTCATAACATTTTGGTTAATAGATGAGTAACCACTGATTCAGAAATAAGGGTTGCAGAACTGTTATGCAACATTATACAAGAAACTTTTCAAACAAGCATAGGTTAAGTAAGGTAATTATCAAAAGAAGGCACCAAACCGGGAAGGCTATGTAGCTTAGGTTAAGTCTCCAAGTAGGAATGGTTAGATTTAAAGCTATTGCATATGGGCCAATACTGTGAGACTTCCTAGTCTTATTGGCATGAAAATTTGAATACTGTACCTATTTATGAGCAGACTAATAAACATATGGATGTGTAAGGTATACAATTTTAAGTGAGAATATTTGGAGTAGGGGTGATATTTTTTCTTTTAAAATGAAAGGTTTAAAAAAAAAAAGACGAGGATGCTTGTTACGTGCTGCTGGCAGACTTAGGTAGGACATGGGGCTGGAGAATAAGAGCTTGTGGAAGGCCTGGAGCGGAAAGCTCGAATGAGGGCGGGAGAAGAGCTTGAATGTGGTTGTCACTATGTAACCCATCCTCTCGCTAGGCTGTTTAAAGCAGCGGCTGTCCTCCTCAGATGCATTCAGCAATTTTAAGTGTATTGAAAATAGGTTTGTTCTCATATATAAATTAATATTATACATAACAATTATGTGTATAGTTAGGCATAGGTTAGATTAGGTGTTTAGGTTCTGTTGGCGATTATATGTGAAGTAAGTAAAGCATTTATAGAATTGTGGTTTGAACAGAGGATGTGAGCAAAGCACTTGTTCCGGAAGTGTTCGAACATCATCAGTTGTGCAACACTTTCTCAGACCAAGTCCATTCCATCCAGTGGTTGACCCCAAAGACATATCAATTTTAACATGCTGTTCATTCAAAACAGGAATTTTCTCAAATATAAATTAATACAGTATTATTATTATATATTAGCATATTGTGCATATTTAGGCATTGGTTAGGTTAGGTTAGGTGTTTAGTTTCTGTTGGCGGATATTTGTATTTGTAGTACGTGGGTGAAGCATTTACAGTGTTGAGGTTTGAACAAAATTCGTCAGTGAAGCACTTATTCCGGAAGTGTTCGGACATCATCAGATACGAGTCATGTGTAAACTGTTTTAATTCATATTCGGGATTTGGCGGCTGCGTAGAATCACTTTGGGCCTTTATGAGGACGGACTGAGTTGTGCGTAAACTGATTTTCATTCGTAAACAATGTTTGGCAGCTGGATTAATGAGATAGGATTTTTGTATGCGAGGACGGGCTGCTCTGGCTCGTTCTGTTTCAGAGTGAGGGTTGTAACATCAGGTATGAAAGTTGGACCTCTTCATTGGCCTTGCTGTATTCTCAACAGTCTTAACTATTTAACACCGGGAAGGGATCAGGATAAGGATTTAGGATGGGATGGGGAGGAATGGTGCCAAACCACTTGGACGGTCGGGGATTGAACGCCTAGGACTGCTACTGGATTTGGCGGCTGCGTAGAATCACTTTGGGCCTTTATGAGGACGGACTGAGTTGTGCGTAAACTGATTTTCATTCGTAAACAATGTTTGGCAGCTGGATTAATGAGATAGGATTTTTGTATGCGAGGACGGGCTGCTCTGGCTCGTTCTGTTTCAGAGTGAGGGTTGTAACATCAGGTATGAAAGTTGGACCTCTTCATTGGCCTTGCTGTATTCTCAACAGTCTTATATGTGAGTGAATAGATTGCAGGTGTCATTAGTAATAATCGGATTAGTGGGAACATTTAGGTGGTTACAATAGAATCTATTGGAATGTTGAATACTGTAGTTTGGGAATAATGTAAGTAGCTGACACATTATCTATAATGTGGTTTGCTACAGATGCCTTTCAAAAACTTTATCAACTGTGTGATAAATGAAAACAGAGTGAGGGGGCACAGGTGGAAGATGAAAGCATGGATGAACCAAAGAAATGTGAGAAAATGCTCATAATCATTGGGAGTGGCAAACAAGTGAAATGAGCTTAGGCTAAAGATGATGAAAGCAACTGTCATTCACAGCTTCAAAAGTAAATATAACAGTACTGTAGTGAGGTTATAATGGCAGCAGTTACATTAGCTGAGGTGGGGCTCTGGAGCTGGATCTCATGCCCTGTAGATACAATTGGCTAAGCATTCCCATAGTGCCACTCTGTGCCTCTTATCCACACCAACCTTCCCATCTGCTCCATCCTCTCCAATTAATCCATCTACCCATACCAACAGACATCCCTAGCCACACTTTAACCAACAGAGATATGGGATAGACAACTGTGTTTTTTGAAGAAATATTAAAATACATAAACTATATATGTGTGTGTGTTTGTGTATATTGTGTGTGCGTAATATATATAATGTGTGTGTGTATGTATATGTATGTATGTCTGGTATATAGTAGATTGGTTTTCTGTACCTTCTGCTGTCAAGAAATATATTGATGAAATAGTTCGGATGGATTTGCTTACTATGGTACTGTACTGTATTTATGGACATAAACCTTGCTAGGATGTTTGTAAAGAGGAGCACAATCATCACTGAGTCCTCATCATTCCTTGGTCTAGAATTTTTGTTTCTGGTTTAATTATATTGATAATGACTAATGTGTATAGAAGTCTACCATATCTGTGACTAGGTGCAAGGGAAGGTCAAGAAAAGGAGGCGACACGCACCAACATAACTGCTGGTTAGCTTTGGAAATTGCCATATCATGCAGTGGTACAGCATGTTGTTTTTCATATGATAAACTGTATTTCTGCTTTATAATTGAATAGCTTGGAAGGGTTTGCTTACTATGATAATGTATGTGTGCCTTTGAAGACTGCCATATGTCTGAGCTTGCTGGGTTATGGATATTGTTCCCAGTTATATTAGCTGAGTATACTAATTAGCATTAGTATACTCTTGTAATTTTCTTGCCTTGGTAAGTCAAATAAAAATATTCTACTACAATGCTTTTAACATTTATTTCTTTATACAAAGAGAGTATAAATTTGCAAATAAATTATAGTGTATTAGTAAAGTTATGCCATTATTAGACTAGAATCCAAAAATGTATAGATTATACAATGCATGACCCAGTCATTTCGTATTTTGGGTGTTCGGCTCTGGTAATAGTAGCCACTTCTTTACTTATTTGTAAAATGTTTAACATTGAGTTAATGTTAAATTGCAAGATAAAGATTATTAAAAAAATATAATAATTATTGGTGGTGTGGTACAAAAGATAATGGTGGCTTATAAGAATCAAGACTTATCATTCATTAGAGTTGCAGCTTTTGCATTAATGAATAATTAGCTTGGTTGCTCAGTATTACATTAAAAATGTCTTTACTGTACAGTGCAATGCTTGGAGTTCAACTTGAGCCAGGCACTAAGTTATTTTTTGTCTGTACTATAAGATCTACAGTGTGTACAGTAGTCATTTAATCCTTCCATCGAAGCCTTATTTAGGGGTTACCTCATGTATTTTTTTTTTTAACAAAATTAAATGAATTTTGTTAAAATGACTGTCAGGAGCTTGTCAGGAACTATGTCTATGTCAGGAGCTTGTCTATGTCAGGGATTTGTGAAATTAGTGAAAATATTATGACGAGAAGATATTATCAGGAAAATAAAAAATCTAGATGTTATTGTTTGGCTGTGATAGGCCCCCAAAAATTGATTTACCCACAATGCTCAATCTTTCCTGTCACCCCCCCCCTTCCCCCCACCAAAACAAATACAGTACATTGTGTACAATTTTTTTTTTTGCCATAATGTGGGTGTAGGGGCTGAAAAAGGGTGTATCACTGATAGCGTATCTTCCCCTGCAAAAGAATAACAATTCTAAATGAAATGGTTCCTAACAGTTATAAAAAAACTATTGAAAATAGAGTAAGTAAAGTATAGATTCCTCTTTGTCAAACTCATGAAAATAGAGTAGAACATATGTAGGTTATGGTAAAAGGACAAAAAATCTAGCTGCTGTACTTTATTTTTATGCATACACAAACACGTGAAGGGATGACTTGAGCTATTCCGGTTTCCGTATGCACACGGTAGTTCTGCCTTCAAAGAATGTATTTCCTGCCACTTTTTAAGTCAGTATCAATATTACTTTCACAAGTTTGTTCAGGTAGATCCTTCGTTATTACAAATATTATTAAATTATCGCTAATAATATCAAATAAACATCAATACCCTATCTCGTAGCTGTCAGGGCAAGATGGAAGCAGGGGATCTGTTCCCCTCATGGGTTAGGTGGTCACTATAACTTCCAAAAAGTTTATCAAATGAAGGTCACTTGTCAAAGACTTGATACAGTAGTTGCATGCAAAACCAAACATTTGCAGACATGTCACTGCACTCACAGGTGCAGTTATCAGACCTCACAGGAACTAGGAAATCACTAGTAAATGCTGTCTACAGTGGAAGGGTTAATCATGGCATGATACTGTATTCTTAAAATTTATGAAGTACTATAATAAATTCAAGCTAAGGATTTTTACAGTACAGTATCTCAAAACAGGTAATAAAATACTATATATTAATTAGTATGTTAAACAATTTTAGAATCTTGTTTTACAGTTCTGTAAAATTTAACTTAATAATTTTTGTATGCAGTAATCTATTGCCATTTAAATTTTATAAATCTATGTATGTGCAATAAAATTGGCTGTGCATATGTATAGTTTCACTTTCCTTGGGTTTTACAGACATGGAAGTGTACACGAAGCTTGGAATCATGCGTGTCTTGCTCAGGTGGAATGCCCACGAGATCCAAATGTTCAAGAGACCCGAAGCAGGTTGACCAATGCCTTGGTTGACCGCTGGCATCTGCCTATGATTAATGACTCCACCCGGAATTCTGCATTTAAACTGGCTATAGAGAAAGCTGTGGAACAGGGGCACCACAGTGTTTTGGATATAGGATCAGGAACTGGCCTACTCAGGTTAGTTAAGGTGATTCCTTCATCAAATGCAAATTTAGAAAAGTGAAGTAGTATAACTTTGACATAGTTGCTTGTGTCATCCTTACAGTACACTTAAATTATATGTTGATATGAAATTTCACAATAAACTTGAATGAAGTATTTAAAATCTACTGTATTTGATGGAAGCTCTAGAATTGCATGAACACAGTTGATAAAGTATAATTGTACAGCAAAGTTGATTGTACTGTACTATTGTAACCTGAAAACTTAACTTCTACCCGCTGCAGATATGCATGCCTGTGAAGCATGATTATATATGACCAAGGCATTTAAAATATTGGAGAGGGAAGGGTAGATAAATACCAGGTCATTATACAGATAGCCAATATTTTTTTATTTATATATACTGTACAAGAGTTCTTACATTCTTGTAAAGCCACTAGCACAGTGTTTCAGGAAGGTCCTTAATCCTAATTTTCCCTGGAATATGACCTGCCAAATTGTTTAACAACCAGGTAACCATTCACTGCTGGGTGAACAGAGGCTACAGTTAAGGATTGACACCCAGTCAATCCTCCCCGGCCAGGATATGAACCCCAGGCCAAAGTGCTCACGAAGCACCGGGCGAGTGCTTTACCACTGTGCCACGGGGACCACGAATGGCAGCAACAAAATTCTATTGAGTAATGGTATATAATAAAAGTGAAAAACTTCCCCCCTATTGCATGCCTAAAATATTTAAATTAGAGAATTTGAAACTGCATCATTGTACAGTCATTTACATTAAATATTTGTACAAATACTGTAAGCTGTTGTAGTGTACTACATGGGTTACTGATGCCAGTCCAGCTATAAAAAAAATTATGTAAGGTAGGTTAATAAACAGTATGTTGTTTGTTTTAGATTCAGCTATTCAGAACAAAAAGTTCCAAGTAGCACGGGCTATAGTGAGCCCGTAGTGGACTTACCTGGCACAGGAGCGGGGCTGTAACTGTGAATAAACGATAATTGTAATGCTGTTAATGAGAAAATGCAAGCAAAATGAGTAAAAGAATGAATGAAGAGCCGTTTTGTGAGAATATTTTGGCTTATTTAATATCTTTGATAGTAAAAGGTACGGTGATATAGAAGAAAGTGCCAAACCAGTACAGTACGACTAGCATTGGAATAGATAAAAGGATAGAGTAGCGGAGTAGGACCTAACCACTTGGGGCATCAGAAATTGAATGTCGACCTTGCAAGAAGCAAGGATGATGTACCAACCAATCCAAGTGGATATGTATTAAGTTACAAAACAGTAGATTTTTAGATTATATTTTGGGTTATTAGTTGTATTAAACTTCCATAATAGTCCTTCCAATATTGACTGGGTATAATACAGAACATAAATAAGAGCTGCTTTTCTAACAAATATTCCTCCTTTTCACCAGCATTTTTGCCAAGAGAGCTCATGCCAGGGAAGTGTATGCCTGTGAAGTTGACAAGTTTATGTGTGAGTTATCTAACAGTATTCTCCAGGCCAACATGGACCCACCAGTGATTCATGTACTTAACCAACACAGCACAGATATTATCATCGCTTCACACATCCCACAAAAGTGAGTTAATTAAATGTCTTAAATGTTTATAAAACAATATACTGTATCTATTTATAATACTAATAAAATGTATTATACAAGAAAATGTACTGGTTATACTACATTATATACATACATGGTACAGCATTAAAAGACAAATTATAAGGCATTAACCACACTAATGTTTAGGAAAAATATTAAAAGTAAAAAGTAGGCAAGTCTTAAAACCAACATATATGTAGCTTTCTTCCCTTTAAGCAAGGTAAATTTGCACTAAATGAGCTGCTAGTTACTAATCATACTTGAATACAGTGTATCTATATTTTATTAGTAGGTTTTTCTGTAACAGATGCAGTAAGTAGATGCTGTATTAGTATGATTGTTTCCTAATTTTACACTTTCTTTTAATAGTGATGCAATTGAATAATGTGAAATACAGCATAAAAAATGACTAAAAAATTCACTTTACATTCTACAAGTTTTGTCAGTGAAATTCTTATCTTCAAATTGTTGTGTCTTGGTAGTATGGTGGCTACAGTCTTGACTCTCCCGGGATCAATCCCCGGGCACAACAAAAATTGGTTGGGCACTTTTCTTTTTACCTGTTACCTCTATTTGCCTGGCTGTAAATAGGTACTTTGGAGTTGGAGAACTGCTGTGGGGGTTACATCCTGGGGGAATAATCGGTAGCTTGACCTTTGGGGGGTGGAACCTCAATACAAGCCTAAAGTATATACTGTACATACACAGGCTTTATATCCCAGACAAAATTATTATTACATAATTACAAGTTATAATTCAAGAGAAAAATAATGATGTAATATATTTCATTAATCTTGATTTTCTGATTTCCTCAGGGTATCACTGGTAGTGAGTGAGATAATGGATGCTGGGCTGTTTGGAGAACACATCCTCACAACACTAGAACATGCATGGAAACATCTTCTTTTGCCCCCCAAGTCATCAGTAATGCCCCATGAGTCAGAAGTTATGTCATCATTAGCTCAAAAGCCAGAAACTTCAGTTAAATCTAATTTTTCAACACAAGTTGAATCTAGTTCAGAAACATCTACAGACCCTCTGGAGGTTATGACTGCAGACAGGGAAAGATTGTTATGTAGGAAAACAGATCCCCTATCTTCAGAGTTTGGGAAAGTTATTCCTGCCAAGGCTGAAGTATTTTTTGCTCTTATCAGCTGTGATTACATTGCAAAGCAAAGTAAGGTTCACAGATCTGATTTGTCATACTTCAGAAACAAAAATGTTTGCATAAAGCTCCAGGAGCCATATATGTCAGAGAAACTGAGTCAAGTACCTGGAGGCTTTAAGCTATTGTCAAAGTGGACTCATTTAACTACAGTGGATTTCAATTCTCTTGATGACATAGAAAAACACCTCACAGGGAAAGTAAATAAAACTTTAAAGTTGCATTGCACAGAAAATGGACCTATTGATGCTATCATAATTGCATTTAAGCTGTACATGGATGAAGAACATTACATTGATACTTTTCCGGATACAGGTAATACTCTGTGGGAGAATGCTGTGTATCCAGTTACAAACCTAATTAGTGCTGTTACTCAAAACATCATCACAGTTGACTTTAAGTGTTCAGGTGTCATAAAGCTGTCAATACAAGATAGCTCAACAACATCAAAACATGAAGACTGTTTTTATCTCAGTGAAAATGCAATAAGATTTTTGAACAGTAAAAAATTTGTAAACTGTTTTCTCTGTGTTGCACAGGAAATGGTCATGTACCTGCATCAGGCAGGAAGGAATAAAGCTCCTAGAAAGCGTCCAATAATTATATGTGACACCACACCGTTCCCAGTGGCTGGTCTGGCTGTACAGTCAGCATTCCCAAACTCTAAGCTTTATGTAGAGGATGATGACATAAAGAATGCACTAAATGAATTAGGAATTATTGTTCACCTTTGTGAAGATCTGGAAGAGAAGATAGATGTCCTATTTATGTGGCCAATAACAAAAGAAGGAACACTGAAGGATGGACTAGTGAAAAACATTATCATGTACAGGTAGGATGGAATTACTGTACTTTGTCTTTTAAAGTTCAAGTACTGTACTTGTGCAAAAACAAGTTTATTTGTAGGAAGCATGGATTATTGTGTGACACTGGCAATAATAATACAGTAATGTTAAATAAATAACCACCCACTCAATCCCCTTTCACCAGTTTTTAGCCAAAAAAAAAATATGAGTACAAAATCTTATTTAGTTAGCAATAATGATAAAAAAAATAGCATTATTTTATTGTGCAAGACTATTAAAACTGTAACAAAAATATATGCTTTTAAATGTATTAGGTTAATGATGGCCAGAGATGGCCTAGTGTATCCACAAGAGATAGATCTCGTCGTCAGCATCATCAGCTCTCCAGCGCTGGCAGCGATGACACGAGTCCATGATCAAAACACATGTGATGTCAAGGTGGCAGAAGTCTTCAACATTGTTAAGGTGGGAAACTTTCTATTGTGTACCTTAACATAGTACAAATAAAATGTTAGTTATAATATACAAAATTACCATTATGACACAAACATAAGGAGGCAAACTAATGATGAATCCATTGAGTTTTCCTGATACATTTTGGGAGCTATCACATTCATTTACTCCCTAAAAGAAGATTTCTATGCTCTTAACTGCCAGGCTTAACTCTAAAGTCAAACAACATTTCTGTGCAAGATGATGTTAATGCTAGACAGTCAAAGCCTTTTTGAATCTTTTTGGCATTGCAAGTGACTGCCAAATTGGGTTCTTGCTAACTACTGGTTGTTTTGCCTGGCAGTCAACACTAACATCCACCAAGTAAAAGCATCAAGGCCGACTGATGCGAGCCAGCTCACATACTTCCTGACTGTCCCATGTACAATTTGCAGTTTGGGATCACATTTTATGTTTGATTTGTTGACACATGAAACTTAGTTTCTGGTATGCATTGGTCATGCTATACAGGTATTTCTAATATTTTTGTATTATTACAGTACACTGGCACTCTTAAAATTCAGATTATACCATATTATTCCAGATTCACAACAGTCAGAATTTTGAGATACAGTATTCTGACTTTTGTTATATTTTGGCTGTCACCAATTTTTAGGAGTGTTCTTTAATCCAAAAAGGCTCAGCTAATTGAAAGGCCTACATGACAAAAAAATATTTACAAAACTAATGTAAAAAATACTGCATTTGCCAATTTGTGTACAGAAGGTAGTTGAAGGTTGTGATTGGAGCCATTTAAGTATTATGCAAATGATAAAATGAAGAAAAATATCATCTTTACACACACATATACACAGTAATACTATAAAGTGATTTTTTTTACATATTACATTACAATTATTTTTATTGACCTGGAAAGTAAAGGCCCTGCCTATGCCTCTCTTGGTTGTCCATCATCTGCCAGGGACCAGGACCAGAATCTGGATTACACTATGAGGTTAGGGGAGCAGGAGTTTAGAGAATAACCACAAAACTGAACCCCACCGGAAAGCATAGTGCAACCAAACAAGTGACTGCTTGAAAACACAACAAATGATTGTTGTCGTGGGTTAAGTACCTTGTTTTTTTTTTTTTTTTTTTTTTTTTTTTTTTTTGAGATATATACAAGAGTTGTTACATTCTTGTACAGCCACTAGTATGCGTAGCGTACTAGTGGCTGTACAAGTGGTTGTGATGTGCCTAATAACCACTAGATAGTGGCCAGGTTACCTGAGGTCTTAGCCAGCCTGCCTGCTTACTCTGGAGCTGCCTGTGCAAAAGCCCAAAACCCTACAGGAAAGAAGTGAACAGGGCAGGAAATTACTGAGGTCCATTAAAAAAAAAAAAAAAAAAAAGAGGGTTTTCATTACATTTAATACTTAATATCCAGAAGGGATCCCTTGATAGTTCCCCAAGCTTACTCACAATGACACCTCAGTAGTGGAAGCAGGCTTTTCAAATAAAGCTGTAAAGTTGGCCTGGGCTGACTTGTGGGAGAGGAACAATGAAAGAGTAAAGTCCAGAACAAAGAACAGCAGCTGCTTACAAAACGTCCAAGAATGGCATGACTTAAGGACATCAGAAGAACCACTAGAATCCCAGAGCCTGATACCCGCTTTGGACAAAATGGAAAAGAAAGGTGTTGAAGTAGTAAACATCCACACATTTCAAGATCAGGGACAAAACAGCCAGATGGCTGGACTGAACCACCACCTGGATCTGGTAATGGTGAGCTTTGGAACAAAAGAGATGATAAATAGGGTTGACAAACAAAAGCTCCGAGCCTAACATTGCAAGGAGAGAGCAGAAATGCTGCACTGCAATCGCAGGAAAAGTGCATATTGGACCCTAGCCAAAGCTCAAAGAATACCAAGGGAAAGAAGTGAGATCACAACCACCTTCCCTACCCAAATGCCAGTAAGAGAGGCTAAAACCAAATGAAATAAGGCAACAGTATAGGCAGCAACTGTTGAAACAGGAACTGCTTTGTATGGGTCATTAGGCCTTCTGTAACTTTGTTTATTCTAATGTGTGACTATGAACAGAATAGTTAAATTTGGATAGTAGAGAGTTTTCTTTTCCATTAAGTGCCTATGTGCTTTTCTTTTAGTCATGATTTATTAACTTCATCTATGCATCTACTGGAAAACAAGATTTCAACAGTGTACCGTTTATAAAAAAAAAAAATGATTTGATTATGTAATATGCAATATGTAGGATTATGTAGTATGTAATTCACCTAATGTTTCATGTCTTATTTTGATTACATGATGAACTCCTTAGAAGTAAATAGTTTTTCATGCCATATAGTTTATCATTAGTTAGCATTAATCACCTATCTTTCCAATATTTGCATATGGCACAGATCAATTACTAATTTATTTGAAATCTAGAAAAGTCTTTTTGTTTTATTTGTTAAATGTAAAACAGTATTAAAAGAAATGTCCTTCACAATATGCAATACCATATAAATTTTCTAAAGGAAGTAAAAATTAAAATGCAATAGAAATACATACTAATTTATTTGTTCCAGGTACACAGGTACTTCTTAACAGTTACACCATATAATTATCTGCACAAATGTTGAAAATTATTCCAATGGAGTTACAAATGATTTTCTATATTTCATTTATTGTGGCTTTAATCTTTGGTCTATTGTGTTATGGTCTATTACAAAATAATGTTTTTTTGTACAATGAATTATAAGTAACACTGGATTTATCATGATATAAAATTCCTTCTTGTTATACAGATGTTAGGCTGTATTACAAGACAAGTGCAAGTTATATCATGGGTTACCTATCTAGCAAGTACCCAAAATGTTGTGTAAAATATTAAGATGAACACTTATTTACATTTTATCTCCATTAATGACCACTAAGTTTTGCAGTTTCCTGGCGAATAACATTAATAAGATCAAGGTTAATGAGAAATATGAACCTAAGTGATGCTATCTCAACCACTGAATTGTTAATGAGTTTGGTCTTGTTGCCAGCCAACACAGGTTTCCCATCAACATATATTGGTCTCTTTCCCTCATTTGCAACAAGGAAGTCACCAGTGTTGCGAAGCTTGATGATACCCTGTGGATGTTTTAACGTCATTTAATCACTGTTAAATCCAGTACACGACCTGCATTTACAACACAAAAATAATATAGGCAGACATATCACTATGTAGTATAACAGTGGATATATAAAATACCTAGGAGCTGATTTGGTGGTAAAAGCACTTTTTGCATTTTTTGACTAATCACATTCAAAGGCATACAGTACTATATTTTATGATATAGCTTGTAAGAATGTTAAATCATGACAGGTATATGCTAGGAAAAATAGTAATTGATGACCAAATACATTATCTTTAAATTGATAATCTTTGGTGTTTCAGTAACAATATATCTTCATTGATCAGCTATTCATAATACAACTAGAGACTTTCATTGCGAGACTCTTAAAATAATGTTTTAGTACACAGATTCAAGTATGAATAACAATACAAATTCTAGCTTATAAATAACCAATAATATACTTTAAACTCACTTGTCTACGAGATATCTTCCATGCTGGTCCTTCTAATGAAAGATCAACATCTACATTCACACCTGCAGCTTTTCGGCCCAAAGTGATCTCTCGGGAGCGCATTAGATACCTGAAAATTAAATGGTTATTATTGTACAATAAACTCTTAGGTGCCATTTTTAATGTACTGTACTTGAAGCAGTACAACCTTAAAAATCAGGCCTGATTGATTATATATACCTTTGAAAACAGGCTATACAATACGGACTGAAAATGTGTTTTTAACCCTTAAAAAATTTAGTTATTGTCATATTTTGATCCCCTGGATGCTATAATAACTGTATCATCCAGGGGATCATGGATGATGGTGACATCTTAAAATCACTATTGCCTGGCATTTATACAAATTATGTAAATATGGTTATAATACATCTACAATATATGGATGTACAGGTATTACAATTAACCTAGACCTACATAAACTTCTGCTATCATTTTTAATTGCTAACTGTGCAATGCAGTTATGTACCAGTAGCCTACAGTTATCATCAAATTGCAATTTGGTATTTGAATCTATTTCTGCAAGACGTTCCTGGATAGAATAGAAAGAAGGGATTGGGTTGCAAAAACATTTTCTATAAGCTGTGCCAGTAAAAGGCTTGTGTTCTATCAGTGCATATATTACATTGTAGACCTATATAGAGTACTCAATTGCTTTTTTTGTCAATTATGTGTACATAAATTGAGTTATTAAATACAAAGAACATAATACAGTATGTCAATTAATAAGGGAGCCTCTTTACACAACAAGTCGGCAAAATGCATATCTCATGTCAACATCTGGCGCATGCCCCCCCTCCACTTCCACACCTAGCTCTCCCACTAATAGGCATGAAAGAGACTTGATTTTTTTTTCTCTTATTGTTTTACGTGCAAATATTATTATTTGCTATAAGAAAAAATTATGATTTCTTTTTCCACAACGGTGAGGTGTCAATTTTGCTGATAGCCGTTCTTTATTGGTTAACCTTATTTAAACACTTTGGTTTTCTAATCATCCTAAGATGCATCATCTGAACAAAATATAAGAAAAAACTAATAAAAATCAAGCACATGAGCACAGTGTGCAGAGCTTAGCAGGGAAACAAATTAAATTACTGTATCAAGGGATCCACTGAGGATCAATTAGGTCACTCACCTCGTCACTTAATAATTGCTTAGCCTGTGTGTATTTTTGTCTATAAATTACCTGGTTGAAAAATATGAAAGTTGTTTATTTTCTTACAGCTATATAGACTGAGTTTGTGCACACATTTTCATGTCAATATGTTATTAATATTGACAAAATTGATGAGAAATGTTCAATAATATTGATATATTAAGCACTCTCATACATGCCTTAAGAGGCCCATAATGCTTACAATCAGGTGTGTGGAAAGGGGTCAGAATATTAAAGTATTAAGGTAAAACAAACTCTAATGATACTGACCTGACTAATCGACCACGGAGAACAGCAAGGGTCTGGTTGTCAAACTCCGGTGGAGAGATTCCTGTAACAGTGTCAACCAAGACTTGCCACTTGGAGACCTGATCTTCAAGAAGGCGAATTTCACGTTTACTTCCTCTGCTGGCTATTCCAAGCTCATGCTCTAACAGGTCATCACTACTTTCATACAACTCTGAATCATGAATCTGTTTATGCAAGTATACAATATTTGTAATATACAGTATGAAAAATTATAATTTTTTTGCAACAATAATAATAACTTAAAAATTATTATATAAAATTTTGATTTAACGTATTCAATCACACTTGGTCATGACAGGTATATATTTAGTACACATATTTTTTTAATGTTTGTACATTAGGAATTATGTATCAAAGGAATTAATTCAAATAAATTTATTTGAGTCATTAAATAACCACTGAGTAACCCATGGTTGTAAAGTGCCAGGCATTAGACCCCCCTCCCCCCCTTTCAACACACACCCTAAGTGGCTCCTGGGACTGAAAGACAAGAGCTAAGAGGAGAGGTTAGAGGCATTAAATATGCCAAAATTAGAAGATAGGAGAAAAAGAGGTGATATGATCACTACATACAAAATAGTAATGGGAATCAACAAGATTGATAGGGAAGAATTCCTGAGACCTGGAAGTTCAAGAATAAGAGGTCTTATATTTAAACTAACTAAACAAAGCTGCCAAAGAAATATAAGAAAATTCACTTTCGTAAATAGTGTTAGATGGTTGGAACAAGTTAAGTGAAGTGGTGGAGGCCAGAACCGTCAGTAGTTTCAAAGCGTTACATGATAGTGCTGGGAAGACGGGACACAACTAAAGTAGCTCTTATCCTGTAACTACACTTGGGTAATTACACACACAATGTTCTTACCTGTTGCTCTGCTTCTGTAAAATCCTTAACTGGGCCATTCTTATTGAGAGGTGGAACACTTTGGTCAGGTAGAAGATGATACTGCTTAAGCAACTGCCAGTGAGCCAGTAGACTCTTTGCTGTTCGAGACAGGAAGAATACGTGTGGGTTATCCTTAAGGTGTTGCTCAAATGTTTGAAGTGTTGGGTTAGAGTTAGACTTGATGGTACCTAGAAGTTCCTCTTCTGCCTTACTGTATAGTGCTCGAGACTGCACTGCTTGTATCTGTATTAGAAATCGTAGCTAAGTAAATTGTGTGTAATAGCTTTGCAAGAAATCATTACAGGCAGGGGAAGAAACCATAAATATGTAATTTATAAACAAATTCCATGTTATATACTGGCATTGTCAGGTCACACAATAATTCCAGGGTTTTGCATGTATTAAGATGTGGGTACGATTCTTAGATATTTTATGTAACTTCTAATAATAAATGCTTAATATATATATATTTTGGGGAGCTGACTTAAGCAGTTAAACATTGCTGTACTGTCAAATGTACTCTTTGCAATACAGTTATGGAGGTCTCTATTGTACTTACTTGGTCAGGATGTAAATTTTTCATAGCTTGCTGAGCAATTCTTGATACTGTAGGGTCATAAAGTAATGCATACCATCTTTCTTGAACTTCACCAAGTGTAAACTTGCATGAAAACTTTACTCCTCTATGTACTGTAACCAAATCACATGTTTGCTGCACCCCAATGATCAGTCCCAAGTCATCTGTGGGTTTCCACCTGCCCAAGTCTTTAGTAACAATAGACTGTGATCCCCGGCCTTTTCTAGCGCGTTTACTGGAAGACTTTGACGACAAACGTTTACGAACGTCAGATGTGACGGAAGGTGTTGGGGGTAAAGACAGTGAGCAGTCGGAAGCAGTTGATAATGATGGATTACGTGTACGGATTTTACTAATTGGTGTAGACCCTTGTCCTCCAAGACTAGATTCCACCAATTCATCATCAAATTTTGGCCGTTTAATGGCACGAGATGAAGATCTTCGCTTTGTTCCATCATCAATCAGACTGCTTGTGCTGGTTGTGCGTTCACGAGGTGGCAGTGCAATCTCCATGGATCTATACCGTGGACGATTATTCATTCTGTAAGAAAAATAAATTCATATAAGGGATATTGTTAAAAACTAAATTAAGACATTCACAACCCATTAAATTTAAATTAAATCTCCGTACAATATAATCCAATATGTACAGTATTAAAGATATTAGTTTCAACTTGACAGAATCCAGTAACTTTAGGTGTTGGTTTCTGGCCAGTAACTAGATGGGCGACCACACGAACATGAATCTTCCATTTCAAGTAATATCTCAACAAGACATGCAGAGGCTTCCTTTCCTAACAATATACATACATCCATATTCAATAAAAAGTAGAAGCAACATAATACAGTTCTGTGTGAACAAATACCTGATACAATAATTTGTTCTTTCACTATCAGATGGTTGTTACCTCATTATCAGAAATCTATAATCACAGGGAATTTGTTTGTACGTCTTAACTTGAGAAAATATGCTTGTCAATTATTTAGCATATCCACAACCAAAGCAGGTGGTGGGGGAGTGAAAAATATATAATTGAAGTTTTCAGGCTTGGCCATTACATGGTCAAAAATAAATTGGCTGGTAATGATAAAATTGACAAAAGACTACAAAAAGAGGCAATACTATGAAAGACATACAAAATTTAACATGTAGAAAGTTGTACCAGAAGAGACTGCTGCAACAGCAGAGGACAGGAAGACAACAGGGAAACCTATGTCCCTCAACGTAAGGGACATTGATTCTAACTCCAAGGTATCTATTTACTGCTAGATGAACAGAGGTATTAAGTGATAGAAAATGTGCCCAACCATTTCTCTTCCTCCCAGGATTCAAACCTAGGATTTCTGATTGTGAGTTGAGAAGGAACGAACTGTACTACACACCCATTATACATGATACATTCATAATTTAATTAGTGCATGATGTCTTGAGGCAGACCAAATTGCCTATTTACTAATTTTCTCCAAAGATAACCTACCTGATCATTCTTAACCCAGCTAATGGCTAAATGATATCAGTGTGTTGTTGTTGTGTTGATTTAGAGGCGACGACGATCGTGGGATCGAATGCGCCCTGGCTGCCTGATACTGGGAAATAGCGGAGTCCCTATATGATGGGGTCCCTAGATGGGATCCCTATAGTCTCTTCAGGCCATAGACCTTACAATCTCCTCAGGCTGATATCGGTGTGTAGAGTATATGAAAACTGGCCAGTCATCTTTATGCTTTGTTAATTAACAAGTTTTTATACACCCTATTAGGTTAAGTAACATTAATTTACAAATTAAACATCAACTGCAACCTAGTAACTACTAAGTTCTGTATAGGAATACTATTAAAAATATCATGTAGTAATGTATACTACTGTGTATACATTATTGATAACATATACTCTTTTATAATGTATAATCCTCTTGGAGCATTATACATGCTCCAAGAAGACAAAAACTTAATATGCAACCATCATGCTATGAGTAAACATAATTAGTGTTCTTGGCATTAAATATTAAGTGTTGAAGTACAGTACAGTATTGGAAAAGCAGAACTAAATAATAACACAAAGGAAGAGCAGCAAGTGCAATGAAAGACGAGATCATCGAACCCATTTCTGGCCACTTCAAAAATAGATCCAGTACAAAACTCGAACACTGAGATATAAAATCGACAGCGGGTATTTAAAAGCTGGTAGGTAGGGCATAAAATACTAGAGCATCCATACAGAATTATTGAAAAAAGCAGCAAGCTAATAGCATTGCACAGTTATATAAAAAAACTATTGTCTTACATTATTGTTGGGGTAGGATAGATTAAGTTTATTCGAAGGATAGCAATGACAGGATGACAACGTTTGGACATTTGTGAACCCTACTGTAGTCACTAATAGGTAAGCAACATGATGATGCTAAGTAGCAATTAGGATAGGGAGGGAGGATGACGTAGAACCATTGGTCACATATCTAGCCAGTGGCGCAATATTTGATGACCTGGGGCTTACGGTTTTCCTTTGTGTACCAGTCTGGACATGACTGGGGCTGCTGGACCGAGTAAGTTGACTGGGAAGACTGTGAAGGATGGACGATCTCACTGTTGCTGCAAGTTACTCACGATGTTTAAGTGTGTTTAGTGAACGAGTGGTGTACGTGGAGATGCCGGGAACTCATTTAAAAACACGTTTTAGTGTAGTTTTGGGACATTGTTCTCAGACTCTGGCTTCCCGTAAGTACTTCACAATGTAAACAAGCCTCGCGAGCGAGGATCAGAGAAAACGGGTCTCGCGGGAAGCTGTCGTGGGTTACTTGCTTAATGTGAATTATTTATTTTTGTATTACCTTTTTTTCTATAACTGAAAATTTTTAAATTTACTTCATTTTAATTATTGCTTTATTTATTTTCTACAATTTATTTTAACATAATTCAAATACAAAATGTATTTAGTTAGGCCTACATAAAATACATAATATACGTTTTCTGTCCGAAAGCTGCGCGTACTAGTGGCTTTACAATTTATTTTATTTATTTATGCATATACAAGAATGTACATAAGGAATGTGAGGATACAAATATGGTAATTACAGTCTTGTAAAGCCACTAGCACGCGCAGCGTTTCGGGCAGAGATTGTAATTATCATATTATGTATCCTCACAATCCCAATGTACCTTCTTGTATATGCATAAATAAATAAATAAATAAATAAATACAGATATGCAAATTATGTCAGTCAAAAGGTTCCAGCTGGGATGGATTCCCTCAGTGGGACTGAAGGGTTTGGGAAACATTTATTGTTACTGGATGCCACTGTCCACTTGACAGCAAATAGGTGCCTGTAATTTAGGCAAATGTTGAGGGTTACATCTTGGGATAGGTCAATTGGTCTAAGAGATCCCTTCCTGTCTCTGACTGTAGGGAATTATTTCACAAATGTACACTCATTTTAGCCTAAATTTATATCAAGACTTTGCAAACAAGACAATGCAAAGATTGGATATGATTATATTTGTTTTAATTTGTTTAATGCGTGTGGTTAAGAACTTTTTTTTTTTACTATTTCAGACAACTCACCACCTGGATGTACCATTGTCTGCAATATCACATGCAACAGTAATACAACATCCTGTCCCTGTAGTGAGGTTGTCACTTGTCTCCAGTCATGCAGAGCCTCTAGGCCCACTGCGGGAGGAACTAGGGGAAGAGAACGCAAGTTTGCTAGTGCTGGGAGGAGAGGTGGTTAATGTACTTACCAACGTATTGGTCACTGACTCATCAACCATTACCGCTGTTCCATATTGGTTTCACATCAGAGGTGAATTACCTCAAAAAACTAAAGTTTCATCTAAATTGCCTTCAGAATCAACCTCTGAACTGCCCTCCTTAGTTCCATCAGGTCATAGCACAACTCCACATGACAACATTGTTTTATCAACGAACCACCCGGATTCTCCGTGCAACCAAAGTCTTTTTGTGTTAAATAATCCTTTGGAAGTCCTTGAGGGTGAAAATGTTAGCTTGGATGTTGTCTGGAGGGAAGGTGTGTTTCATGCCACTGTAGAAATACCTGAAGTTAACCGAGGTGAATGATTACCTTCCATTTCTCTCACTAGCAGTCAAATATAATTTTAATTCTTCACACTTGCAAGTCTTAAATATAGCATGAATACTGTATTTTAATTCTTCAAGTCCTTGTGAAATGTTCTCTAATATTGTACATACAATTAACAATCAGTTAGTGCCCAAACAAATTATTTGAAGACAAAATTCTGCACAATCAACATGTATGTATAGTATTGTAATGTTTGATATTTAATAAAAACAATTGCTTTCTAATGTTTTTTTGGCAGTTTGGTTTCCTTAACTTGAGTCTATGATGACCTTTTGTTCTTGAAGGTGCAGGTTTCAAGAATTCTTCTTTGTCAATTTTGTTAATTATTGTTACTAATTTGTATGTAGTGAGCATATCATCTCTTCTACTTCTATCTTCTAGCTTTGATATATTTAACACATTTAGCCTCTCTTCGTAGCTCACATTTTTCAGTTCTGGGAGCCATTTAGTTGCATGTCTACAACTTTTTCCAGTTTATTGGTATGCTTCTTGAGATATGGGCACCATACAACTATTGCATACAGTATTCCAATTTTTGTCTCATTAAGGTCATGATCATTTTCTTTAATATTTTGCCAGCCATGAATTGAATAGCTATTCTAAAGTTGGAAAGTGTAGCACAGGCCCTTCGCACAATGTTCTTTACATGGTCATCAGGTGACAGTTTTCTATCTAGAACCGCCCCAAGAACTCTTTATCAGCGTTCTTTAAAACCTTTTCACATAATTTGTATGTTGTGTGTGGCCTATTTTCTCCTGTTTCACACTCCCTAACATGGCATTTATTCTCATCAAATTCCATCAACCAAGTGTTGTGCTGTACACTTATTTTGTCCAGATCTACTCAAAGGGCAATTTTCAGTCAAATGGGCTTAGGAGTTTTACCGTAACAGGAGCTATGAATTACAAGAAATTTGCATCTTGTGTAACCTATAATTTATCTTGTTGGGGGACAGGGAGCCAGGTGTATATACCATATACATATTAGGCTTATAAGTAGATCCACCCTAAGGTCAAATTACTGACCCTCCCTGGGATGCAACCCCACAATAAGCTGACTAACTCCTGGATACCTATTTACTGCTAGGTAAACGGTAACATTAGGTGATAAGAAACACACCCAACTATTTCTGTCCTGCCCCAACCTGTCCTCGACTCAAGTCCATTCCATCCAGCGGTCGACCCCACAGACGCATTCATAAACTTTTACATGCTCTTCATTCAAAACTGGAATTTTCTCAAATCTAAATTAACATTATAATATATTAGCATATTGTGTATATATAACCATAGGTTAGGTTAGGTTAGGTGTTTAGGTTCTGTTGGTGATTATTTGTATTTGTAGTACGTGGGTGAAGCATTTATAGCGTTGTGGTTCAAACAAAATTTGTCAGTGAAGCACTTGTTCCGGATATGTTCGAACGTCAGCAGTTGTGAGTCGTGTGTAAACCGCTTTTCATTCATAAACAGGGGGTTTGGCGGGTGCATGGAATCACTTTTGGGTCTTTGTTTGAAGGACGGGCTGCCTGCCCCGGATTTGATCCCAGAATTCCCAGTTGTTAGTCAAGAACAAACCCAACTGTACTACCCCTATGAGTGTGTGTTGCTACAGATCCATGTTGGCTGCTACAAGTGGTACTGCAAAATTCTACTTTCTTGCCCCTGCCAACTCAATAAAATTATGTCTGCTAAAATGTGTCAAATTAATTGTACAGTATTTGGCTTTATCACTTACTGGACAACCTCTAACATGCATTGAGACACATTAGTGAATGGTATACTTGGTCAACTTTCAGATCCCATTTGATGCAAAGTATCATTATAAGACATATTAAGGTAAAATGTGGTTCTATGGGTCAAGTTGTTTTGAGATTATTTTGAGATGATTTTGGGGCTTAACATCCCTGCGGCCCGGTCCTTGACCAGGCCTCCTTTTTGTTACACATTTCCCAGGAAGCAGCCCGTAGCAGCTGTCTAACTCCCAGGTACCCATTTACTGCTAGGTAACAGGGGGTATCAGGGTAAAAGAAACATTTTGCATATTTGTCTCCGCCTCCACCAGGGATCGAATCCGGAACCTCAAAACTATGAATCCGAAGCGGTCAGGCGCCCTAAATATGTCAGCAAATATGGTACAGTAAATCATATTTAATTAATAATTACTGTGTAGAAAATGAATATCTTAGATGTCATGAAAAATGTCCAGAACATGTACATGTGAAAGTATATAAAGATGATGTAAGATTGTGATCTGGTATGATTAATAAGATAGAAGTAAACATCGAGGTAATTAAATATTAACTAAATGCCTCGCTTCTGTAAGATAGCTAGATACTAACTTTATAAAATCAGCATGAAAATATAGAATGTTTTTTTAACTAAAGTTAAAAAATCACCCTACAATAATGTACCTTTAGTAAAACTACCCATGTATGGCATTAATACTTATGAATTTACTTGGGGACTGTATACCTTTGAGGGGATGACAACATGCAGAATCTTCCCATTTATTTCAAGTCTTCAAGTCTTTAGACATAAAGTATATAGTATAGTACAGTGATGTACTGTACAGTATATAATTTGTCAAGATATTTTATGCACTGATTTGGGTATTTATAAAAGTTGAACAGATGTTATTTGCATTTTTAAACAAAATCCAGAAAAAAGAAAATGGCCGTCAGCAGGCACAAATATTTTTTCTTTCATGGATTATGCCCCCAATGCAGGTAAGTTACCCATTTACAGTGCAAGAACGAAATGCTGATGAGTCAACCAATTTGTTAGTCTGGAGTAATCTCAGCAGATTATGAGAGACCAGAATGTATACCTCCCTCATTGAGGTGGATATTTGTGAACCATATACGGTTTTACAACAAGCTGGTGGGAATAGTGTTATACAGTGGTCACTTAACATTATTTATTTATAAAATTATTTGTACACAGCATTTAGATAAAACATATGAAATACAAAGTTTAAAGTTCATGCTGCTTGAGTACACAAGAAAGGGCAGTGTCAGCTGTATGTGTATATGGTACTGTATATATACCTTGGAACACATATATCCCTGCTGCCCTGCTTTCTTCTAATATATTAATGTCTACAAGTAAAATAATGTAAATACATAATGCGAATTATACAAAAATCTTCCTTGTAAAGATGCAAACTTTTTGTAGTTATATTAAATATTATTTTTGTACTTATTCATTACTACAATATGTTGAGTACTCCAGTACAGTACTGTATATGTATTTGGGGCTACAAAGTGATGAGAATACTTTTGTATTGTACAATAACTTGATATTTGGATACCTGTGGAACACATCCCTATTTTTCCCATAAAACTTTAATTCATGAGTTCGATTCATGCAAATTCACTCTGCACAATTGTTCCATTTTTTTGTAGGGCCTCCTAAGTAGCTCACCAAGCTATAGCACTTATACAATCATAACACCTCTCTAAGACCCACTCCAGCCTACTAGGAGCCAGGACATCCCTCACCTCATCTATGAGGTGAGAGGAAGTTTAGTGTTCAACAATTAACCCAACATGAAAAGAAAACAATGTCACCAGAAAGTATAAATGCATCAAAACAAGCAACATGTTTAAGGAAATTGGTAACTCAGGAAAACAATGACAGCAATCGTTGCTGCGGAGTAAACACTACAGTCAAGACATGCCTATCAGTCACGACTTGGCAGCCAAGGTCACTCATTCCTTTGCCTGGTGTATCCTGGGTCGAACTTCTCTGCTAGACCCACATTCAGCTTCACACTTTCAGATGAGTGCCATTGGCTATCCTTGGAATGTTTTGTTCCACTCACAGAAATTTGAGTCTGTTACATTTCCTGCTTCACATTTGTGTTTTGTATTTACTTAACTGTAGTTACAATAAGAGAGAGATGCCTGTGGTGTCTCATCTTCCCAGTACTCTGTCATATGATGCTTTGAAACTACTGATGGTTTTGACCTCCATGGTCTTCTCACTTTACTTGTTCCAACCATCTACTATTCTGTTTACAAAAGAGAACATTCTAATATTTTTTTGAAACCTTTGTTCCCTTTATTGAATCTATGACCTTTTGTTCATGAAGTTGCAGGTTTCAAGAATTCCTTTGTCAATTTTGTCGATTTCTGTTACTATTTTGTATGTAGTGATCATGTCGCCTCTTTTTCTTCTATTTTCTAGCTTTAGCATATTTAACACCTCTAGCCTCTCCTTGTAGCTCTTTTCTTTGTTTTTAGTTTTGCAAGCCATTTTGTCTATGCCTTTGCCTCTATGAGTTGAATCCTCTAGTTATCTCATTTTCGGGTAGTGCATGGGTTTGATCCCCATTACAAAGCCTATTGACGGAGATTGAAAGTACAGCAGTTAGCTATTTGCTTGCGAGGTTATCACACCTGGCTCTTTCCTCTGTGCAGGCAGGCCGTGTGCTTTAGCTCAGGATATGGTTGGGTCACTTAAGTGACTGTTCATGCCCCTGGCTGCATATGACTTCCCTTGCCTAGTGGCTCGGGTCAGGGATCAATGTTTGTTCAGCAAAGACATTTTTCCTATGCCTGGCATAGTTGCTCAACTGTGTATGTTCAAGGTAGCTAGTATTCCTTGCCCTCCTTCTATCCTGACACTGCTATGTACTTCCTTCTTGGACCCTCAATGGTTACTTTTGTTGCCTCAAACATTATGCTTGTTGGGTTCAGGAGTCCTTTTACCCTAAGATGTGTGCTGTTTTCTGGCATAGAACTTCTGTACAGGCTGAGTCGTCCTCGTGCAATGAATTATAAGATTGCGGCTGTGTTGTAGGATCTTGCTTTGCAGCGGCAGCCTCTGCAGCCCCCAACTGAGCCCTTTGGCATCAAATTCTCATCTTCTGCCTTCTGTTCTGTTGCTGCAACTACAGTTTCTGTCCCCAGCGGTTCACTACACTTCTGAAGGATGTGGTGGGCATCCTTTCACTGTGATTGGGACTGTAGTGTGCATTCCACCTTGTAAAGAATCTTGATCCATCATTTTTATCTTTAAGTCCAATTTGTTGTCTAATTGGCCACCATGCCAGCTAGTCGGTGACTTATTTGCCTGTGGCGGGTGCACATCACGCTCCCAGAGTTTGCAATAGTCTAAATGTCCTATGATAACAACCATCCCCACTGTTGAGCTAGCAGACAGCAGGAAAGAAAATCCAACGACTAAAGAAAGGAGGAGGAGGAGGAGGTAGAACATTTTTCTTGGTTCAGTTTAAGAATTAAAAGATTACTGCCATAACCCTGTTTGTAACAGATAAGGTGGGACATAAGGCAAGTAGTTGATACCAGCACTGTTTGTCACTAAGATCACTGATGGGTTCTCCAACACATTCATACAAGTTAAATAATCAACTATATCTACAGTACAGCACATCTGTATCACATTGCTCTCTTCTACTATCCAGCAGGGCAGCACTAGCATATTTTACAATCTTAATAATAAATCCCTCAGGTTCTGAAACGTCTCATTCCCTTCTTGGTGAACTTGCCACCCCTTTTTGATTCCTGAGCTTGTTCTGGAGGCTTCATGCTTTGATGAAGACCAGCATGTAATGCTTCGGCATGTCGGCTATTGCCCAGTATATCTGACAGAGCCTCCTTAGATAACGACAGCAACTCCACCAGACTTGACACCTTGTTCAATAGTGTATAGATATTCTTTGTGGTAACTCCAGGTAGTTTGGACACAAAGTCCTGAAAGAAAAATATATGTTATAATATATATAACAGTTGATAATCAATACAGTAATAAGTCAGTTGGTAATCTGACTTATTGTATTCAGAAAATACAATCCTACTGTGAACAAACATCAAATTCTAGGAATGTCAGCTAATTATACTACAGAAGTGACGAGCTCATTTACAGAAAACCCAACTTGTGGACGAATATAATGATGTACTTGCTTAGAAAATACTTCAATTACAAATTTAGGGTGTGTTCTCACCATTAAAGATACAGTATTGGATTTTTAATACTGTATACCCATATAATTCTGTCATAACTACTTTGATCTTTAATTCAACTTTATTTACTGTACTATATAAAATATGTATGTCTACATTTCACAGACTACGCACTTACTTTGATAAAAGATAAAGCTATTTACCTTTATCTGGGGATTGAACTTGTCGGAATCAGTATCTGGGTTGGTTTCAGCAGTGATAGCCTGAGCCTGGGCCACCACTGGCTCAGGCTTGCCAGTCTGCACATGAGTAATGCTATGTATTAAAAGTCAAGTTTCAAATAATATCAAATCTAATTTAATAATTTGATTTGATTATATGTAAAGATATATATCAAGCAATCTTCTAGCAAAGAGAATTAAATATTAAGGCAATGTTAAGTATTAAGTCTAGCAAGCAATAAATATTTATTTTAAATATTTCTGATTTTAAGTGTGACCAGCTTTGCAATTTATGTTCAGCGCTTCACATTCTTATCAGGCACCAAGCAGGAGTAGATGTTTTAAATAATAAAAGTATTAAAATACACAAAGCATCTAAAACATACAGGGTGCAGCAAAACTCCATTCTCAAAGAGGAAAAACATTAATTAAATTAAATGTTACATAAATTTTAAATTTTCTCATTTTGTTTACAGATACTGTATGCCCTTTCTATTAAATCAGTGATCTATGCTGCAAAACCTCATACTCTTGACAATTTAAAATGCAATTATAAACTAATGCAGAAAAGTGGTGGCAGAATTTTACAGAGCTGTAACCCATTTCAGAAACACCCAAAGTATATTATATATATATGGTGTGATCACAATGTACCTGGACTGAACATACTGTACTGTATATAAATTATGCAAATTCCAAAGGCTATAAAATTTAAACAGTACAGTATTCAACACTTTTTTTGCCTTGTGAGACAGTCAAAGTGATGCTGCGGTAAGAGGTGCATTCCACCATGAGAGACTACAACACCTCTAATTTGTTTCACAATGTAAAACCCACATTTAGGGTTTCTTTTGAAAAGTTTCTTTGTGGTATGTATTGTAAAAATAAAAAGTTACAGTATACAGGAACCCTGACTGTGACACCTTGTGGAATAAGGTACAGGGGTAACAAGTACAGTGGCACCTCGACTTACAATTGCCCCTACTTACGATAATTTCGAGTTACCATGTAAATTTCATAGAAAAATGCGACTCGACATCCGATGGAGTCGTCGACTTATGATATTTGTTGGTACACGTTCGGGTCGACCGAGCGCGTGGTTCCCGGTCACGCGGCCGACCTGCCTCAGTTTACTACAGCTGCCCGCTTAGTGACGATCGCGCCTATAAGAAATTTCGCTTTTGTGGTGATTTTTTGCATTTTGAACATTAAAGTAATTATTATATATCACACCATAGTCCCAGGAAAGTCAGTGGTAAGGCTCAACATATGAGATCTCATGTAAGGATGACCATAGAGCAGAAACAAGAGATCATTCGTAAATATGAAGATGGTGTGCGGGTTATTGGACTGGCTAGGCAGTACAGTACAACAAATCTCAGTCAACGATATCCACCATACTGGCTAAGAAAGAGGACATTATGGGTGCTAAAGTGATGCATCATTACAGACAAATGTTAAAATGAAGGGAAAAACAAATGTCTCCTGACAAATTTGTAGTGAGACAAACAAGCAATGAACCACAACCAGGTCCTAGTGATATTCAGGCAAAATGTAGGAGAGAGAGTACCCCAGAGAAAACATCACTGCCTGATGTGATAATGGAAGGGAACTTCCCTTCCAAACAGTAACAACTCTCCTCCTCTCCCCTCATCACCATCTTCCATATGCCATCAAGAGCCCTCCATGAAGGTAAGATAAACTTAGGTACTGTATTGTAGTTAGAAAAAAAACAATGTATTCAGTATAAAATGTATTTGTATGTTAATGTTTTGGAGGGTGGGGAACGGATTAATTCAAATCCCTTTATTTCTTATGAGAAAAATCGCTTCAACTTATGATATTTTGACTTACGATCCGTCTCTGGGAACGGATTAGCATCGTAAGTCGAGGCCCCATTGTACTCATTTTAAAATAAGCTGCTCACCACAAAAGCTTTACTCCTCTAGATACTACAGTGGGGAAAAAAATTATAAATCTCACTGAAGCACTGAATCATGCACCAAGAACATGTCCAAAAATGACATTTCACTTTTTTAACTATTTCTCTTCACAATACCGTAAATCCAGCTTGATAATTATTTTAAGCTGATAAATCATAATTTACTGATAATGTACTTAATGATTAAGCATAATGTACTGATAAAACTATTGATCATTGTAATCTAACAATGCTAATGTATTATTTTTTACCTTGAGCATTTCAAATATCTCGGCAGTAGCATACGGAGAAGGACACCACAGGATTCGCAGGTTAGGAAAATGGAGCGTCAATAACTGTAATTTTGCAGCAACGTCCTTTGGTGAAGATGATCCGTCACTTGACAAATAGTACCGTCCCTGATTCCAAAGTATATTATCAGTATACAATTACACAAGCATGGCACCAACATCTTAATTTACTTTTGTTTCTCAGCAAGTTACTTACCTACTGTGTAGGCAGGATTCCATAATGCAGGTGTTATGAATTATACTATCATTTGATATCTTCACAGATTTATACAGTTATAACAAATTACTTAATTAAAACATTTTGGCAAATAAATTAGTCATATAAAGTATCAATATTTTCAAGTGCTGAAGATCCAGCAAAAAATAAAAAACATGGAACAAAGAATTCTGCATTTTTATTAGGATTTTAGTCACATTTATACACTACAAAAAGATACTGTCAAGAGAGATTTACTTGACTGAAAATTTAAAATGTATATGATACATAAGATAGGTAGCTAGTAAAGCAGAAAATGCTACACCATAATGTGGTCTGTAAATTGCTAGCAGGTTCTGAAAATTACACCCCCAACCATATCATCTGTAATTTGCAAGCAAATTACAGATTATGATATGGTTGGGTTGTTTACAATTACAACGAATAACTATGAAATGCAAAAAAATGTAAATATTAAGGTGAATGGAATAAATTGCTCTCTTGGCAATAAATATTCCACAACCAATGAACTACTTACCAAACTTATGCATTACTTGAAAAGACTAAATTTGGCTTATTTTAATGAGATTTCTACATGCAACAGATGATTATTATCACTTATGCAAATTGCCATCCCCACTTCCATTCCATTCACCTGGACTGTATGGGTCTCGATCCGTGGACCCCACGCGTGTGAGGCCATTTAGTCAATTGAGCTACAGCCTTACACACGTGAGGTCCACGGTTCAAGACCCATACAGTCCAGGTGAATGGAAAGCCTTGTGTATGTCTGAAACAAGGAAATTCATCTTATCAGCTGAATCTGAATATACTAAATGTTTTTGAATAAGTATGGTATGGAATTAGCAAGTATCACAACCTACATAACTTATGATTATGGAATTATAACTCTTATATTGTGAAATAAAATAAAACTGATTACCTGCAAATGAAATGGCTTATTTTGGTCGAATTCAATAAGTAGAATGGGCTGTTTGTAATATCTGGTCATGGCCTGAGCTTGATTATATAGACGCCCTGAGTTCAAGGATCCTATTAAATCACTGAGAGACTTTCTTTCTACACAAACATCAGGAGTCAGGATATAATCACCAACCTGCAAAACAGAAAAGCCATTTACCTCTATTTTAAGCCATATACAAAAACGTAATACTGTAGTATCATAATAATATGAGTATAAGAAGTAACTAAACTATATATCTCATTACTGATATGAATGAACACCAGTTTGTGATAGGCCCTAAGTCACATGATATCTTAAACAGATACACATGTTGTGTCTTCTGAGGGTTGTTAAACACAATGTAAAGGCTGCCACAAATTATTATTTTTTTATTATTATGTATGCAGTGATAATATGCACCAATACAAACCTCTATGGTTACAGGATCAATATCAATTCCCCTTTTGTGAATTAAAGCAGGGAGTTCACTCCGGAATTCTCTCATATCAACAATAATCCGTTGAGGCTCTGTTGCCTCTATGCTCGTCTGTCCTCCCTTTCGTGTGTCCTTTTTGTCTTCCTGGGCAATAATTTCACTGGCTTTACGAGGATCGCGTACAAGGTCTGGATGATCTTCAGTTTTACCATCATTATACTCCGGGATTACCATTGACTGCAGGATTATAGAAATACAGTAGTGTACAATATATGTCAAATAACCCAAGAAAATAATTTAGATGATTATATTTTCAAATTTTGTCACTACAGCTCTTTTTCCAACTCTTTTTAAACTTTCCTACTGATGGAGTAACCTTCAATTGACTCCAACATTACTTATTTTACTTCTTGATATACAGTACTGTATAAAGAAAATTCAACTATTAATAACAGATTACCTAAAAAGCAAACTCTTCAAGGAAAGCTAAGATACCAAACTTCTGACATGTGTAAGATATACAATGACTAAGAAAGTAGGGAAATGTCTGCAGAAGTTAAACTGTTTAACAAATAAATGACCATCAGAAATAGATCTATGAAATCTTGACGACCTTGTAAGATCTAAGAAAATTAAGATCATATATTACTGTAGAGGGCCTATTGGTCAAGGCAAATTGTTTCATAAATCTCTGTTTACAAACCAGTATTTGCCCAATTCTATTCTTAATCTAAACTTATTCAAACTGTGTTCCCTCTTTTGTATCAATATGTGTAGCACCCTGATAATAGCCACCTCGTTATACCCTGTTATCCACTTGCATGCTTCAGTCAGTTCCTCCCTTACTCTGCTTTTCTGGGGGCAGCCCCGTCAGCTCCCTGACGTATAACTTTCATGCACATTGAACTCCATGCACATTGACAGATGCCAGAAAGTATAACTTTCTGGCATCTGTCAATGTGCATGGAGTTCTTGCCTACTGGGGACCATGAGCCAGAACCTGGCCCCCCTCAAGAGAGGCACGTGAAGCAATGGGCTATAGAAACCCCCGTGTGGTTGGGAGCATTCTGTGCCTGTCATCGATCAGATTTGGCACCCAGAAAGGTAAGGGGCCCCAAAACAAACCCCTATTCTGGTGAAACTATTGCTACCGAAAGCCGAACGAGTGGACAGAACTCTCCAAACAAAAATTAGCAAACGAACATGACATCATCATGTCGCCGCACCACTGTTTGTGCTACCCCCCCTCCCCGGGAGGGGGAAGGGGAAGCCCCAGACCCCCACACTGGCAATCCACCCTTCAGTTCTCAGGCTGATGTGCTACTGTCGTGGTCTTGTGCCTCTGGCTCTATCGACTTGTCTTATTTTCTGTGCCTTGTGGTATGGACTGTCTCTACTGGTGATGTGTGTGAGGCAGGAGAAATATTCTTCGGTACTCGGGCTGCATGCGCCTAGGGCCACCATCCCTAGGTGCCCTGTAAGTACTACCTTAGGGCTTGGTGTAACCTTCCACAAGTCCCTCAGGATCTACCCCCGCTGTGTCTTTTACTGCTCGGTACTTGGCTGCTCTTGGAGTCAACTGGGGGTCTGTGTTGCCCATGTTGCCTCTGGATAGGGGTAGTTTTCATCACTGCTAGGGGCACGGGGGTACCGCACAGCTAGTTTTCACCTCTTACAGTGGCTGGCTCTGTTTCACCTGGGTACATTGTCCTCTTGTGGGGTTTTGCTTTTGTTTTTGTTTTTCTGCCCAGTCAGGGGGTCTGCCTTAGTGGTTGCCCCTTCTGTGTTGGGGTGTATATATCTATCATTATATCTATTCTCAGTTTTTGTGTGGTTGGTGGTACCCCTTGTTAGGCCCCCGTGAGTGGACATGTCCCAGGGATTCAGCAATTAAACAGATTGTTTGGTAGTCATGGGTGCTGGTTCGCAGTTTAGTTTATTCTGGACTTGTCTCGTCTGAACACGTAGGTTTATTGCCCCTTCTTTCGGATGACTACTCTGTCCCAGGTCCGCCTTCTGTTAGAGCCGAGCGCTGGGATGGTGTCCTTGGACCTCTATGACGCGTATTGGCACGTCCCGATTCATCCGCAGTTCAGGGACTGGCTCGGTTTTGTGGTGGGACATCGAGGTTACCACTTTCGTTGCCTTCCATTCGGCTTGATTCTGGCGCCTTGCATTTTCACTCTCCTTACTTGGGTCGTGGTGGCCCGCCTGCATTTGTTAGGCGTTCGTGTTCTGGCCTACCTTGATGACTGCTTGGTTTGGGCTTCCAACCTGTCTGTGTGTCTGCTTATCAGGAATTTGGTTCTTTCCCAGCTCGCTGGGTTCGGGGTTTTGGTGAACTGGCGAGAGTCCCATCTGGTTCCCTCTCAGGTTCGGTCTTGGCTGGGTCTTGTGTGGGATGCTCGAACCACTTCCTTGTCTCTGACTCTGGCGGTTATGCTTCGCTTGTGTTCCTGCCTCCATCTGTTTCTGAGGGGCTCCCGGGTAATGCGGCAGTTGCTCGAGGGTTTGTGCGGGAGCCTGACCTTTGCTATGATGGTCTACCCGCCGGGTCGGGTTTGGCTTCATCGGCTGTTCTGGTTCCTTCGGGGACGTCCCTTCTGCCTCTCGAAACCACTGGGTTCGGCCTTCGGGGGCCTTGCGTTGGTTGCTGCGTCGCCAGCTTCCTCTTCGTGTTTTTTTTTTTTTTTTTTGGGGGGGGGGGGGGGGGGTGTTCAGTGCCTTGGCGCCTACCCGAGCCCTCGCTCGATGTGTTCAGAGACGTGTCATCTTTTGGCTGGGGCTTTGTGACCAGCGCTCACCAGGCCAGCCAGGGGCCGTGGGTTCTGTCCCTCCGTTGGGTTCACAGCACGATGCGGGAGTTCGCGCCTGTGTGGATGTCGCTCCAGAGGATTCGGGTCTCTCGCGGATCGACGATCCATCTCCATTCAGACTGTTCTCTTGGTGGTTCATTGCCTGAACTGCAGGGGGTCAATGCAGTCTTTGGCTCTTTGGGACTGGTCGCTTTGGGGGTTGTCCAATGTCCCGGCAGACGGCCTGTCCCAGTTCAATCCCCTGTCCATGGAATGGACGGTCGCCGCCGACTCATTCCTTTAGCTCTGCCGGATGTTCGGGCCTCTGGAAGTGGATCTCTCTGTCAGCGTGGTCGAGGTGTTTCCCGGTATACATGGTGGCCTTCCCCAATGGCGAGGCCATCGGGGTTAATGCCTTCAGGCAAGACTGGGCGAGGTAGGGTTACCTGTACCTCTTCCCCTCCCGGTTCAGCTGTTGCTCCAAGTACTGGCTCGCTTGGAGACTTACCAGTGGAGAGTAGTCCTTTTGGCCCCTTGGTGGCCGGCCCAGCCTTTGTTTCAGGCGCTGCTTGCTCGGTGTCCGAACCCGAGGGTCTTCCTGCGGCTCCGCCTCTTTCAGATCGGTCCTACCCATTACGAGGCTGGTTTGCTCTTCTTCTTGAGTCTTCGTGTCTGGTCTTTCTGACTCGAGCCTATCAGCATTTGTATGAACGTAGGTGGCTTCGTTGTTGGTCTCCCATCTGTGTGTCTTGTCTTGGTGGCAGTATGAGGTTTCCTGGCAGTACTTTCGGGTTTTCTATCACTGCGTAGGTGTACTACAGTCTCTGATAGGGTTGTTTTGTCCTTCCTGTCGTGGTTGTTTCAGGACCGTCATCTTATGCTGAATACTGTACTGTACTGTCGCCTCCTATCATGCGGCGCTGGCGGAGCCGCTCCAGCTTGCATTCAATATTGACGTTACGTCTGCTCTCCCAGACGTCTGTTGGGTCTTCCAGGTCGTCCACAGGATTATTAACCCTTAAACTGCGCATGGCATATATATACGCCCTGAGTAACATGTCCCATGGTGCGCATGGCGTATATATACGCCATAGGGTGCCAGGCCTGATTCAAATGGCCCGCGGCTACACGGGGTTCACAGTAGCTTCCTCAGGGCTCTTGTAAACAGATGCCATTTAAAAAAAAAATCGTGGGCAATATTCTCAGGTGTGAGAGGCACAGTACTGTTGGAGCAACCAAGGCCGGCGCACGCAGCATGAGCGAACAGCATTGCTGTTCAGCTTGTGACCACAGCATCGCCGAAAAATGTCAAAATAAATATATAATTGTTATTATTTAGCGATGACAATATTACAGATGACCCATGACTGTGATATAAATAACCAGGGTTGTGATAATAGCAGGATTGTTGTAATAATTAGCGCTGTGGGAGGAGTGATGCTGAGAGATGGAGGGAGACAGCATCGTTTACTGACTGTGTGGCTAGCTGTTATTGTTTGCATTCACCATACCAGGTCAGTGGTTCTCTATGGTGAACACAAATGTAGATACTTATATATTTTTTTTTTTTTTTTTGAGATATATACAAGAGTTGTTACATTCTTGTACAGCCACTAGTACGCGTAGCGTTTCGGGCAAGTCCTTAATCCTATGGTCCCTGGAATACGATCCCCTGCCGCGAAGAATCGTTTTTTCATCCAAGTACACATTTTACTGTTGCGTTAAACAGAGGCTACAGTTAAGGAATTGCGCCCAGTAAATCCTCCCCGGCCAGGATACGAACCCATGACATAGCGCTCGCGGAACGCCAGGCGAGTGTCTTACCACTACACCACGGAGACTGCTATATAATGTGTGTATTAGTGTAATAACAGCAAAAGGATTATGCTGGGAGGAGCCATATGGGTGACGGAGGTGACGTCGTCTGCACGATTTGTCTAGCTGTTTAGAGGGTGGCCACTATGCTCTTTGGGCGCACTACAAGCTTAGGTGTACAGTTACGGTGCATACAACATGTAGATATTTATATATAACATGTGTATATAGTGTAATAACACTGCAAAAGGTATTATTGGGGGAGAAAGTTTAGTGCGTGTGACCTTGAAAGAGTGAGGGAACCGCCAGCCGCCATCTGTGTATAGCGACGACTCTTAGTACCTGAACTAACTATATGAGCTTAGCAGTACAGTTGTGGTGAACAAAATATATACATACTTATATATAACGTCTGTATATAGTGTAATAACACCACAAATGGTATTGTTGAGGGAGAAAGTTTAGTGCGTGTGTTGAGGGAGTAGCAGTGAGTGGCTGGATGGTGTGTGGCGGTAACTCTTCGTTGCTTTTCAACTCTCAATACCAACTTAGTGGTTCGTTATGGTGACCAAAACATGCAGATACTTATATATAACCTGTGTATAGAGTGTAATAGCAGCAAAACTA